ACTCATGAAATGTGACAGGTAAGATGTTAGGAGATGAGACATTTATAGAGCCATTATTTGAATTTATCAGGCATAAAATGGTTAGGAGCAAAACATCTGACCAACTTGTAAAGCAATGAGGTATTTCTAGTTTGATCCTTTCTGGGTGTTGCCAAAATTGGGTATCCCATCCAACATTGCCCTGCTGACAAACTTATGCTTTTGGTTTATAATAACTAACTTTTCCACGTCATGTAGAAAATTATAGTCTATATTCTTTCAGATAAGCTGGTCTTGGGTGGTTGTATGCTTGTATTATCTAGATTGTGATGCGTGATCAATGTTGTTCGATGTGAGAGGTGTGCATTGAAATCGTTCTTAGGAATTATGTCTTAATACCTGGTGGAGCACTTGGCCTGTTGGCCTTGGCTGCTTGTATGGGCAACAAGAGAGGAGCACCCTTGTTCAGTTATGTAACTTTTCTGAACAGATTAGCGCCTTACTTCCTATAAATAAGGGTCCAGATATTGTAGAATGTATGCCCAGTTTCTTATTATCATTATTATTAAGTTTTCCCATTTTATCAATTTGCAGGCAGCAAAGGCAGCACGATTGGAGAAGTTCGAGATCCCAGCAAAGATCAAATTGCTTTCTGATCCGTGGACTCCTGAAACTGGCCTAGTAACTGCAGCTCTCAAGCTCAAGAGAGAGGCCGTTAGGAAGGCTTTCTCTGAAGAACTCTCCAAGTTATATGAATCATGAGTTAGGAATCTGGGTTTTATTTAGTGATCGTGCACAATTTTTGATGAATTGATGACTCTTGTTGTAAGGTCCACCGCTCACTCATCTCAAACTTTTTCTTTGTTTCATGTTTTTAACATGCATACTGTAATAAATTTTCTTTCTTAATTTCCTTGTATATTATCTACCGGTATTGCTTTTGGTAAAGAAGGAGAACGGTGAACTTAAAAGAGTCTCAAATGATTGGAGGTCAATCAGGATGGTCAATTTGATCGGGTTGCCTCTCCCCATTTGTTTCGTCAAAATTGAACCACCAAAAAATCTTAGAACAAGGAGGAGGAAAAACAAAAAAAAATCCTGGAGGCTGGTACGGATTATAGGGGAAAAACAATTGGGTGAGTCCGGTTTATTTTATCACAAACTTGTGGTGGGATGGGTCTCGCATAGTTTAACTGAGGCCTCAGATTTTTTCCAATGTTCGTTGGACTTGTCAATGGATAAAAATACAGATGTCGATAAAATTTTCAATGTAGTAAGAGAGGAGGAAACAAGGTTGTGGTCCTGGAAACTGCCATCAACGTAAATAAACCATTAGCGCACTGCAATGTCAAGTGCAGAACTGTGGAAGAAACCAGTACCACTCTGGTTGTAATTCTGTCACCGACAGTATATAAAGCACATGAGACAGCATCTGGCTGGAAAGCTGACTGCTGCATCCGCTAATCTGGCCATAACGTGAGATAAAAAGGGCGAGAGAGAGACTGCGCTGTTTGCTGGTTCATTGTTTTGTTCCGGGCCTCTTCAGTCCTACCAGGGACAGAATAATGGGAGAAATTTTAAAATACTTCTTGAGGAACTATTGTGTGTGTGTGTATATATATATATATATATATATATATAGTAGTTAGTTATAAAGTTACTTTTGAGGAGAAAGATGGAAAAAAAAAAAAAAAAAGAGAGAATTACATTTAGATTCAATAAAAGTGATAATTTTTTTTTACTTTTACTCAAAATTTTTTATTTTTTTTTATATTTATCTTTCTCTATAAAATGATTTATACTAATAATTTTTTAAGTATTATAAAATTTCTCAATTAATATTGAAAAAGAAACAAAGGTACCTAAGTTAAGTATTCGTTCAGAAATAGAATAATAATTTTTTTTCTTTTTAAAATTAAGTGATAAAAATGAAAATTGGATTTTCCCATTCAAATGTAATATATGTCCATATATATATATATATATATATAGTTTTTCAAATCAAATTTATATTTGAGTTTGGAAAACGCATTTTTTTTTATGTTATCCATAGTTTTCATTTATAAGTTTCTCATTATTTTCCAAATTAAAAAAAAAAAAACTAAAAATGATGAATGGTACAATATTTTTTTATATAGATAAGCACTTTTATCTGTATAAAACATTGAAATTATTTTCTTTTATATTTTCATAATTGGTTAATGTCATAAATTTATTTTTATTATAAATCTAATATTAAATATTTCTCTTTTATTTCGGGAGTTAATAAGTATAACTTTTTCATGATAAGTTTAAATTTGAATGAAATAAAAGTATTTATAATTAAATTATCACAAATATAAAACTTAAGATGACCGTTGTAAATTGTGATTTTGACTTTCATGAAAAAGAAAAAAAGAAGTTTGTAATGATTTTGAAATCCTTTATACTAGGTAATCTAGTATTCTTTTGCATGAATATAATCAATTCGGTAGTTGTGGTTCGACTTTATTATGGATTAATAGTTGTAATTTTGATGTATTTCTTAATTTTTTCATGAAAAAGAAAATAATTTTCCATTTTTTTTATAAATGAATATATTTTCCAATCTTATGAAAAATAGTTTTATGTTACTTGAGCATGTCCTGGTATAACTTTATTTCTTACTAGTCCCTTTAAACACGAACAGGACAGCCTTTTACGCTGAATTGTTATTGTAATGTTGCCTGACCTGTCCACTAGCTAGAACTTTGTTTCTTTTGAAATTTGTTTGAATGACCGAACATACCATAACAAAGATATAAAATATGATGTGATTGAGTTCATGGGTTAACAGAACGAGGGCTCACTTCCTGAGGATCATTCGGATTCGATTCTTTCTGCGTACGTCTGTCATTCTCACGATGCTTTACATAGCTATTGGTTTTGCAAGGTGTTAAATAGGTTTTAGAAATTAATCGAGGTGCATGCAAGTTCGATCCAAACATCCTGAATTATAAAAAAATATATAAAATATGGTACCCAGCTAGTTTAATTTACTATTGGGCGTGTGATGAGATAGAAATAAGAGATTAGAAGAGAAGCATTTGATAGTCAAAGATGGTGACATTTAACAGCAATAATCAACACAATTTGAGTTCGGTCTAACTAACCCAGAAGACCAAGCGGAGTCGATACCCTAAATTCCAAAAATAAATCAGTTTCGTCTTTCAAGGCATCATTATTCATGAGGCATAGAGGGGCCCAGAAAGTTAATTAAGATAAAAGAAAGGGAAAGTATGAAAAAAGAAGAGATGGAGGAGAGGAGTGAGAGACTTTAAGAGTTGTGGGAAAAGTTAGTTGGGAGAAGAGAAGATGGTTGTAGTTTGCAGTAAAGAGTCAATAAGACTACCACAATAGGGTTGGCAAGAGGAGACCCACAATCCTACGTCCAAACTTTGGCCCATGATGGGAACTTGACTTGGAGCCAACCTATATGGAAACAGCTCCCCTTCTACCCATGTGCCTATTAGTTTGTTTGTTTCCATCACTTTAAGAGCCTTCTAGGATTTTTTGTTGGACATTTCTAGAGCTCATCTTCTTCTTTTTTCTTCTTAATATATATTAGATTCTATCTATCTCTTTATACCATAACAATACGCAAAATGATGCGCCCACGAGAGCATGTGTCGCATGTACTATAGTCTACTACTCTATTAGTGACTAGTGATTAGTGAATGACAACCTTATGTGGAGCACAGGCACGCAAAGGACAAAAGAGAAAATAAAAAAATTGGGAAAAACAAATATTTATTTTTCCTACACCTTAGGAGCATCCCATTTTAAGTTCTCATCCATTTCTCCTACATAACAAGGTAACTTAATTACTTGGCAGTTTGGAAAAAGTTATACAATACTGTATGTAGCTTTTGAAAAATTCTACCCACCTCTAATGATTATTTGCCTCGTGACATATTTTGGAAGGATCTTTCTTCTAAAATGCATCGGCACGTTTGTCAAGAAATTACCGAAGTTGGGTTGATCTTTTACCTATAGTCGGCAACGGTATAATTAACTGTTAATTAGCACGAACATATATATGTTAAACAAATTAATCCAGTCTGAAAAGTTCACTTTTGCAAGATTCATGCCACAAAACCCTGACGGGTTCCACGCTCTAACCCACATGCCTTGGATGCATAAAATCCCATTACAATCCTGAGGATCCGGCAACTAAAGAAAAAGAAAGAAAGAAGAGAGGTTCTAAGAAACTAGCGCTCCGCGTATTTTAATCAAAGCAGCTGAACCAAAGTCCAGTGCCCTACTTCTACCGCCCTTTTTGCAGTTCCAAAATTAAATGGGAGTTGCAAATTTTGACTTCACCGTTCTTACATAGACCCATTCCACAATCCAATGTCTCCTTAGTGAACAAGACCTGGTCTGTGGGAAAATTAGCAACCCACTGTAGTCAATTTGACATTTTCTTTAGTGGAAAGATTGAAAAAGCTAAGCCCCCTACATTATTAATTAATTAACTACTTGACCTCAGTACTAAACATTTTCTTTCGGGAAAAATGCTTTAGATAAAAAGTTGGGAAAAGCAAAAAGAAGCAAGCCAAGCAGAGCGAGTTCCAAGAAAAACCCAATTCTTAGGCAAATCTTGGTTTTTCTCAGAAGGGAAAAGGATTTTCATACCCAGTGGCCTCAACATCGTAAATTTAAACCATGGACAAAATAAATACATAAATTTTTCCTAGTGTACAAGAATGTCTCTGAAATACTACTACTACTATACTTAAACTGATTCTAATGTTTATTGGTGGGCCATCTTTTCAAGTACTAGTATGCTATAGTCTTGCTTTCTTTATTATAATGTAATTAAGCCGTCTACAAATTAATTTATATCTCACTCCACCATACATATGTAGTACTTACACAGCACACAAAGACACATTCTAACTACAATCTCTCTCTCTCTCTCTCTCCCCCTCCCCCCCTCTGCAAGTCCACAGTATTCTGTTCTCTTGCTCTCTCTTCCACTACATTCTCTTGACCACCATACCATGAATGCCTATGGATCAGAAGACAATTCATACTGTTATTTTCATCCCAAAGAGGTTGTTGTTGGGGTTTGTCCACTATGCTTGAATCAGAGGCTCCTCATATTGGCTGCAAAGCAAGGTAACCTTTCTTCAGCTAGAGCAACTCATAGAAATGAAGGTACACCACACAAGAAGCCACCCATCAACCTTCCAAAGATTTTTGCTTTTGGTTCTTTGCTAAATCGGCTTGAATTTCGTCACTGGAAGTCTGATAACTCCGATCATGACGCTGCTTCTACCAGTCAAGAAGGTATCCCCCCCCCTCTTTTCCTGCTGATGTTTCCTGCTGTTGTGTGGCATTATAATTGTTAGTACTGTTAATATAAGCGTACATCCCAGTTCCTTTGCTGTGCTTGAACTCCCTCCAACATGAAGGAAACTGAAACATAGCTTATTTGTTTGTCTGTATATGCAAAATTATTGTTCGTGTAGTGACAAAAGCATGGTCAAAGTAAGTCTATATATATGAGGAATCAATGAAAGGACATCAATTCAAATCCTGGATTTTCGAATTGAGAGAGATATTGAGTATATATATATATATATATATATATATATATGTCCTTAATCTCTCACTTGACAGATTAATTGGCAGATGAGATTTGGAATCTTGTTAACTATTTGTGTTATTGTGTTTCATGATTATGTTCTAATTGCTTTGCTAGATACCACATTTATTCCAAATTTAACAAACATCAGTATGATAAAGTTGAAAATTAATGGAACGAACTTGTAATTCGTGATCCTGTATATATATTGTTGAAACTAGCTAGCTAGCTAGCCCACATTATTTAACAAACATCACTGTGATAAAGGTGAATTTCGATATAATGACAAATATTTATTAGTTATGGATATATGATTAACTAAATATATAATTTTCCGAAGTGCATAATTAAGCAGCTGCAGTACTTACCTTTGATTAATTAAATCATGCTAATGTTCAACACACATGCATGTAGGTCACTCAAACAAAATCTTGTGAGGGACCCTTTTGGATGTCATTTCTTGCCAATCATGTCCTTAATTAGCATGTTATATATGGTTAATAGCGCATGACTCTACATTTATTTGTTTTTATATCCTATTACTGATGCAATTAAAATGGAACATGAGTCTATGCTTCTAAGTAGATAGTACACAAAATATGTGACTTTTTTCATGGCTTTTGATGCTTTTCTCCTTGGAATTCATTATCTCACTTTAAATTCAATAAGCTTTTGCAGACTCCTTTATATCAATCAAGTTTGAAGACAATGGTGCTGCCTCATGGGAAAAGGGCGCAGTTTCTAAGGTCTCTATTGAGTCTTGCAGCAAGTCATGGAATCAAAATCTCAACAAGGAAGCCGAACAAGGCAAAGACATTAAGGAGACCATGAGTGTGATAGAGCATGCAAAACCTCATGCCTCGCTGAGGTGGCGAAAGAGGATTGGCCATATGTTCCAGCTAATCAGATGGAAGAGGTCCAACAAAGAACACATGTGCCATGTGGGCACCAAGGTGGAGGGAGTCAAGATGAGAAATAAGGGCTGGATAAGGACTCTGACAAAGAGAAGGACCAAAGAATAAAAAGAGAATTCTGTAGAAAGGGACACCTGCCTTTTCCACCGCACCATCCTTCTTTGTAGGTTGAGCTACATTCTGGACTGTAAAGTTCTATATTATTGAGATGGTAGAGTCAAAATAGCTCTATCATCAGTATACTAAAGTGCTTGGCTTTGAGATTCGTGGGGTTCTTTAATTCTTTTTTTCTTTTTTTCTTTTTCATGTTTATAAACAGTACAGGCTGTAAAAGATTTGGTGCAATGTGCTTTGCCTCACAATTTGCATAGATAATATTGAACATAAATACCTAATAGAGAGAAATATTTGTAAATATTTCCTTTCCATGCCAAAACTGCTTGACCTCATATTATGTGCACATATGGAGGGGGAGACATTGGGCCATTCAATGGTCTTACTGCAGTGTGTCTATAACTTGTCTTGTAGCTGTCTAGGTTGGAACATATATATTTTGTTCCTTAGACATTATATATCTTGTGTTCCTTCCTAAAAGAGCACCTAAGTAACGAGATTGTAAAGAGCTGTATCAAATCTCGTGTTTAGTTTTTCGTTTCATGAATTAAGAAATCAAGTTCATCATCAACCTTGTATTTTCCTCCCCGTGTGTGATCAGTCGTTTAATTTGCATGTGCAAAGAAGGCCATGAGACTTGATTTGTTCATTAGGGCCCTTCATTACTAGCAATGTTATGTCCCAGTTTCAACCCATTAATAAGGCCATTCCTTCACAGGACCACGAGAAAAGCCTCACATGGAGTGAGCGAAAACGACAAGGCATCAATCGTCACCCAATTCTAGCAGCAACAATACAAGAAGAAGATGGCATGTGGATCCATTAGTTGCATAGGAAAAAATATGACTGGATCTATATTCCTTTATGCCTACGGCACTGTGTGATGGCAACTGCAACTATTTACTTTCCAAATTCCAACAGCGCGCGCGCGCGCATATATATATATATATATAGATTGAGTTACACTTAATTAAAGCTTATGCAATTTAGTTACGTACTAACATTTACAATAGCATAAGGCTAGAAGCAAAAGAGAATTGGAGTCGGCCATAAGGACTCTTTTAACTCTTCCACTCCACCAAAATTCAAGAACGCGTGTGGTCACAAGACTCAGAACTCAGAAACATTAAAGGGCAACAGCTTTAGTTACTTTACTTCTAAGACAAAAGACTTTCTGTGCAATCTTAAGTCAAACAACTTTTGCATTGGAAACACATTCACGTTGCTTTGTCACACCTCATAAAGAGTGAAACTCCTATCCACATATCCAAAGTATTTTTGAAATAATAACATTCGAGACTTTACACACCTAATTGGTAGGCCTCTGCCCATAACTTTCTTATCCTTCTTTTTCTTTCCTCCTTTCTTTGTTTTTTTTTTATTTTTTCCTTTCTTTTTTACCAATTCTTTTTTGCTTCCCCTTTCTTCTCCATGGCATTTTAGATTTCACACAGGAATCTCATACATTCTGATATTCCCCCTAATTAATTGTAGCTATCTCCTGGGCTTATTCTCATGTCATTTTTCCCATTTGCTTGGTTGGATCGACGAAAAATTAGCTAGGAATATGCTTTGCTAGCTAGACAATTCGCACTATTAAATTAACAGCACTATGCTTTCATCTCAAGAAGGTCATGCTTTGTTGATAAAGTATTCTAGAAAAAAAGATATGTAAAATAAAAGGTCTTTATTTATGCTTAGATGCGGATATATAACAAACTAGCCAGCATTTAATTGTTGCTTGTGATGGGCTATCATGGTGTGATCAGCTATCCATGGTGTGATGGAACAAGTCATCGTCATGCATTATTTACTGGTCTATTGCTACATGAATTTCACCTTATTATCTTAGCAGAGAGTAGAGACATACAATCAAAGACACTGAAACGGTGAAATCACTTCCATGTGGCCACCACAGAAGAGACAATGACCGGGACAAACAGCAAATTGGATAAGAACTTGCTTGATTATGTTTTGACTGAATTGGGACACATCCCATCCACTGTGATGAATTCAAGTGTTTTTTGGACTATTCAGTCCATTTTCCATTTTATATTTTTTTTGGAAAGAAAAAAAGTTCCCCATTTGTTTCTTCTTTATCTTTCACTTCCCCTTTTCTCCTCACCACAACCTTCAATTCGAGTAATGGGAATTTTTCCTATGTGCTCCCTGTGCCCTTGTTCTGTATGCCCGAGTGGATGCTAGCTTGATGTTAGGAAATAGCTTCTCTTGATCCAAAAACATTGAATAAAGTTGTGCTACACAAGCCATCTAGCTAGAACATCTGTCTCCATCAAAAAAATAGTGCTACTGAAATAGATTTCACACGGCATATGCATGCATGAGCACCAAGATCATCATCAAGGCAAAAATGTTAGATATTGTCTCAATGAATATGCATCCAGAAAACATGAACCTAGGAGCTTTCGGAGTAAATTATAGATCAATCCCTCTAGTTTTGAGAAACCAACCAATTAGTCCTTTTTAGTTTAAAATTTTATCATTTCATCTTTTGATCAGTGTTGTCTTCGTATAATTTAATATTATATTATTTTAAAAATATTTTTTTCATATTAATATTTTCATAATGTCTATCTATTTTTTATTTTTAAATAAAAAACAAAATAAATTGAAAAAAAAATAAAAAGAACGAAAAGAAGTAAATGATTGATTTAAAAATAAAAACCAATTAATTTGTTTCTCAAAACTAGTTTTACAAGGACGAATCATTTTTTTTTTTTAAGACGAGAAAATGGTGTTTTAATTTCTGGTCCTGTCAGAGAGCTTTAAAATCCCTGTTGGCAGTGGCACCACCATGTAATATAAGTTATATAACAACACTGGTGAGCCACTGGGTATCTCAAATTGATCATGCAACTTGTGAGGTAAATTGAGAGAAAAATAATGGTCGTTATGAAAAATTTATATTTCAATTAAGAAGTAAAGCAAACATGTGCATGCAGCATGGCAACGAAGCATCTATATATTATTCTGGATCTTCGATGAATCTTGATATTGGGAAATTCTATCAAAGATCCATCTGAGTGGCCATATTATGCACCCAAAATCCAACTGGAAGATAAATATTTGCAATCAGGCCAACCGTGGATCCAAAATGATCTTGTATATTTATCTTCCAGTTGGGTTTTGTGCATGATATGATCGCTTAAAAACCCTTTAGGTATCCCCACCAGAAAAATAAAATAAAAAATAAAAAATAAAGTGAAAACCCACCAACAAAAGAGCAAAGGTATTGAATAGGAATTAAAAGCTTGTTGCAGGGGCGCAAAGGCCCATGAACACAGAGGAAGGGACCTTGGATGGTAGGACATATCTGATCTGCCTTACAAATAGGCCCAAATTCAGACCTCTTAAGTGGGCTTGATCATTAATTTTCGGACCATCGTGTATGCCTAAACAACGGTAACAAGATTTTTTTAACTCAAGCATTCGTTTGGACCTTCACTTGGACTTCAAGAAAAATTAATGCATGGACAATCATCGCATGTGCCAATAAACTAGATATCACGCTCTTTTATTTCTGAAGTAGTTCAATTTGCTTGTATAAACATACCACCACATATTCTTGTAATCAATTGTTGACAAGTTATATCGCAGTGTCCCTTAAGACATTGGTGTGCCTTTAATGCATGGTCCAACATGCCAATCAAGAAAGACTGGATGACTGACGTGAACACTTTTTTTATTATTATTTTTTACGCGAACACTTTATTGATATTTATCCGCTAAAGTTGAAGTCGATACCTATATATTAGCCTATATTCCCGCGAGGTTGACATGCCATATTCAAAGTAGTAGGAGGATCAGAAAAGGCTCCTGTTGATGTTTGCTCGAAAACAAATTTGTTGGCGGCCTCGGTGTAATGAATTCCATCCCAAACTACTCGTGCCGACGGGTCATCACATGAACCCACAGTTATTTGGGTGCCATTTACTGTAGTTGTTGCTCCGCATCCGGCACTCGCACTGTAGTTATACATGCCTCCATACCCACAACATACCACAAGTGGAAGCTCATCAAATCCTACAATATGATAAAATAAAACATTAAATACGAATGAACTAAGCAAGCCTCGTTAAATAGTGAGCAAAAAATATATAACATTGTATTAATTTTGTTGACATTATTTTTATTAATTAGTTATGTATAATCAAGAACAGTTTTTTAAAATACAAATATGAGCAAAATATAGGGTTTTACAGATCATACCATGTTTTTTGGGTTCCCTGAATAAAGAATACTTCACGGAATAGACATCTACATATGTGAATGCAGCTGAAGGAAAATCCTTCCTGAGTTGAACTACTGCCTCTTTCAGCTTATAATTAAAGTATTGAGCTACTTCATTATAAGGCTTGGCGCAACCAATACTGTCTTTCTCAGCCGAAGGAAAAGTGGTTAAAATGTAAGCAAGACAACCAATCGGTCCTGTATTATGAATCCAAAATGATCTAGCTCCCAAATTGTATATGCTCTGCATCAAAGTAACTTTGCTATTTTAGTTGTATATAATATTTCTACAATATAAAATGGCTAGGGGGGGGGGAGGGGATACATAGCATCTACTGTATTTAGGATGAAGTAAAATTGCCTGTAATATTGGCTCGAATTTGAAATCGAATTCTACTCTCTCTCAGAATTAGAGATGCATGTTGAAGAGTAAAAAGGAGTAGAAATATGTTACCGTAACATTTGTCGAGAATGCATCGACAATACTAGGAACAGACGCATTCACTTCCTCAACAGACATATTTCCGAAAAATCCAGCTCCAAGATCATTCTGACCAATATCGAATGTGTATAAAGCTTTTTGAAAGTATTCATCCTTGGGCATCAATTGTGCGAATACTCCTCCTACAAACAGATCAAGGCTTTAATTTATTTCCAATTATATCTTAATTAGTTGAACGTCAAAATTCCAGATAGGAAGATTAATTAATTAATGGTGGTTACCTTGTTTCCTAATCAACTGTGATGTGGCGTTAAATCGAATGAATTGAGCATATTGCACTGCAAGGTAGAATGGACTGAATCCACCATTGGGTACAATACTAGTTGGTAATCTAATGGTGGATGCTGCTGTGGCAAAATTTGCTCCGACAGTGAAGTTGGCCCCCAGAGAATCAAGGTAAGCACTAAGATATGAGAGATTAAGACTCTTTGCTGATACAACACAATATATACATAGGGTCAATTGTCAATAAAAAATTAATTTATCATTACCTATTCAACAAAGAAGCGATTTTTATCAAGATCACAACAAAGTAAAACGCTTCTCTCCCCACTTGGAAAGTACAACTTACATGATCATTAATTGAATGCTCTTCCATGTTCTAACTTATGATTTAGTAAATGAAATTTTGGGAATACCCACATAGAAATGAGCGGTCAAAGATCTTTACAGCCTGACCATTAATTCGTTCCAAATGGGAAAGAAAAATGATTTAAAAATAAATTTTTCGTACTAAACTTATGTACAAACGAAGTAGCTCTATTTAAATTTGAAGTGTGGATAGATTCAATTCTAAGCTATATTGAGTTATTTGTGGTACTGTCTTATTCAGAGTCATTTCTAACATCTCACTAGACCTTATTGCCAACGACTATTGATTGTATGGTCAGTAATAAATTAGCTAATAATAATTAATTACCCTAAGCTGGAACTGAAGGTAAACGACTTACCAATGAAATCTATAATCAGCCTTCCATCAGAGAACCTCCCCGCCGGCATGTGAAAGTAAGTTTCTCCATAAGGAGAATTAAGAGGAGGGAAGGAAGCAGCGAATCCACCAGTATCCGAATTTGAGTCACCAAAGTTGAAGATTGCTGGGAACTCACAATTTTCCGAAGCAAATATTGGGTTCCAGATGGCAAATAAAGAGAAAAAACCACACAAAAAGAAGAGAGACTTGTCACAGATAGGCTAGCGGTGGAGAACCCCATATGGAATTTTGAGATGAGAGGTAGAGAGGGGATTGTATTTTCCTTTTATATAGTGTCGGCATTCGGCAGTCATGTAGGACCTTTCAAGCGTTCTAGACCTTCTCGTAAGGCAATGACTAGTGACTAACCAGTCAAGCCAAGGTTTAAGGTTTATCTCCTCATTTATATCATTGGCAATCGCATGACATATTCAATGATGTGTGTGTTAAGAAGATTGTAATCATGCACTTACCCGATCATTACGGAAGATCCTGTTCCAGAATTTTCGCTTATAAATTACCCCCTTAATTTCTTTCTTTCGGTTTTTTACCCCTCAATGCATCGATCAATTTGTTTTTTTAAAAAAAATATCAGCAATCTCCATTCAATAAGGGACACGGTTACATCTTTTTGGACAAATTTTGCTACTGTGGTAGGAACATCCTCCATTATTACGAAGCCAGTAGCTTCAAATGTAGCCAAATTAACTAACGCATGAGGAACCTTACTAACAGTGCTGCTAACATGCTTACAGCTAAAGCCTAGAAAAAGATTTAGACATATCCAAGATATCACTAACCAGAAAATAAAAGTAATTATGACCTTCATAGCGTTAGCTTCCTTGAAAATGGATAAGGTTCTCTGGGATACGTATCTGAAGATTCCATCTACTGAAATTTCTCTCTGTTGAAAAAAGCGCACATTGCGTGCCATCCATAAGTTCCACAGCGTGATCACGTCCAGCAACTGAAGTTTCTCTCTGTTGAAAAAAGCGTACATTGCGTGCATGCCGTAAGGTCCACAACATCACGTTTTATTAAGAGTTCCTTATCCCAAAGTTATGGTAGAAGTCTGTAGCAGCAAGTTACTGGAATTAGGTCAAGATTTTTTATTAGAACTCTCTAGTAGGCTATTAGCTTAGCTACTTCTCTGTTTATATGTTTGTCTTGTATCCAGAACAGATGAATGAAGGAGGAAGTTGCAGAATTTCAGACTTAATTTTTCTGCTCTTTAGTTTCTCTGTTATCAGAGCTCTTAAGGATCTTAAGGGCCAAAAGAAAGAATGATTTCGGGCAGCCTTTCACTTGCATCTCTACCAATTTTTGGAGGAGAAAACTATGAGTTTTGGTCAGTCAAAATAAAGGCTTTTCTCATGGCAAATGAGCTATGGAAATTTGTAGAACAAGGCTATGAACCACCAGCTACAGGATTACAACTTACAGCTGAACAACAGAAGAAAAGGAAGCATGAAGAAGTAAAGAAATGTTAAAGCTCTCACCTCTCATGCACTCAGCAATCACAGAGACGATTTTTCCAAGGATTGTTAGTGCAATCACAGCAAAGCAAGCCTGGAAAATCTTGCAAGAAGAATTTCAAGGCACTGAGAGAGCAAGAACCATCAAGCTGTAGATTTTAGGAAGAGAATTTGAAGTTCTGTTAGAAAAATAAAAGAATTTGGGTAAGGTTGCCCATGACAGGTCGACCTGATAAAGATAAAGAAAAAAATTATATATATATATATATATATATATATATATATCCAAAAGTGAAAAGTGAGAGACAAGAGAGAATAGAAAACAGACATAATAAAAAGAATCTCTAGATAGAATATTAAAATAAGAAGAATTATCTTGGTACTTAGATTAGATTATGAAAATAAAGACAATGATTTGATATTATTATCTTGATATAGTGAAACTATTTACAAGTTTGTATTCAATCCTAATTATTATTTTTATTGAGGTATTTATCGTAATCTTCATTGGAATCAGAGTCGGGTTTAATAGTTTCAATGATTATTCATAGAGTGTTATTAATATGTTAGTGTTCGATATTTATTGTTACGTAATAATTCTTGAAAATTTTTAAATTATCCAGTATTCTAATATTTTTTGTTAATATATCAATGTTTTGATATTTATTGTTATCTACGTAATGATATTTTGTTATTATCTACCTAATATTCATCTAAATCCATGTAATAATAATAATTTTAAAAAAAGGCATGTCAGACTTGTATGGATGATACACGGCACAAGACTTATTCATGACATACGGAACAAGATTCATTCACAAAAAGAAAAGGCTTATTTAAAAATCAAAAAACAAATGTCAAAGATATGATTTGAACCCACAACCGTTTGAATGTGATGCTTAATATAATGCCTTAGGCCACTCTGCCATCCTAACCCATTGACATTTGGCAAGTAAATATACAACTTCTTTAAAACGGATAAGCAAATGCTTTGAAAACAGATTATTGAAAGTGGGATTGAACTCACGTTGTATTGGATCAAAATTCTTAATCTGTGACCTCAAACCAACTCAGTCGATGCATCATGCTGGTTCAAAGTTGTTGATAAATTAATATTATTCTTAAGTATTCCATAAGGACTGTTGATGATTCATTATTTTTGTGTTTAATCTCATAAACTATTTACCTATAGTAATTTGAGTTATGTGTTTATATATATATTTTTTTCATTTGGAATATATATAGATGAACATATGCTATTTATAAAGCATTATATTTTTCTCATATTTGTTTTTGCTTCATAAATGTTTAATGGAAATCATAAGATAAATTCAAATGGTGTAACTTTTTAAAATTAAGTTATTAAAATTAAACATTTGAGTATAGATGATGACAAGGAACATAATGAACTATCGATTCTATATCTTATGTTAGATTTTAATAGTTAATTGAAGAATTAGTGAAACATACATAAATATTGATATTGCATGTAACGTCTCTTTACGAGTAATTGGTTGTCAAAATAGCAATAAAGAACGTCATTGCTGACTTAAATAAGGGCGAAAAGCTTGATGAGAACAACTATAACATATGGCATGTTAAGATACAACATATCCTAGAAGAGTAAGAGGCTATTAATCATGAGATGATTGAGCCTCATTCTAATGATGGGAACAACCTTGCCCGAGTATCGTCGAGATATCGCAACATATCGAGCTCGGAAGAAAGCAGATTCCACCGCAAAGGGAATCCTAATCAATTTTATGAAAGATGATCCGGTTTTCAAGTCCCAAAATTATCCAAGGTTATGCCGTCCGGGTAGCACCGAGGAAAGAGTTTGGAGGGACCACTTGTCTTCAAACTAAGGCGAGTTGACAATCAAGTTCGACACTTATAAGAAGGTTTTAAACAAATCTATGAAACAACACCCGAGGGACATGTCGAACATGATTAAAGAACTAAAGCAAGCTAGGTATGTCTTGGCGGATGAACAACAAGTACGAGTTGTTATCCGATCTCTTCCCGATAGTTGGGAATATATAAAAGTGAACATGACTCACAATGAGAATATCGGGACATTTGCTCGACGTCGCTCGCCATATTGAGCGTAAGATGAGCGTCTTGAGGCGGTAAAGCAAAAAGCAATAACATATGTGGTTGAGTCTAGCTTTAAAAAAACTTCGGGTTTTAAGCTTAAGTGGCGTGGCAATAAGAAAGAGAAAGAGACTGGACATGGACCAAAGAAGAGAACCAAGTTTTTTTAAGCGTAAAAGAGGAAAGCGTAATAAAAAAAAAGATAAGACCAAAATGACTCGTTACAACTATGGCAAGTCTGGGTCACCTCGCTCATGAGTGTAATGGGCTATCCAAGTCGGAATTGAAGGATAAAATAATTAGCCGCCAAAGAAGCAAAAATGTGGCCCTCAATAGGAGAGAAAAAAATCTAGCAAAAGAAGAAAAATCACAGAAGAAACAAAAGAGGAATAAATAAGAGACAGAGACACTAAGTGCATTCTACAAGAAGAGAGATAAATACTTAAAAAAGATACACATCCAACACAATATAAAACCATCAACAGGGACAAAACAAGTAAAATAAAAGAAGCATCTAATGACATGAAGTAAATAACATAAAAAAACTCAACGTATTTTGCTCATAAACAGTTAATGAATAATGTATAATTCAAGTCCTAGTGAATAGTAAATGCTACAGTGAATTCATAATTCTTTTTTATAATAAAGACGAGTATTGTGATGATTATCTCAATTTATCAGTTTTAAAAAAATAATAAAAAAGAGGAGGGCGGCAAGACATATTTATCCTCTAATTATTATGTGATTCTCAATAGGTCCCAATAAAACAAAATAAAAATAAGATCCGCCATGTATCATTACAATTTATTTATTTATTGAATGATTTTAAAGGAAAAATTTAAAGGCAAGGATTAATCCGGTGATGTATCATACGGGGATCTAAGGATTGTTTGGTTTGAGGACTCAATTGAGAATTGGATGAAACTTAGGGGATAAATATGTTCTTTTCCCTGAAAATTAAACAACCCAACTTTAATCGGGTCGGGCAGATTTTTCCTGGTACTGGAATTCACAGGACCCAAGCAAGCGCAGCTGCTCCTTTTGCAAACCCTACTACAACCCCAGCCTTTCTTTCTCATTGCTCTCTTTCTTGACGACTAGGTTATAGCAATATCATCTTATCCAAGGTGAGTATTCTTTCTAGCTAATTGATTCGTTTCTGCTTTAGTTTTTTCAATCTTCAAATTTTATGTATTTTGTTCTCTAATTTTGGCTGTTCTGGCTTTAATTTCGATTTTACCTTCTCTTTATATACATTTATGTTTTGATCGGGCCATTAAAAATTTTGCTTTTTTGCAAAAATTTTTCCAATGTTAGCTCTGCAAAAGGAATTTTCTTGACAAAGAAGCTGTGGAATTTCTATACCAGTTCCTTATTAGTTTATCTATGTGGTAATTTGTGGGTAACTTTTCTATATAGACTTGTCTATTTTTCCTGCTTGGCTTCTAAGAAAACATATTTCTGGCTTGAAACTTTCTTACGTTCTGAGTTCCATGGTTTCATACGTTCTACATCATATCAGTAGGGCAATTAGGATGTTTCATATTATTGATTAGTTTCTTTATGACTAACTGAAAGTTTTCTGTATTTTTCCTTTGATCCAGAATTTGGCATAATCACAATGCTGTCTAGTCAAGCTTCTGCTTCGATAGAAGTTGATACAGTTCCAAATGGACCAAAATCGCAATCTGGGTCTTGGCCAGAGAAGCCAAAGTTTGAGCCTTTAAAGGCTCATGAAATGTCTGATGGTCGAGTTCAGTTTAGGAAGGTCTCAGTTCCCTCGCATCGGTATTCGCCTCTCAAGAAAGCTTGGATGGAAATCTACACTCCGATATATGAGCAGATGAAGGTTGATATCAGGATGAATCTCAAGGCTAGAAAGGTTGAATTAAAAACTAGAGCAGACACGCCCGATGTTAGTAACCTACAGAAGTGTGCAGATTTTGTGCATGCTTTCATGCTCGGTTTTGATGTGATAGATGCCATTGCTCTTTTGCGTTTGGATGAGCTATATGTGGAATCCTTTGAGATTAAGGATGTTAAGACCCTTCGAGGGGAACATCTATCTCGTGCCATTGGAAGATTGTCTGGTAAAGGTGGCAAAACAAAGTTTGCGATTGAGAATGCTACAAAGACAAGGATTGTGATTGCCGATACCAAGATTCACATTTTAGGATCTTTTCAAAATATCAAAGTTGCAAGGGATTCTCTTTGCAGCCTAATTTTAGGGTCTCCTGCTGGGAAGGTATACTCAAAACTTAGACAAGTTACAGCTAGACTAGCAGAGAGGTTTTAATCATTTTTCGTTTTTTGTTATTCTAAGAATACACTGAGTTATTGGCATTGGTTAGGTACCATTTGAGATTTGTTATGCCAAGTACATGTTAACTTTGAAGCTTAGCTTCAATTTCCATGCAGAAGCACATCATCTGCCCAAAAAAAGAAAAAAATCATCATAAAGGAAATCAATAATTTTTCATTTGTAAGTTCTATTAGTTCATGATCGATTTAAGTTGTTAAACATTTACTACTGTTTAATTCGCTCCTTTTTAACACCTTTTACTGCTTATATTTGACAGTTTCAATTTGGCCTTTTCCCTGATGTACTCACTGGGCAAAACTTGTTTGTTGAACTTTACACCATCCTAATTCACTTGCAAGTGAGGGGTCACTGCCCAAATCAACCGATATTCGTGTGCTGCTTACTGTAATTGTTTATCCACATGCAAATATTGGTGCTCAAATGCAGCTGTGTATAAATAATATAAGTCTAGTGAAGAAAAATTGCTGTGTCTAGATACAAATACAGAGAAAGAGATAAAAATATCGTTTTAGGTTGGGTAAATGAGTTTCAAATGCCAAATGGTGCTAATATGTACGGCATTAGCCTATTTTTGGGTTCACAAAATAGAGAGTACACTAGTTAGATACATGTGCTATGTTGCGGTCAAAAAACTGTTACATACGTAGGGTTAACGATTTGTACGGTATAGTGTGAATGAAAATTTTATTTTTTGTGATTAATGTAAATCGAATCTATATATTGAGCGAAATCATTTGATTTATATATATTTATTAACAAAATATTTAATAATATTAGCATAAAAAATTATTTTCGAATAATTAGAAGGTTCTTTCAAAACATTATCTAACTTATTTTATTTTAAAAAAATTTAGAATGTGATACAAATAAATAACAAATAATTGATATTATGTGTGTAAATATATAGTTAATTTGTAATATATATGTATATCTCATACTTAACATATTCAAAATATATAGAATAAATAAAAAAATATACAAAAGAAAAATCATCTAAATTGTATGAAATATAATGAAGTAAATAGATTAAAATAAAAACTATAAAAAAAATTGGCTATGATAAATTCTAAATAAATATATAAAAAAAAGCATAGTATATAGAGTAAATAGAAAAATATACGAAAAAAATCCACCTAAATTGTATAAAATATATTGAAGTCAATAGATTAAAATAAAAACTGCAACAAAATTGGTTCTACTAAATTTCGAAAAAATATATATAAAAAAGAAAATAAAACTTGTGATTTTTTAATTGATTATTATTTAAAAAAAATTGAGCTAAACTATCTAAAACATACTTTTAGCTCTCTCTCCTCTCTCTCTCTCTCTCTCTCTCTCATATATATATATATATATATATATATATATATATATATAATCAGAATTTATAAATTACAATGATATATTTTAAAAAATAAAACACTCATTTAAAGGCATAAAATAAATTATTGTATAAATTATAATAATATATTTTTAAAAAATAAAACACCGGCATTTTAAAATTTTATTCCAAAATTCATATATTAAAAAATTAATTTTTTTTAACAAATAAAATTATATCAAAAGATTAATTTGATGAGAATTTTGATAAAAAATAAATAATTAAAGAAATAAATTTTAAACAATAAAAGTAATATAATCAAATATATATGTTTAAACTAAAATCTTAAAAAATATCATCTATGAATATCATCCTCAAACTATGCGTAAAACTAAAAAAAAACAAAGATTTATTTTCTATATTTTTCATACCTAATTTCATGATAATATATATACATACACACATATAAAAAAACAAAAAAAGAGGCCAGGCTCACACAGGGCAACCAGGCGCGAGCTGGGCCTCTGTTTTGTTTTCCTCGCTCTGTGTGTGTGTGTGTGTGTGTGTGTGTGTGTGTGTGTGTGTGTGTGTGAAAAAAATGAAAAAGATGGCCAGGCGTGAGTTGCCAAAGATAAGAGAGGCAGGTGCAGTAAGCCCAAGCACCAGCAGCCTAGGCCGTTCAACCCAGAGCCAAAAAAAAAAAAAACAATTACTACAATAAATAAATAGTAACAATCCTAGATCTTTTAGTTTTTTTAGTAATGTCATCCAAACAAGTAAAATCGATACATTAGTTAGCTTTAGGGAATTGGTTCCTGGAGTTGAATGGTGGCCTATTTCAACTTGAAACTAAAGCACAGGGCCATTTCGTCACAGGGCCTTGCACAACCATCAGCCTTTCTTGAAGCACTGGTATCTGCTTGTTTGAAATGCCTTGAGTTTTATGTTCGAGCGTTTAGTGTAGATTTATTAGACAGTTTGCATTTCGTAACTTTTTAGGGTTCGTATTGATCGCATGATTAGTTTGACAGTATTGTTTTTTCCGCTTAAAATTAGCCATAATGCTAAGCACTACAAGAAAAAACCTTAATTTCTCTGTTTGGATCGTAGGCTTGCGGGGAGAAAAGAGGGAATAAAATCAAACTTGTCTCGTGGCAGCCGAGCCTCTGAACCACGTAAAAAAAAAAAAATTAGCAACATCAATTATAAATCCTCTGAATTCTATTATTTAACCCCCAACCAAGACAAAACAATGAAGCTCGCTAAGTATCAATTGTTGGAATTTGGGCTACTGCCGAGAACAATAAAGCTCATTTGGGTTTTCTCGGCTGCAAATCGACTCGTAAATACAGAAAAAGAAAATTCCAGTCACTACATTGATTTGCTAGTGGAATAAAAGGAAGAAAAATCTTTTGGCGAGTATATCAATTTTGTTGATTGATCAGGACGCGGTTCATACATCAGTGAAACTGGCTTTTGATTACTAGAATTTTCTCTGTTTAGTTGTTTACAAACAAACGGGGACTGAATCACTGTAGAGGACATTTTCTTCTGACTGTTTTATCAGCAGGATTGGACATCAAACAGAAATGATTCTAAACCATGATGAGATTCCATACATAACCAATTAAGCGATAACTTTTCACCAAAAAAAATGACAACTGGATTTGGTTACACACCAGCAATACCCACGTATCTAGGTTTGGTGCTTTGATTTTTCTATGGAAAAGCTAAGACTGAAGGCATCTCAACTGAGATGCTTGTTGGGAACAAAACTGTGTTTTCATTGCACAGTTGCCTGTGCGTGATCAAAAGAAATCTGAAATTCTTGATTTCCAGGTTACTTATCTAACAGAGTTCCAAAAGCCCAAAAAAAAAAAAAAATCACGAAAAGATACATAGCAATCATGGCACAGATGATCTACTCTCGCCAATAGTCTCTTTTTTGTCGATTCTACTTTACAGAGATCCACTTGTTGATTGCGCATCAGAATACGTCGTAGAAATTTGAATTTCTGAACAAGTAAGACTATTATGATCTTCTAGCACTGCTTCCCTGTGTCTCTGCCTTATATTCTCTTCCCACAATTTCTAATGAAATAATCCACATTTCATAACATATTCAAAAGTCACCTTTCGGCCTTCCTTTATCCAAGATGGTCCTGGCAAAGTCCCTTGCCATTTCATTATGACGATAATCATGAAAATGGCTATAATCCACACCTATATGGTCAGGGCACAGAATCATGGGAGACTGATGACTACCGTATTGTCTGGCCCCACTCCCCCAGCCCCTACGTCCGTGAATTTGGCTTCTTTTTTTAGAATAGACATCACTGCTGCAAAAATCTAGCTTCTTAATACAGAGCTCTCTTCCTGCAATTGTTGCACAAAGGTAGCAATGGTGTCTAAACCTCCTGAAGAAAAACCCTCATCCTAGCATAAAATTAAAGGATCTTACTCTTAATAGCAATATCACAAAGAAACTCAATCTTAACTGACTACCAACTGGAGATTATAATGCACGATCACTTTCTCGTGTAATTCAGCATTTACAATTCTTACATTGACGAGATATTAAAGACAAACAAGCCTAAAGCTGAAGAAAAAAATATAAAATTCCATGACGTTAACGCCCCTCCAAACTCGTGCAATTTAACTTGATTCGCTATATCATACTACTATCTACAGTTAAATCTGGACGGTTGACGGACTTGGGTCCCTTCAAAGTTCAAACTTCACATTGCTCTCTTTTAATGCTTATCAACACTGCACTGTACAAGTCACCATCTAATATGTGACAGTAAACACACACACACAGCCAAAAAAAAAAAAAAAAGACTTAAACGCATATGCATGAAAGCATCAAAGGAAAACTTCTGGTATAGTTTTTGACGTGTAATTGATACCATTCGATTCACATAAAACATGAAGAGGCTTGCTCCAATACATCAGGAGGTGTAAAGTGGAGTGCTAAACTGCTCAGCAGAAGAAGGCTGCAAGGCACGGATTTTAATATCATATTTTCGACGTTTGGAAACCTCACTGACTGAGGAAGAGTCAGAACCATCAGCTACAAGTGGATAAGCTGAGGCATCATCATCATAAGCAATTCCAATATGATTACCGCACTTACGGCAAAGAAGTGCAGTTCGGCGGCGGAACAAACCCCAGAAGTTTTTTGAAAAGAAGGGAATGCATTGGAATTCATCAATCTGAGTAAATCTGCTCTCATCGATGAAGAAGAAAGAGATTTTCCCTCGCTTTATGGATTTCCCATATTTAGAGCCAATAGTTGAGGTGTTTCGATTAGAGGAGCTCAAGTTCAACTCATACCCACAAATACCGCAGCTGCACCAAATTTCCTCCATTTAATTTTCTGAACTTAGAAAAACACAGCCCACGCAGAAACAACAAAATCCACAATGATCCAGTAAAGAATGTCTAGAAAGCACACAAAACATCTATTGATGGATACTGTCTTATATGTTAATGTAACTAAAAATAAATGTCTCTTCTCTCTCTTTCAAAACAAGGCGAATAGAGGATCAACAATTCGTCTGATCATCTTATTAGAACCATTTCTGCGATGGCCTCATTCACAGTGATAATCTTGTAAATAAAAGGCAAAACTAACATCCGTTATAGTGAATGATAGGCTGTAGAAAAGAGCTCCTTCCCATAAGGGAAAATTTAAATGTCCCTTTTCCTTAACCATAGTTGTTCGACTAATTTGATAGGCCTGAACACTTGTCCAGCCACCCATTAAAAAATTATGTTTAAGTTCTGTATCAGAATTAACTCCCCAAAACATTGCTCAAAACTTAAAAAAGAAGACTTTTAGCTCTCAAGCTGACAAATTGACATGACATATCAATCTAGTCTCTTGTTTTAAATTCATTTAGATCAATTCTCACAAGCTTATTAAGAACCCAGGTTTCCTTTCACCAAGAGAAAGAAAAAAGAAAAAAAAATCCTATCTTGGAAAAGCCAAAAACAATAAATCAGATGTCCTAAACAGGTCTCAATTTGATCATGAATTGAACACAGTGAATTTCCACTGTAGAACAGAAAACAGAAACCAGTCGACCAATTTAAATCAACAAAAAAAAAAGCCCCATAACAAAAAACTCAATCTTTCATTGCGAAAGAAAAAAAGGCCCAATATTTAATGGGAAAGAAAGAACCTGTAGCTGACATGTCTTTGAGATACAGAGGAAGAAGAAAAGGAATGATAGTGGTTCCCGTTGACGTAAGCTTCCCGGACAACCGTAGATTTTTCCATTCTGATTCTTGATCAACGCCTGTGATCGTGATTGCGATTCAAATGACCGATGATAGAATTAATAAGTTAATGACGATCAAAGACAGTTTTACATATAATTAGGTTTGTAAGAAACGTGTCCCGCCTGAATCGCGTGACTTAAACTAATAAAATTCAAGACAGAAGTGGATCCTAGAGAGAGAAGTTAAAGGGCTTTCGCAGAGACGAATAAGAAGAAGTTGGGAGAGGAATCAAACAAAGCAACGAAAAGGTAATGAGATTGGTGTATGGTGTAGGCTGTCCTTTTCTTTCTTGGAGACGACTTGGTTTAAAACGGAAAACAAAGAGGTTTAATTAAGTCATTTCAATTAATCAATGCGAGTAATTAATTGTCATTAAAAGGTCACATACTATTATTAAACAAGTTTAAATTGCATTATGGCTTCAATCCATAAATAAATTAATTAATTCAGACAGAGTGGATTTATTCTTAAAAGAAAATACTCCATTAGTAAATATATAAAAAAAATCAAAATTAAAAAAATAAATCGTATTATTATGGTATGCAGTGCTGTTGTTTTAAATTACACGTGTCCATATTTGAGTTGTTGACGAGAGGTAATTATTATAACGGAGGTTGGGTGTTTGTTTGTCTATAATGTGACTTTTAGGAAAGTTTTTGGTGACTATGATAGCCAATTTGTTGGATGATCCATTTTAAAAAAAAGTAATTTCTGTCTGATTTATTTTCGAGTTCACAATCATTGCCTCTACGTCTAAGTGATTGTAGAAAGATGAAACCGGGAACAGGTTTGATGATGTAAGGAGTCAACTACTCAGATTCTTGTAGAGTTCAAAAGTTTTAATCTTAATCCTAGGTAAAGCAACTACAGCTATAACGAAGACATACTCTATATATTGATTATTGAGTAAATTATAATCTATTTCCTTTAATTTTGCAAAATAAATTAAATAAAACCTTTTGTTTTAAAAATATATTTTTTCCTCAAATTCTTTCATATTTTTACTTATTTTTTTATTTATTAAAAACAAAAAAAATGTTACAAATAGATTTTAGAACATAGAGGCTAATTGATTAATTTTTAGATTAGAAAAACTGTTTAATGCATTTTAAAAAAACTAAAAGAACTAATTTATAATTTACTTATTGACTATTTGGTCCTTCGAGGTTGCCTCTAATAAAAAATAAAGGCAAAGTCCTATGATAAAATTCAGTGATGATTTAACTAGCTATTTATAAGGTCTACTTCTGATGCATTATTAAACATTGCGGCATTTAGTTAAGTTATATGGAGTATAAAATATAACGTCTATTTCGAAAACTGTGGAGTAATTTTGGAAAATTATGTGGCTATTTTAGGGAAAAAGGAATGTAAAGGTAATTCTCTTAGAATATTCCAAAAGCATTGCAGAAGGCTCCATCTCAAAATAAAAAAGTATCTTCATTTGCATCGAAAAGAGACTAGAACTAAAACAAAGAAAGACAGTGATTGTTCGAATTTTCTAGCGAAGTCAGCAATCTATACATACATAAATCCACCATTTCATTATCCGGCGGCAGACAGGGGGCAAATCACACCGACAAGTTTTATGCCTATAGATCGTCAAGTGCATGGTTGGACATAAAAATCAGGTCCCTTTGTCTTGATTTAAGTATTGAACCGACCAGCATCAGCCACCCGTTGGCTGAGGATATTGAAATGGTACGTGTCCTTGCAGCAATGCTCTGTATTGTATAAGAGATTTTACAACCTTTTTTTCTCTTCCTCGTGCGAGTTATGACTCGCGGGCAAATAACATAGTCAAATTTAGAATAACTATAACGAAAAACGCCCATATCGATTAAGTCATTTGCTTTAAATAAAATAGTAAAAAAAGATCCTCGAACTTATAAAAGCTTAAAGGTGAGACATTTGGCGATGATGATACCAGCCATAAATACTCGTGCTGTGGATGTTTCAGGTAAAAGTTATAATCGCAATGGTCTTATTCTTTTCCCATTTTATAAAACTCAAAAATATATATATTGATTCATATAGTTAGGCACATAAGCATATCAAGTAGAGTAGTAAAATTCATATAAAAAATAATTTCGTAGAAATTTGAGTGTGTATAGCGCCTCTGGAGTTCTAAATTGATCTGATTTTTACCTAAATTCAATTTGAATTCGATGTGATTAAATAAATATAACAAACAAATTTTTCATCCAAGTCTAATTATAATTCAAATTTATTACTTTATTTATTAAATATATTAAATCTGAATTTACATTAATATGATTTGATAATAATCCAATTCGAAATTAAAAATGATATTTTTATAATAAATATAATACTTAAAATAAAAAATATATATAAATATGAAATTAGGTTGAAATTTAGAGTTTATTTATAAAAAAAAATCAAATAACTCATATTATTTCAGTGACGAATGTATTTTCATAAAACATCACATATAAATTTCTTGTTATTTTTTTAATTCAATTTTGTGATGAATTGACTTATATGACTTTTCAAGAATTTGTGTTATTATATTTTTTCATCATCCTATTTTTGTTATAAAAAAATTACAAAAACGAAAAAAAAAAGATGAGTAAGAAATAGATTAAAAAAAAGATTAAAAGAAAAAACCAATTGATTGGAATTAGCGCAAAATTGAAGAGAATAGAGAAAAAGGGCTAATGAAAAAAATAAAAAAAGAAGAAGAAGAAGGAAAATTCAAGGCAATTTGGAGGAGATTAGTACAATTGGAGTTTTTTCTCTAAATAAATTCGAAAAAAAAATAATTATCATTTGAGCATACTTGAGTATTTTGCACATAACTTCATGTATAAAAATCCAATTTATGCAATTCTTATGGAAAATTAAAGTTAAGAGATAAGCCTATAATTTATATGTTTTAAACTTGACTTATATTGACTCATCATAGCGTAGAAAAATTTCAACATAAGAGGTAAAGTTATTGATGATTATCGTGCATCTTTGTTTCTAAAAATTACGAAAGCAATAACTACTACAAGTGATTGAGTTTCAAATCGAAACAGAAAAACCTATGGTATTTCATTTATTTGACTCGTTATATTTCTACTCTTTATGCATTAACCAAATATTAAATATATATATATGATAATATTAATAGATTTTCTTTTCTTTTCTTTTTTTGCAAAAAAAAAAAAAAAAAAAGAAAGTCATATTTGTTTATTCTAGTTTTATGCTACTTTCTCGCCTAGTTCAAGATAATTTTTTATAAAATTATTTGATTATGTGCTTTTGAATTATGTGATATTTTGATTTTTGTTTACAAAATTGATAGATGATATATTATCTTAATATTTTTTATTATACATTAATATTTTTATTATGCATGTAGTGGTTGAAATATATTTTATATTTAAGCAATATATTAAATGTAGTCGGCATAAGTTTTTCCAAAAACTAAAGTGTGTTTGATAAAACTAAAAATTAAGTGTTGAATATGTTAAGTAATAAATTTTAAGTGCCGAATAATTAAGTATTGAACATATTGTTGACAAACTCGTTTGGTATTTATAAAAAATTAAGTGTTGAATATAATAAGATTGTTTGATAAGTACTCGTTGTTAAACATATTAAAATTGTATATATGAGAATTTTAATCTTGCAATTGTAACATAATATTTTTTAACACAAATAAAAAAATATACATAGATATATTTGTATGTATGAATAAATAAATAAAAACTCAATAAAATATTATTAATAAAAAAAATTAAACAAAGGGGTGGATGCTATCATTTAGTAGTGGGTTCGATCTAAGGAATCGATTTGCAACGGATTCTATAGATGGATGACCATGGGAAAAAGGCTTGTCGACCGGTGAGAACGCTAGCATACCAACCTCGGCACCACATAGAGTCACCAACTCATTTGTCTTTTTGTAGATCCTAGATCTACGTTTTGAGAATGTGATTAACCTATCCTCTTCGTTTTCTATCCTATTTATTGTGATCTTGTGCTCGTCTTTGGTTTGGTTGCCTACCCGCCATTAAGAACTAAAATGCTTTTGGACTAGAAACCAAAAAAAAAAAAAAAAAAAAGATATGATAATGGAGAAGGTCTCTTATCTTTCGACAATAGGGATAATAGAGATCATTTCTCAATTAGTTTATACAATTAAGGTTATAAGAATATATAAGGGCTATATAGTCATATTTAAAAAAATTTAAAAATCTTTCAATTGAACTTGTTAATAAAAAAATTTTAAATTAAAACCTTTAACTTATCTAATTAAATAGATTTTGATTGAATTTAAATTTTAAATATGAGATTATTTTAGGTTATTAAATAAATTTTTTATATTAAGTACCACAATTTAATTTTTAAACCATTTAAATAGGTTATCAATCGCATCTTAAATGTTAAATAAGATAGAGCTCGAATCCGATCCGAATCCATTAGGATCCAAATCCAGATTTACATTTTCAAAATCTCAATTTGAATCCATAAGATTCGATCCGATTCATTTCATTAAATAAATTAAATTGAGATATATTATAATCTTATTTAAATTCGATCAGCTTGATAGCTTTAAAAGTCTTTTTACTTGAAGTGATTTCCTAGAACTTTGATGCTTACAATCCAAGCAAATGGTCATTAGCATTGGATTCTTACCATATGCATGCTAAAGAAAGTTTAAGTTGTGAATTTGGTCGATCTAAGCTCCTTCATTGAAGAAGGTGATTCATTTTTTTCCAATCCTAAAAGATTGGTAATCAAGTGCTCGCTCATATTGCTGGATTTTTTTATTTTTTATTCTATCTTTTTCTTTCAATTATAACCCAATTTGCATTGGGTCCCTAAAAAACCAAATTCTCAATCGGGTCCCTTGGACATTACCTAATCAACCGTCTCCTTAAAATTTCGACTTTAAAATCATAAAAAATGAGGACCTTATTTGTCTTGTAACAACGTTGCTTTTGTTATTAAATTTTATGAAGGGGTTAATTGAGTGAATTTATGATAGATGACTAAGATAGCTACAATGTATCTATAACGCCCCTCCCTAGGCCACTTGCCAACTACCTAAAACGGAGTGGCCGAGCAAAAAGCGCGTTACGCCGACACTTCCAACGCAACTTAAACCCTATTACGTATATGCTTGGTACCATAACAACATATTACATATTAAAATATGTATAATACAATTTACATGATAAGAATATTCATATGGGAAGAAATTATAGTTATTTTATTCACAATACTATCAAAATGTCTACCGATACCTCAACCCAAAATTTACAATTAAAATAAAATCTCCTAAGGTTTGTGTAACCCATGAGCCCTTTTGGAGGATCCGGCAATGTCCTTATCGGTACTACAATCATCGCTAAATGTCATAACATGCAAATAACAACGAGATGAGCCGAAGCTCGGTAAGTGGGTTGATGCACGTGATATGTAATGCTTTTCCGACTTCCCATCATGCTCATAAATTTTAATTTCGAATACCCTAGGTAGTGGTGGTCTACTCTATAGGTGATTACCAAATCATCGAATGCTAACAACGAAATTATCCCTCGTTGTAGCCACCGCCGACGGGGATCTATCTCCTAATAGTGTAGGCACACGACTTAGAGTACACACACGACTCGACCGCTAACGCTTTTTTAATTCGATTAGGTTACCACCTCTATCCATACACACCACTTTTTGACCGTTTGATTATTTCTTAATTCATCCCCATCAATGCACTTGATGTCACAATTACGAGTATTGAACCCAGTGAGGGTACCAAACCATATAGGTTTCAAACTAATGCACCCATGCCGGGTTCACATATAGTTCACATGATTTCAAACATCTTGTCGCAACGTTCGCCTAATTAGGTTTAAACGCCAACTAGTGTCATTTGTTGGGGCGTGGGCCCGATTCATATTTGAGACCTTCCTATCGCTTAACGGGATACTTTTGACTATTACTTCATTCTACGTTTGACTTAGGTGGTATTTAACATCTCGACTGGTTTAAAAACACGCTAGGCACAATGTTTCTCCCCTTTTTGGCAAATTCGGTGCTTAGGTCAAGATTTAATTTCTTTTCACAACTTTACTTATCTAACTTCATTTTTATCATAATTTGGGCCTAATAAGTCCCTAAATTATTTAATTGGTTTGAGAAAACCCAAAGTCCCCCTTTTTCCTATGTTTGGGCCGAATGGTCTTAAAATTTGCAAGGAAATTATTTTGGTCTTACAAGGTTTTTCGTTTCTTATTAAAATGGCTAATCAACCTCATTTTCTTACCATTAGCTTAAGGTTCCTAAATACTAAAAGAATTTCATTTTTTTCTTTCATTCTTGGCCAAACATTTCATAAGTAAAACCTTAGAATTTTCATTTTATTTTCTTCATTTTTATTGTTTCAAGCCAAGCTTATACCAAACCCAAATTATTTTTTTGCAAATTTCGGTCAAACCAAGTTCAATTCATCACACCCATTACCGACTAATTAAGCTACACATAAGGCTTAATCAAGCTTAAGGAAACAACCATCACAAACAAGCATAATAATAATCAACCATAAGCAACTAATCATCAAAGCAAAAACCAACACTAACCCAAACTTAATTTATTACCATAAGCAAATAAATGGCATAAATAAATAACCAAAGAACCCACTTACATAGCTTAAGGTGTGATTAGGTTTTTCTTAGCTTTTTTTTTTCCTTCTTCTCTCCCTCTCACGATTTTCTCTCTTTTCTTTCTTGGTACTCCATAGTTTTTGGCTAAAAGTTCAGCCATTTAATCCTCTCTCTCCCTTATATACTTCCCTTTTTCTTCCCTCTTTACAATTGCCTTGAATCAATCGGCCAAGGTGGAAAGTACTTAGTGACTAAGGAAGTAAGTGGCTGGTTTGAAGTCAAAAGGAAGGTGAGTTGGCCTTAATTCATTTATTATGGTGGCTTAGGTGTCTAACCGAGTACTTAAGCTAACTAAACATCCTAACTAACCAAGTTTAAGTAACTAATCTCATTTCTTTTCATTAAATTTCGAAAATCTTTCTCCCTAAACTCAAAATTTTCTTTCCTAAAATTTTCAGCAGTGGTACATCCAAACGATCTGTACCAAATTGACCATAACTTTATAGATATAGATCTAAAAGTCATGAAATTTTACAGAGAGCTAGTAGACACATAGATGAATAACTTTTATTCTTTGAGTTTTACCCAGAAATCACTCTAAGATTCCTAAATAAATCACACAAAATTTAAAATTTTCCATCCCTAAAATTCGAAAAATTTTCTTTTAAACAATTCAAAAATTTTCTCAAAAATAAGTTTCAATGTTCCTAAAATTTTACAACACATTTCTCATTAATATAATTCATCCCAAATACTTAAAAATATCCTAAGGATAATTAACTAAATTATCCAAAAAATTTCTTTACAAAATTCTCCATGTAAACGTCAAACATACCGTTATCATAAAAACTTTTAAAACAATTCATATTATCACTTTTACTTAATATAGACAAGTTTATGAACATTTAAACATGTATATATGTTTATAATTAATAAATTTCATGGGAGTTACAGGATCCTTGGGAATTATTTCTATTTAGTGACTGATTTGAGAAGCATATTATAGTTGGAAAACAAATATACCTTTACCTTTTTTGTCTCGAAAAACCTGCAACTGGATACCATTGAAGAGAAGCGAAGAGCTAATGAGTTGTAATTTAAATGACATTAATGCCCATTCTTCCATCTAGAGAGGCGAAGAGAAGGTATTAATCTCTTAAATAAACACCAAGGTAGAATTTTACAAACATAACTAGCTAATCTACTCTTCCTCCTCGTCGGTCACAAATTTGCCAGTCCCAGGATTCAATGCGGCAATAAAGAAGAAGATAACGTTGAATAATACAAGTGGTTCGATTTCATTTATTGGGATCCCAGTCTCGATGTTGAGTTGTGCTAGAGCTCCCTTTCCTGTTATGATTTCTCCAATCAAAGAGAAAGCAATACCCAGCTGAGCCAATCTCCCCACAAAGAGTTCGTTGGATTTTGTAAATCCAAATAGAGGACCTTGCACACAACAAAACATTGCAAATATCTTTTAGAACACATGTAATGCCAGAGTAGAGATGCAACTGTTTCAGTTGAGACTTGGAACATATACAAGTCATCCCTCTTTGGATCTACCCGATCGAGTGCTTTGGCTATCAGAGTTTAGACACTACGTTTACAATGAATAAAAGTGAAAAGGAAAAGTTAACAGAAAAAAATCAAGCAAATAGATGATCATGTGTAATTGCAAACTACCTCCCTCCTTAAGGCCCAATGCTGCCCTGAGGCTTTTTCCTGGGGGGATCACAGCTCCTTCAATGCCAGTTGGCGGGTCATCAACGAATTGGCCACGATCACCCAAAGCTCCAATGGCTCCGAGCAAGGTGAAAAGGATGAAGAAAAGAAGAAGTGGTTCAGCTTCGTAAATGGGAATTCCAGTCTCTAGATTCAACTGAGCTAGAATTCCTTTTCCTGTTATTGCCTCACCCAATAAGGATGCCTGCAAAGGTTGCACAGTAACTTGCATTAGCAGGAATGCTTGTACAAACATTTACTTGCAACATAAACTAAAAGGTTCATTTTATCTGTTGTTTTCGTTGTCTTTGTGAAATGCCTGAAATAAGATTAGTACTAGCTAGACAACTCGACTCTACAGCAGGGGAGAGGCTACTTCACAAATTTTAAGCTATTAAATCGTAATTATATAAGCCAATAGACCTTAAAGATAAAAAGGACAATGGCCAATTTGGGAAAAAACAAACTGGAGAAAGAATACGAAAGGACATACAAGTGTACAACAAAAACACAGTAAAAAGTACAGTAGGAACAGAAAACATAAAAAGAAGAACACAAATGCAGAGCATAATTAGGCTAAGCTAGAGAAACCACATCGCCAAAATAGTGTTAAAATAGATCTCCAAAAGCAAGTAGAATAAACCTGGGAAGAATCAATTGTAAAACCAGGAGGAGCATCGAATCTTTAGGAAATCTAGCACGATATATTTGAAGAAATGCATTGAAAATCCAATACCACGAACCGTAATTATTGTTTAAGTCCAAATTCTAAGTTATTGCGCAACTCAGTGTGACCAAAGGGTCTCTCCCTGTGAAAATTTACTCTCCTCACACTTGACATATATTTCTTAGATGAAGCATGGCTAACCACACTGGCGTTGCAAGTTGTCATTGATTCTGGTAATTAATTTTATTTTTAATGTGATGATCATTACCATGGTTCATTGAGTGCTCTAACAATGAACAGAAGTTGGTTTTTATTTTTCTTGATTTAAAGGTTCATTTACTTCCTACGGAATTAAGATAAGCGAACATCGAAATGCATTATATGCTAAGAGATCTAGCTAATTTTAATTTTGCAGATGAAAAAGACATGGACTTACAGCAAAGCCAATCATGGCAACTCGTCCCACGAAGAGCTCATTCTGCTTAGTGAAACCGATCCCACCAGAGGTACCAAAAATACCATCTTCAACTTTTTCCTTCGGTCTTGGAACAGCCTATTAAGCAATCAAAGAAAAGCACACAATGAAGTCTAAATTATTATTATTTTTCTTAAAAAAAAAAATCGCATCTTTGACTGTAATTAAAGAAATGCAAACCTTCTTAGGAGCTGCCTTGGTTTTGGGTTTGAAGATAGCAAGTGTAGTAAAAGAATTGGAAGAAGAAGCTTTCCTAGAAAGTGGACTGAAGAGGAGATGAGAGAATGGTGTAGGCCTTAGTCTTTGAAGTTGAAATTGAAGCATAGGATCTCTCTTCCAATCCACCACTTGCCTCGTAGAAACACCAGACATGAGCAGTATGGTTTGAGCCATTGCGTTCTCTCTTGTATAGTATTTTTCTTTTCTTTTCTTTTCTGGCTCTTGATGGCAGGGGAGGTCTAATGAGCTTCTTTTTTCACTCTCTCTCGATATAACGTTTCATTTTTGAGAGCTAAATGTGTGCCTCAGGTGTGGATAGTCAATGATAGGCAACAAGAGTGACCACGTCTATAAGTTGCACTTTTTGTTTTGGATATGTAATGTTTGGAGCTCAAAACTTGCGAAGTTTGAGAAAAGAACTGTTTTTTCAACAAACATGAGCAGGAGGTGTATCTTGACTCGCAACTCAGTTTTGTGTTACCTCGACTACAGAGCTAAAATATCTTATGGTTTCCATTTCAATTATGAATGCCACCATATCTTAATGGTAACTTAAAAATTAATTGGTAATTCATCTGGTGTCTTTAGAAAATTGTGATCAAATTTCATCCCACTTTAAATACAGAGGATGTAGGAAGGATGTGTATTTCCTTTTCTTTTATTTTTTCGTTTTTCAAGAGGGACTTTGTATTTTTTTCCCCAATTGTAAACTTATGTGTATATATATATTTTTTGGTAAAATTTTAGTATTTAGGGGTTTCATTTGTCATGTAACGTATAGGATACAAATTAAATATAACTCATAATAGTGAGTTTTTTTTAGTGGAAAAGATGTACAATAACAACAGTGGGGATTCCTCCTTGTTAACAGCCAGCCGAATGGGGAAGTAGAGTAGAACAAACTCTAATCTTAGAGATTGAAAAATCTGTGATCAGGAACCGATGGTAGCTTAGACAAAGACACATGTCCTAGAATTTTCCACCGGATCTTACTCTCAAAATCTGTGCACCACACACCCCAGTTGGTGGAGATGTGTACCGCAGAGTCACACCCATACGGACATGGACATGGAGCCCTCCTGGCAAAAATACAACCAGTAATGTAAGAATCTAGAATAAACCTTTGATTCGACACCTTGCATGAATACCCATGCTTCATTACAAGTTTACGACATTCTTCATGTTGCTGCACACTAGACAAAATGAACCAGCCCACTGCCAACTACTCCATTAGATAAGCCCAACCCAATCCCTATGATCTAAATAAGCCCATCTGAAACTCAATCCTCGTCTCAAATTTATCTACTTGGCTGCTCCTTGAAGGTCTCTACAACTTTGTTACCATGAATTTCAGGGACGTCACTAAGGCGCATACGCTAGGGGAACTAGTGGTGGGAAACAGCAGCTATACTGAAAAACTAATTAAAAATGGACCCCTCGCCCCAAGGAATGGATTCAACTCAATACTGATGGAGCTAGTAGGGACAATCCGGGAGATGCTGGTGCTGGAGGCATCCTCAGGGGCTGGAGTGGTAGCTTTCATGGGGGATTTGCATATAAACTTGGCACTCGCACATCATTTAAAGACGAGCTTTGGGCTGTTATTCATGGCTTAGAACTCGCATGTTACAGGAATATTATTGTGGGAAGTGATTCTCAATATGTCATTACTTTGCTGCATAGCAAGGATTCTTCTCATGGTGCTCACTTCCTCTTCATTTGCAAAATTTCTCAGTTAAGAGGAAGGCCTTGGGAGGCGCAATACCTGTGGTGACTGGGGTGCTCGGTATGGACCAAAGAATTAAGAGGTTTTCTATAGTCCCGAAGGAGCTATGGACTCTTTTGACTGTATGGGTCTTTCGACTCCTAGGATTTGTCTTGCTTAGTTCTCCCTGTTTTGGGCTTTGGGCCCCTTGTAACACCCACAAAAAAAAAACAACGCACGTAAATCTTATCCTTCGCCGCAAGATTTGACAATCTTAGAGTATCTCCAATGCTTTCTTTATATTAAGATTTTTTTTATAATAAAGAGGCTTGATCCAAATTTCATCTCCAATACTCTCTTTATCATAATCTTTATCTTTAAAATTAGTATAAAGAGTGTCTTTGACTCTCCAATACTTAGAAGTCCAAATGACTCTTTATCTTATATTTTATTAATGAAAATTACTATTTTCAATGCCACTCAACCTCTTCACCAATAATCTTTATGGGTTTTATAGATTTTATCAAAATAAAGAGTTAAATAGAGAGTAGAATTAGAGAGGATATTAATCTTCTATCTATATAATTAATCATACTCTCTATTTACATTAAAAATGCTAACTAAAAGTAAAGAACATCATTGAATATGCTTTTAATGGGTTAAATTGGTTTCTCCACTCAACGGTAGATTCTTGGTTGGGCGTTTTGTTTTTCATTTTTTCTTTTCCTTTTGCTGGGGTCGGCCCGTAGTGTTCTTTGATTCCCCTTACAGTTACATATAAGCTCCCAGTTTTTATTTTTTCAAACTGCAATCCAAACGGAAATAACAGCCCAAAGACCCATAACTACAAAGAGAGGGCTGAAGGACCCAACACTTCGAGCCGGCAGTACATCCTAAGAGACTGAACATCTAAGCCGATAATACTAAACTGCCCTACTTCATGTATTAAAACTGACCCTATTAAAGAAGCATCTAGAATCAATGAGAGAGTAGGCCGATGATCATTTCAAACTGAAGGAAGCCGGGCGCTATTAATTGCATCCTAATCAGGGTCTCTAACTCTCTATCTGCTTCAGGCCTTCAAGCTGGCAAGTATCTTTCAATAAATCTACCCATCTTCAGATTTCAATATCTGCGATGAGCATCCCAAAGTTTTATTTCTCCTTATTTGTGAATTAATTTAGTCGATGCGTAGAGTAAAGGGCAAGGGTGCAAGTGTCAGAATACAATTGATGACAACAAGTTGGAAAAATGTTACAGCAGAAAGAACATTCCCAGCTACATACATTTTATGTAACAGAAATAAGAAAATATGACTCTATCTGTGTAAAGGATAGCACATGGCATATCCGCGTTCTGGGATGGGCTCGATCTCTGTCAATAATTTTATCTTACGTTATATGGGACATCAACCGGAGAAAGCTAGTGCTTGTGTCCTACACGGCGATGTGAATGCATCATCTTTTGACGTTTGTCATCAATCAATATGTAGTACTTTTTACACACAGCCTCATATTATGATCACATATACCAGCTGATGAAGACCCAACTCACAGTCTGGCATAACATAATTTCAACCATAGATGAGAAGAGTATGACCCCACCACCACAAAGATTCATATGATCACAATTCACGACCTTCTAGTTTCTTAATTATTAGCTTCATCTTGATTAGGCACCTGGTTGTACTCAACTTTCATTACGTGTGTTACCATAGAATAGAACTGCCTACACCTGGAGTGAACCATTTCGTATGTATTAATCGTATATTTAGTCCTTTTATTCTTAACCTTTTTTTACATATAATCCCTAAACTTTTTTTCATCTAGTATCTGTACTTTAAATATTTTCTTAATATGATTTCTCCGGTTGTAATACCGTTAGCTTTTTGTTAAATGCGGACATGTGTCAAAAATATAGAATTTTGCTTTTGAATTTTTTGAAAAAAAATTGAGAAATATTAGAAAAAATAAAACTAAAATTTTAAGTTTCCTAAGAAATATGAAAACAAAATATTAGATTGAAAAGTGGAAAAAGAAAATTGAAAAGCCTTTAGAAAAAAAACTGAAGTGTTTTAAATATTCTTTAGTCGTAAAAGAGAAAAATGAAAATATTTTAAGTCAACCTTATTTATTTATTTTCATTTTCATTTTTATATTTTCAATAAAGGTTAACTTTTGATTTTTTTTTAAATCTAAAATTTTATTTTTTAATTTTTTTTTATAATTGATGAATTTTATATTTTCAATTTTTTTCCATTAAAACTTCTAAAAAGAAAAAGAAAATGAAAAAGAAATAAAGAATAGCGATTTAACATATTTTCAATTTTTCTCTTTTTTATTTTTAAAATACTCCGTTTTTCAATATAATATTTTTTTTTCATTTTTCTTATGAATTTTCAAATTTGTTATTTTAATTTTTTTCTTGTATTTCTCTTTTATTTATTGATTTCAAAATTTCTTTTATTTTTCTAGAAATTCCAGTGCAAAATTCTATATTTTATTATATGGATCCGCATTCAATGAAAAAATTAACGAAATCACAACAGATGAACTATATTAAAAAAAATATTTAGAATAGAATTCTCAGGTAAATAAGAGAGAGAGAGAGAGTAGAGGAATTATATCGAGAAAATGTTAAAATTAGAAAGATGAAATATGCTATTAATTCCGTTTCATGTTTATGGCTCCATTTGTCATTTAAAAAGAATAAAAGTATATATGGATATTATGGCATTAGTATGTGTCCACATTTAATGAAAAAATTAACAAAATCACAAAAAAATGAACTACATTAAAAAATATTTAGAACAGAATTCTCAAAAAAAAAAAAAAACAAAGAAACAAGAGGAAGAAGTAGAAGAGTTGCATCGGAAAAATGTTAAGATTAGAACGATGAAAAATAGGCAGTTAATCCTATTTCATGTTTATGGCTCCAATTGTCATCTAAAACGAAGAAAGACGTCTGGACATTACCTCCCTCTTTTTCTGGGGGTTTCTCCTCACTTCCATTTTTATATATTTTTCAGTACCTTAAGCACCGGACGGTTAATTTGCCGTTCACTCTATTACTGTAGGTTATCACGAGAAATAAGACCATCTGTCCCGGAAGTTGTCTGCTAGGAGTCGTAGCAATGAGAATAAACTTCTAGACAGGCAAATTTTGCATATATGGGGCCACACTATTAGGTATTGTGACAACTGTACAAGCATTCTTTCTCATGTGATGCAAAAAACAAATCCCCTACATCGGGGCTGCTCATTGACCTTCTCTTTTGTTGTTCTTTCGCAAAAAAATAATAATAATAAATTATACTATTGGTTTAAATTTTACATAATTTCGAGGGTGAATTATTATTTTTTTTTGTTATGATCAAAGCATCGGTGCTATTCTTCATCTTAAAGGCTCTCGAATTCGAATATTTTTTTATTGAAAAAAACAAAAACAAAAAGGACAAGCAAAAGGATAAGCGGTCATCCTAGTGTTATTGCCAGCCGGCAGCTGAAAAAAATAGTTGCTTGATATTCCTATTGGACATGGAAACAAGCCTAAACAAAAGCACATAATTATTGCGGAAGGATTACTTGTTGAATGGGCCCTCGTGTAAAAATATTTGGGCCTTCCTGGATGAGAAGTACGGTATCTTTGTCTGGGCCTTCTAAGCTTTAGACCGTCTTTCACGTGACTTGAAAGTGTTTAAAATGGTTTTGCACCCTCAATAATGAATGTTGTTTGTTATATAAATAGATGTAAAGTTTGACCGGAAGGCAGAAAAAAATGCAAAAGAGGTTTTTTTGCCCTTTCTTGTGTTTGGACGAGAAGAGGAAATGGGACGAGAAAGGAATAGCTTTCATCCACGTTTAGATACGGAACCAACAAAATAATTTGTGAAATTCGGAGAATTATAAATTTCATTACGAAAACAATTAGTGCCATTTTCTCTATGATAAATTTAAGAAAAATGAAGAAACCGGCCTTTTGTATGGTTTATTTTCCGCATATTCTCTTGTTTCTGCTGTCCGACTAGAAGTTATATTTCATTGATAAAACTCCAGTTTATTAAAAAATACTGTTAGTGATCTTTTTCAAACCATTAGAAGAATTACAGATCCAACTTGGTGGAACAAAAAGAAGAAGGAGAAATTAAAATTCAATTAAAAAATAAAATCAATCCCCGAGGCCCAAAGTATGTCCAGCTTGTGCTCTCCCAATCGTCCGATATAAACATTAGTACACATCTCGAAAAATGTCATCGTAGGATCCCGTGTCTTTGAAGTTACAAAGTTAGTAGATAGAGATACGGCAGAGAGTAGTAAATGCAACTACTTTCTTCCCACCAACGTTATTATTGGATTCCTCCCCCTCCACCACCCTAAATTCCAAATACAAACAAAGAAACAACTGTTAGTAGGGGGAAAAAAAAGCTGAAAACATACAGAGCGTAAAGCAAGCAAGAAAATGACTCCAAATTCAAAGACAAAAGAGACAGAGAGAGCGTCTCTGCGAACTTTTGAAAAATTGAATAAAACAACCAATTAATCACTATTTGGCACTCATGGTTTGGGCGGGAATAAGTGGAAGCTCTAATTTCAAACTCATTAAATACAAAAATTACTACTTGTTAATTTCTAATTGTCTGTACCAGAAAAGCTGAAAAGTTGTTTTTTTGAGGTCTCATTCTCTCTCACACTTCACACTCTTTTTTTCGTTCACAGCTCCACATTCACGATCACATGCACTTCGACCTTTTTTTGTTCTTTTTAATTATTTGACAAAAAAGAAAAGAGAGAGAGAGAGAGAGAGAGAGAGAGAGTAGAGCTAAATAACAGGAAATAGAAACCCACATTTTATCTGCTTAATGCTGTTAGTTGAGGTGCAGTATCTGGATACTTATATCTTCTGACTGATATTCCACAGATTTTTGCAGAGCTCTTGAAATTTTATTTGTTTATCTATTGATCCTTGTGTTTCTCTGCAAATCTTAAATCTTGAACCCACCCCTATCTATTTTGTTTCACATTATCTCTGCCTTGCCTTCCCATCTGATCTCTTCCTTTTGTTTTCCTCTCAAGTCAAAGGTATTTGATCTGTCTTTGTTCCTTTCAACTCTACTATAATTATATATGAATTTTTCCATCATGATTTTAATTTTTAAGTATTTGGATTTGTCAACAGTGTTCTTGGGTTTTAAGCTTTGGTGGAAAGCTCAAAATTTATGATCTTTGGAACTGGGTGTTCTGGGTTCTTTTTCCTTTTCCTTTTTTTTTTTTTTTGTGCTGTTTCGTTAATAGTTACTGTTTCATTGATATCGATTCGTGTTTTTGTTTTGGAAGATTTAAATTGTCCCTGTCAGGTGGGTTGTTACCATTTTGTAATTCAATTACGGGGTCTCTGGTGATTTCATTGTTACTCATTCTTACCAATTCCTCTTCTGAACTTCTGCATCCATGTTTATTGGTCAATTTGTCTCTTGGTGTGCTATTGGGGTCCTTAAAGGTGTAACCTTTTGGTAATGTTGTTGGGGCAAAGATGATAAAATGTTGCCTGCGAATTTACTGCAACTAATGAATAGAAGCATACGCACATTTTTGGCAATTTGATGCCGAAGTGTACAATTATATGCAGGTAAATGCTCTTTGATGAGATAGTGTCTGACTGTCATATTTTGCAATGGAGAAGAGGAAATGGTTGTGGAAGAGGAAGTCTTCTGAGAGGAGTCCCGGTGAAACTGACAGTTCAGGATCAATATCATCTCTTTCTGAGAGATTCTCCGATGATCAGGTAGGTGGCTGAACAGCCCTCCTCCTACGATATTGTCAATATGTTCTACTTAAGTCTGTAACTCAATCACCAGATATGGTCACAAACACCATTGTTCATACATTGGGTCACAAGAGAGTTGCCATTAATTCTTATCAAATCATTTGATCCTCTCGCAAGGTTTCAGTTTTCTGTGAAATTCCATGAGGTTGTCAATTTATTTACCGTTTCAATCTAATTTGAGTAGCACAAGTGTTTAAACTGCTCCTATTTGAAGCTATCTCACATCAGCTAATCCCCCCTCCTGTAGTAGTTTTAAGGAAGAGAGGAATATGAACTCTTGGTAGGATCCTAGTTCACAGAACTAATTGGACATTTCTAATGAGCAGAAAACTAAGGTGTTGCTTACCCTGTTTTCAAGTGTCAGACCAAATACTCTTGAATTTTTCACTCCAGTGAGGAAATTTGTCGTTGAGTTACCTAGACTTCAATTTTATTTTATTTTTTTGCACTGTTGGTTCCACCCAACTTTCTCATCATTGTAGCAGGATCCCTCAAAGGCATCTCCAACTGATAGTGCTCAATCCCCTGAAGTCACATCAAAAACTGTAACTAGGGATGGAGATGTCAATGATAGCATTAAGAGTTTGACGGAGAAGTTATCAGCTGCTCTTGTGAATGTTAGTGCCAAAGATGACTTGGTAAAGCAGCATGCGAAAGTTGCTGAAGAAGCTGTTGCAGGTATGCCTAGGACACAATATCTACTATTTTCTTCCTTTATTTTTAAAACAAACCATGTAATACACCATCTTGCTGCCTTCCATGATTTTCTAAGACTTCACTCAACATGAGAGGTCCTGTACTAATTGCGAGATCTGCGACACACACACTGCTACGGAGTTCATTCCACAACAGCATATATATAGGAGCACATTTAAAGTCAAATTTCCTAATGACAAATTTTATGGAACCAAACATGGCTACTCTTGCTTTATTGTCTTCTGATTTGCTTCCTCAATGAATTTATAGGCTGGGAAAAGGCTGAAAATGAAGTAACGGCTCTCAAGAAACAACTTGAAGTTGCAATTCAGCAGAAATCTGCATTGGAAGATCGGGTAGGCCACCTTGATGGGGCCCTCAAGGAATGTGTTAGGCAGCTGAGACAAGCAAGAGAAGAGCAGGAAGAAAAAATCCATGAAGCTGTGGTACAGAAAAGTCTTGAGTGGGAATCCATTAAATCTGAACTTGAGAACCAGTTTATTGAGCTCAAGACAAAAGAAGCTGCTGCTAAGTCTGAATCTCCTGCTCCAATTGTTGATGAACTCTGCCAGAAGCTTGAATATTTGGAGCAAGAGAGTGCTACCCTGAAACTTGAGATCCTTTCCCAGTCAGAGGAGTTAGAAATCAGAACAATTGAAAGGGACTTGAGTACCCAGGCAGCTGAAGCAGCCAGCAAACAACATTTGGAGAGCATAAAAAACGTGGCCAAGCTTGAAGCTGAGTGCCGGAGGCTAAAAGCCATGGCTTGTAAATCATCCTCTGTTAATGATCACAAGACTTCTGCTGCATCCTCAATTTATGTTGAGTCTCTCACTGACAGTCAATCAGACAGTGGGGAGAAGCTTAATGCTATGGAGCTGGATAATCGCAAAGTTAGTAGCTCAGAGCCATACAAGTCTGAACAAAGTTGCTCAGACTCGTGGGCATCTGCACTAATTTCAGAGCTTGATCAATTCAAGAATGAAAAATCTATTAATCGAAATAACCCAGCCTTGTCTGTCAAAATTGATCTCATGGATGATTTTCTTGAAATGGAACGGCTTGCTGCTTTGGCTGAGAATGAAACTGGAACTGATAATTCTAAAGCAGAAGCTGTTGCCAAACAATCAATTGATGGTGACAGCTCGTTGAGAGCTGAGCTTGAAGTCATGATAAAACGAACTGCTGGATTGGAAGAGAAGTTACAGGAGATGGAAGGAGAAAACTTTGTTTTAGAAGATAAGTTACAGAAGATGGAAGGGGAAAAGTTTGTATTGGAAGAGAAGTTAGAGAAGATTAAAGCAGAGAGGGAGGAGTTAGAGCTGGCTCTAACCGAAAGTCAGGACAAGAATGAAGCATCACAACTTCAGCTGAGGGAGGCCCAACAGAAGTTGGTGGAGTTGCAAAAGGAGCTATCAATGGCAAATGAATCAAAGCAGCAAATTGAATCTCAACTTGTTAGCATGGAAGCAGAGGCTCGGACCATGTCTGCAAAAGTTAACTCATTAGAAGTAGAGATTGAAAAGGAGAGGGTTCTGTCAGCAGAAATTGCAGTCAAGTATCAGGAACTTGAGGAAGAGCTCTCAAGCAAGAAACAGGAAGAAGAGCTCCAGCAAACTGTAAGCTCAAGTGATGAACCAAAGATAAAGCAGGTGAATAAGCAACATCACCTTCATTACATGCTTTTTTTTTTTTTTCATTAACCTCTATTCATGCACTTATCAACATTGCGGAGACTCATTTTGTGTCCCAAGTATGCTGAATGTAAGACTTGTCTGGAGCAGGAGGACCTAGATGTAGCTGCTAAGAAACTTTCTGAATGCCAGAAAACAATAGCTTCTCTTGGGAAGCAGCTGAAATCTCTGGCTACTCTGGAGGACTTCTTGATTGACACTGCAAGCATACCGGAGTTCTCTGCTGGAGGATCGGCAATTCTTAAAGGCAATGGAGAACCATGGAAGTTACACTCCAATATAACATTTTCGCCTCCTAAAAGAGATTCCAGTTCTCCAAGAAATGGCAGCGAGAGTTCTGGTCCTTCAGCAAATAAAAACGAAGGAAACTCACCCCCATCTGCATCTTCTCCAGCTTCATCTGCTTTGCCGTTGAATCACGTCATTTCTGAGAAGAATCGAAATGGTTTCGCAAAATTTTTCTCCCGGAGTAAGAATGGAATACAGCTAGAAATTTAGCAAGGGTTAAGTAGAAAAGTTGGTTTTGGGGGTGGGGGATGTTGCGGGGCGCTTGGGATTGATGATTTGTTATTTGTAAAATGGGCAATTGGTTGAATGTTGATTAAAAGCTATTTAATCAGCAGTATTAAATTAATCGGATTTCATATACATGAATGGTCTCAGAATATTACATCCAAGCAAAGTTTTAAATTTATATTGCTTGGATTTTGTATTCATATAATACAACGAAAGTGCTCCTGTTATGTAGCTTCAAGATGGTAATTTGAATTCCTGGAATCAACTCTATTGTTGCTAGATGGTTCTACTTCCTAAGGATGTCATTATAGCCAAAGAAGTTATGCCTTCCAGCATTTGGGTTGGCAATAAAATAAGAGAAATGAATAACTAAATAGGTTTATATTGAGCAATGAGGTTGTTTCAGCGAGGCTGTCTGCTCATACAGTGTTGGGGAAGGGTTGGAAAGATGGTGACAGCTCACAAACTAGTTTTTTCTTGGTGTAATAGTGAAAAATACTTTCATTCTATTGTAATTTAATAATTTTAGATTTTTATTATCAATTTAAGTAATTTGAATTCAAAAGATCAATTTTTAGAAAATTTTATCCAGTTGACAGTTAATTTTTTTAAAATGTTAATAAAGTTTTTCCTCCATTTTTCAAGAGAGGTTTTTTCTATTTTAAATATATATATATATATATATATTTTTTTATATTTTTTTAAAAAAAATAACTTTTATGCAATATCATTATTTACTACACACAATCAGCTTTTATAATTAATAAAATACAAATATTTATTAGCTGATTTGATCAATTGAAATTATCAAATAATTAATTTTAACTGAATTTTTTTTTCATACCAATAAATTTATTCTTATGATTTTCAATCATTAAATTTTAAATATAGTTATATTTTTTAATATTTTTTTATCTTCACATGTTTTTTTGGATTTTTTTCCTCGCAATTAAGTCAAATATATAACATGCATTTAAAATTATTAGAGTTATAAAACTATTTTTTAAAACTTTTCTAATTTTATTTTATTTTTAGTTTTTTAAAGATAGGTTTAAAAAATGAAAGCTATTTTTCAGGGAGGAAAAAAAGGGGATAAATTTAATGAAGTTTGTTTTTTATTTATAGATATGGGGAAAAAAAATCTCTCTTGAAAAATAGAAGAAAAATATTTTTAATGTTTTTTTAATTTAATAACGAAAAAATAATAGTAAAAAAAAATTAACATTCAATTAAGTTGACCGTATAATTAATATATTTCAAAAGATTTATTCAAAAATCAATATTTTACTATTCGGATAATGTAGATTGATAATAAAAATTTAAAATTATTATATTATAATAGAAGGAGACAATTTTTTCCGTAAAATCGTTTTTTCTTAATTTTTTTTTTTTTGAAAAAAAAAATCAGGGTTTCATTGATTTATGCAGTTGTTATGAAGTTGAGAGGAAGCATGTCCTGTTGTGGTGGAATATTTGCTCATAAAATTGGCAATAACCAATCATTTAATTTTAGTCAGCACAACCCGATTTATGTTTTAGAAGGTATGAAGTTGAATACCAATTCCAATCTGAAAAGACCCACAATGACGAAGCATGGCGGACCTTCTGGATGAGTCTTCTGTGACGTGGATCTCCAAGTAATGCACCTTCTGCAAATAGTAAATATTTTGTTTTTGGTTAATTGATCGTCTGAGGTTCTATGGTGTAGTGGTTAGCACTCTGGACTTTGAATCCAGCGACCTGGGTTCGACTCCCGGTAGGACCTTTTTTTATCTTTCATCAATTTCTTTTTACCAGGCTAAGAGATCACTGCAAAAACTGGTATCGGGACTCCTCTCCTACGTCCCTCGCCCTTCAGTCAATTGTGGCTATTCTGAACCACATTGTTTCCTTGGTTCCACAGAACTGTGGATTACGCATTTACTTGGTGCCAATTATAGGTGGATGTCGCAAATAAAATGAAGTTCCAAACACTACTGAGGATAGGAATATCTGTAATCAAATCAAACAAGTATTTGTTGTATTAACACTACCATGTGGTTCAACAGGTTGTAGAAAAACAAATCATTTTTGCTTGTGATGGGGGTACATAATTCACAAGGCTAATTTTTGAAGTAGGTGTTACAGTGAGCTAACAATTCAATGCACAATCAATCTAACAAAAAGAGAAAATTTCAAGGAGAAACAAGATACAACATAAGCATTCACTTTTGCCTCCATTCTGCCAGTCATTCACCATGATAATTACTGCTTTTCTGGGGATCTCTCTCCCTTTTGTAGGCATGAAACAGATCAATGCCAAGACCAGCATTGATAAAATTCATTCCAGTCATCCCAAATAGAGCAAGTGGCAACTCTACACCCTTTTCAAACTTGGAAGCATCTGCAATCAGCTTGATGGTGATGAGTAGGTGAGACAAGGATCTTGCAAAAATGAAAGTAAGCCAATTAAGAAACCATTCTATCTTCACAATTGTGCTCTTAGCATCGCGAACACCAGCCATCCGTCGCACTTTCCTCACATGAAGAAAGATTGAATGCAGCTGTACCATAAGAGAATTTCATTGTGTCAGCATTGAAGAATAAAACCCGCATGAGCTTGCATAAAGACCTAAAAGGAAACAATTGCATTTTAAAGAAAAAAGAGTTTTCAGAAAGATAAAGAAACAGACCTCACAAACCAGAGTGAGCATAAGGTAGTTGATTGTTACATTTCGATACAGAGCTAGAGTAAAGCAGATGAGAAGTATCAGATGGTGAACCAGGATGGAAGGGATTAGACCACTGTATAATCGGTAGTGCAGCATATCCAACTGATCATATGCAAAATAACCACATGAGAAGCACAAAGCAGCGTATGCCCACTCCCAAGTACCTCCAACGAGTTGTGAATGCTCCAACATCCCACCGAAACCATTTCTTAAACACTGATTTACCAAAATGAAAACCACTGCATAGCAAGAAGACAAGTATTGGAATTGATAAGGAGAAGATAAGAAGAAAAGAAGCACGTCACATGGAAGGAATGCAAGTATGTTACAAAATGAAGTTTAGAAGCATCAAAATAGTTGAGCATCTGACGCTTCATCAAAATTAAAATCTACGTTTACCTTTCTCCTCTTTAAAATATCTTTGTATGAGTAAAAATAAACCAGGTAGTTAGTCATAAACTTTTCATCAAAACAATCATCCACTTGACAGCCTTTCATTTCAAACTTCATTAAACGCACCCCGAAGATGATACAATAATGCCAGTATCTTTTGCCTCTGAATACCACCACATTTCTAACACCGTTGGCCATGTCGGCCGCACTTGTTTTCTTAAGCAAATAAATCAATGGCTATTCTCAATCCGTCCCAAAACTACAAGAAAAAATTCGAGTTTCTCCTTGTGAGCTCCTTCTACCATCTCGTTAAGAAAAAAAAACTGCTTAAAACTTAATGTCCCTGCTAACTTCAAAAGCAACAGTGACATACCGTTGCCCAGACAGATAGTAATAGTGCGAACATTTCTATATAAAGAAACCCAGCTGGCAGACAGTCAAAGCCATTATTGAAATACACGAACATCGAAATAATAAATAGCTCCCAATAAATTATCAGAAACCGATTCTTAAGACAGAGAGAGAGGGAGAGAGAGAGAGAGCAAAATGATAGAAATTTTGAGAACCTGAAACAGAGATGGTTGTGGAGTGGAGGAGAGAAACTGAGGTATTAACAAAGAGAGGGTCACGAGACACAAAAGATCGAATGAGCCAATTGGCTATCTGGAAAAGACAAGCTCCAGCGACAATCCAGAGTAGTTCCGTGCGCTTGTTGAAGAATATCTCAAACAAAACTGAAACGAACCACAGAATTAAAGTGGCTAAAAAGAAGACGCCTGCCTTGTTCTTTTCATTCTGATTCTGACCTGTTGATCTTGCCATAGTTTCATGAGTACTATTATTGGGTCTGTGTGGTGAGTTATTTTTGTTCGTTAGAAATTGGGAAAGGAAGAAGGATATCGAAGATTGCTTTTACGATCCGCAATCTCTTTGGACAGTCGTAGCCCACGAGGCCTTTAGACCCGATCCTTAAATGAAACATTATATGGGCTTGGACCCACAAAAATCAATGTTCCTTCGTTTTTTTCGGGTGAGTTATGCCTTGATGCCAACCAAAGAGTTTGCGGTGAACTGGTAATACATCAGAATCTGGTGTTCATAAATCATATTGGTGACCTCCCAGCGAAAGAAATGTTTTTGCTTATGGGATTACTCTTTCCAAATCAGAGGTACGAGAACTCTATATCCAATGATTTGTTGTTAATCTAAAAAGAACGAGAAAATGTAAATACTAATAACTGAAAAAAAAATCGATGAAACTTGTCTTCAGAGGATATTCTGTGGAGTAGGGAATGTAAAATCTATTCTCAAGTTCAAAAATTGAAATTTCCAAATGAAATGTAGCCTAAAATTATTGAATCTCCTACTTGCATATGGCATTTTTTTAAAAGGTTACTCCAACTAAATTCTCTTTCCAACTACAAATATTTGAGATTACATATCTGATATATAAAATTTTTAATTTTTTCTATTTAAGTGTTATAACTTCTCTTTTTTCTATTTGAACGAATTTTCAATTTTTTTCCCATCAAATGTCTCAATTAAAATTATGTTGATTTAGCCCTTTCAAAGATTAACGGCATAAAATGTTTCTTTATTATTCAGGTTTTCTTAACGTGACCAATCTATTTTTTATCGTATTTATCACGTCTTTTTTCTCTAAAAATTTTTAATACTATTCTTTAGATGGTTTTTCAATTAAGTTTTCAAAGAAGTGACAAATAACAAAAAATGACACATATCATGACATGACGTGTTAAGTTAATTTTTCACCTTAAAAAAAATAACAAAAGTGAAAATAAAAATCTATCTACAAAAACATTTGTTTGCATTTTCTCTCTCCAAGACGCTCCATCTAACCAGGAACCTAACCAGAAAATAGCTTATGGATTAGCACCATACAAGAGAAAGTGCCTTTTATTTTTCCTGTGTTCCATTCATCCATAGTTCACATTAAGTAAAAAAGCCATTCCCATCGGTGCATCGAGCAAGATAGAAAATTTGCTCTTCTTACGCGGAAGCCAAATTTTGGATACAAAAATTCACTTCCTTGGTCAAACTACTAATCTCATTTTTTCTCCAAATCTACATCGACCTTCTGTTTTGTTCCTTAGGCAGGCTTGATATAGCGACTATGCCGCTCATTACTTAAGGCAACCCTGAGGTTAGCATCACCAACCACACACTGATACGATCTTATTAAAAAACATCTTCTGACCTCTAAATTACTGCTACTAGTTTCTCCACCTGCCTTCCTAAATTTATCGAGTTTCACAGGTAAAACTCCGAGCTATTCCTTCAATTTCGCCAGTCTTTTGACTAGGAATGAACCTATTATCTCCATTACCATGACATCCATCATCCTCTCTCAAGTCATAAAAATCATACATAGGGTTTTCCATTGAAAACCCAGTTGGAGTGAAAAGAGTTCCCCTATAAAGAGGACATGTAGACTTGGATAGCACCGACGGCTGCACATAAGAAACAATCTCAGCTTGACTTTCTCTGGAAATTCATATAGACAAATAACACAATCAAATGGCTCTTTCAGTTCCACTATGTCTTTGCACTGAGAAATAAAAAGAGCATCTATAAAAGCTTGATCCAGACCAGAATCGCGTAAATGGAAGAGCTCTCGTAACTGTCTTTGAAGAGCATCCGAGCCAATATATTTCAGGGTTTCTATCATATTTTGACGAAGCTGAAAGGGTTGGATGTTTTGCGAGGAATCTAACAAGGGAATGGAGCAAATAGTATAGGAAGAATCACTATAACGAAAAGAACAGCATGGCTAATTCTTGGTGGGCGAAAATGTAATAACTGTAATACTTAGTTTTTTTCTTTTTTCATTTTCAGGGAAAATTTTCATTTTTTTCTCACATGCAAATTAATCTAATATGTAATAACAAGTAATCTTTTTTTTTACTTCTGGTCACTTTCATTCGAAAAATTAGCCGAAACACATTCGCATCTATTTTTAAAATTTTCAAAAATAAAAAATGTGATAAATAAAATAAAAAATACAAAACCACATTAAAAAATATAAAAAATAGAGATATGTTTGGTGCAATTAACCCCATGATTGATATCCATTCTTATCACCCTTTTTAATAGCAAACTAACCAAATTACGAAGGAAAGGATTTCATTAAGCGTAACTCTTTAACTTCACAGTTCCAACCTCACGTTATCCCAGCACCAAAAATTTCAAAATCCACAAAAAAGAAGAAAAAATTATCAATAAACAAATAACAGCAGAATAAGAAGACAAAATCGAAAAACACAATAAGAGATAGAGAAAGATATCCAGACAATCCTAGTTGGCAATATATGAAAGCAGAAAGCCCCACAATTGCAAGAACCAAAGGATCCTCTTCTTTCAGACAAGAGCGAGCATGTGGAAGCAGGAGTAGCCACGTGTTAGACCACAGAGTCCACGTTTGTCCACGTGGCAAACCATGGGAGGCCAGCGGAGATCGCGCGAAACACCAACCTCTTATCAAGAATAAATCTCTCTACTAAAATTAATTGTCCTTTTTTGATTTCTCCCTCTTACAGCTTTGCTTGCAAAGTTTCAAACGCCATGACCGCCTTTGCTACTGCAGCAGTTCTCTCTTTGCCCATTTCTCTATGTAGATCATCTAAGCTCAACTGTAAAAAGGTAATGTTTTTTTCCTCTATTTACTTGCTAAGCTTGTCTGGGTTCCTGCTAAATTCACTGGAAGAGATAGTTATCCTGATTTATTTGTAAAGTTTTATGATTATTATTATTATTTACTATTTTTCTCTGCGAGGGATTATAAACAAGGGGTTTTTGGTTCGTTCCTAAAATCTTATTTTGCTATCTGCTTAACTTTACAGAAAAATAATTAGATGTTAAGATATAGGACCTTTTGGTATGTTTATGAGTGTTGAAGTTAAAGGGCTCTAGTCTACTACATTTAGAAGAAAATTGATTAAGTTAATTGAATTAGCTATGGTACTGGTGCTTAACCTCAAAAGATGTGATTTGTTCCTACTAAATTGATCTTAGTACCAGGTAATCTGAAGGAAAATCTATCTGGCTGGTCTAGTTCTAAGTTAGATAGTGATCATAGTCAACTCTGTAATCTCACAGTTGTTGATCGATGCCATTCGTGTTTATTCTTTTTTTTTTTTTTTTTTTTTTTGTTTAGTTCTAAGAGTTAGATAGTGATCATAGTTTCTTGCCAAGACTATTGTAATTTTTTATGGCTTTAATCGTGAACGGTGTGTGAATCTTCAGGGTGTTAGAGGAGGGTTTGGGGTGTTTGCAGTATTACGGGAGGAAGGTGGGTTTTTAGATAAGAAGAGTACATGGGGTCCACTCTTCGATGTGGAGGATCCAAGGTCTAAGATGCCACAGTTTAAAGGGAAGTTCTTGGATGTTTATCAAGCACTTGAAGTGGCGAGATATGATATTCAGTACTGTGATTGGCGAGCTCGGCAAGATCTGCTTACTATCATGATCCTTCATGAAAAGGTCTATTAAAATTCGTTACTTTAATTTATCAAAGTGCTAAGGTGACTTTCAAGTCTCACCTTGAGAAATATGGTTGCAGGTCGTGGAAGTTCTAAATCCCTTAGCTCGTGATTACAAGTCTATTGGCACCATGAAGAAGGAACTTGCGGAGTTGCAAGATGCGTTGGCCCAAGCACACAGACAGGTTTGGAAAATTATTCTCTGTTGATGGAAAATGCATACCTGCTGAGACACAAATAAGCACTCATTGGATATATATACATTCATTAGATCAGGATCCATTCCATAGATCAAGTGAGACATACATTCATCAAAGTGCTATCAAGCGAAGTCTTGAATTTTTACCATCATATTGTTGAGGTGCTCTAGAGGATTTATGATTTCATAAAGGTTGTGTCTGACCCATGAATAATAACAGGTTCATATATCTGAAGCAAGGGTTTCTACTGCTTTAGATAAACTAGCTTACATGGAAGAATTGGTTAATGATAAGCTGTTACAAGACAGAAACCCAGTAGAGCCTGACCAAGCATCCCCTTCTTCCAGCACTTCAACTCAATCTCTGGATACTGTAAAAGAGATGCTGCCCCGGAAAAACTTGAACGTGTCAGGTCCAGTTCAACCTTACCATCCCCGCCTTAAGAATTTCTGGTATCCTGTTGCTTTCTCCACTGATCTGAAGGATGACATCATGGTAAGCTACTCTTTTCAATTTTGATTTATTCTGTATGTGTGAAATACAATCATGGAAAGAATGTCCGCCATTGCACATAAAAAGCACTCTTGTTGCTACAGTTCTTCTCGCATTTTACTTGGAAAGGGGAGGGCAGGTGCTACCACTGATAAGCATTTGTGATTTAATAGCTTGTGATTGTCTTCTTATGAGTTCCTTTACCACATCTCTGTTTCAGATTCCAATTGATTGTTTCGAGGAATCATGGGTCCTCTTTCGTGGAAAAGATGGGAAACCAGGATGCGTTCGGGACACCTGTGCACATCGGGCATGTCCTCTTCACCTTGGTTCAGTGAATGAGGGTCGAATCCAATGTCCTTACCATGGTAAGTGAGAATTATAGTCAATGATTTGAATGTTATGTAAATAATTTTTGAAATCACAAAGCATGTGATTAAGCAAGAAAACAATGAATAGATCACTGAGTCTTGAAATTTTGGTGATCAATAAACATCAGGTTGGGAATACTCAACAGATGGAAAATGCGAGAAAATGCCTTCCACGAGATTACTTAACGTGAAGATAAAATCATTGCCATGTTTTGAGCAAGAAGGTATGATCTGGGTTTGGCCTGGTAGTGACCCTCCTGCAGCAACGCTTCCTTCATTACAACCTCCTCCAGGTTTTCAAGTCCATGCTGAGGTATGATGTCAGTGCATCAAGATATTTTTACCTTCCAGGAGATGGAAGGTTAGTGAACTATGCTTGCATGATTTATTAATAAACATGTCGTCTCATACATGTTATGCTTTGCATATGATAGATTGTGATGGAACTTCCGGTGGAACATGGCCTACTTCTGGATAATCTTTTAGATCTTGCACATGCTCCTTTTACTCACACATCCACCTTTGCCAAGGGTTGGGCCGTTCCCAGGTTTGTTCATATAACTTTTTCTGTTGAGCTTGAACAAAACATCTTTGAAGATTCCAATAGTAAGAAAGAAAAGTTTGGTCTCTATTTTTCAATCATTCCCCTTGGTGGATCAGTTATTTCTTTCAAATGATATTAAAGACAAAGTATATTGAATGCACCCTCAGCTGGTTTGCAATTTGTAAGTCGTTAATCTGTGATCAATCTGCACTACATCTGGTTGGTGTTAGGAATCCTAACTAGTGTAATTATAGTTAACTAGTGTTTGTGGTGAAAAGTGAAAACTTTGTCAGGATAAGGAAAGCTGACTTGAACTCACTTTGTTTTGTTTGTGATCTAAATTCACAGCTTGGTGAAATTTTTAACGCCTGCATCTGGCCTCCAAGGGTATTGGGACCCTTATCCGATAGATATGGAATTTCAACCACCTTGCATGGTGCTATCAACCATTGGGATCTCAAAGCCTGGAAAACTAGAGGGGCAAACCACCAGGGAGTGTGCAACTCACCTTCACCAACTTCATGTTTGCTTGCCTTCCTCAAGAAATAAGACTAGGTTACTATACAGAATGTCACTGGATTTTGCTCCCGTGCTGAAGCACGTTCCTTTCATGCATTACCTATGGAGACATTTTGCTGAACAGGTACAAAATTTTCCTTCTTGTTTCTTTTATATTATGTTTATTTTCACCATCTTGATCGTCAGTTTGAACTAAAAAACAACCACCATGGCACCACCTGTGGTGCGTTACGATCAAATAGTTGGCAGTCGGCCACAATCCCACTGGCCTGATCCTGTAAAGGTCCAAGTGATACAGCGGCACACTAGCCACATGCTTCTCCAACATTTCTGACGAATATTCTGACTTGGGTGAAACAGGTCTTGAATGAGGATCTACGACTTGTCCTCGGGCAGCAAGAGAGAATGATCAACGGTGCCAATGTGTGGAATTGGCCAGTATCTTATGATAAACTAGGAGTAAGATACAGATTATGGAGAGATGCTGTTGACAAAGGAGCAAGGCAATTACCCTTTGGCAAATCAACGTGAAGAAAAAAACAACTCCAGAATCGATTTAACTTCTCTAGTAATTGACCCCTTGTCCATCTTAACACACTCGCATTCGGGTGCAAATAAAAATCAAATCACTGGTGGAATCTATGGTTTAGCTTTTGGTCTCTCAAAGAGCAGTCATAACAAACTCAGCGGAATCTGTTAATTGATCTGAGGCAGAGAAGAGACGATGGTGATCTGTACAACGCAAAGAGCCCATGTAAAACGATGAGGAAGTGTACGCTCCCATTATCGATTTTGTGTACAGTAAAATCTTCATTTTTCTAGAATTCTTTTCTATTGATTTATCTTCCAGCCAATGATGTCGTCATCAAATTTGTTTCCTTTTTCTGAAGAAACATTAGTGTTTGATGATGTCTTCCCGTTGCGAGATGTAAATCTCTGTTTGTATGTATTATATACAACATTGTTATTATAATTACATCCAATTAAACTTTTTCATTTCCTTCCTTTCTTTTCTCAGTAACCAAACACTTTTCTTTCCATTTGGCAGATCACTTATTTGTTGCAACTTGCAACACAAACCGAAACCAATTCAACATTAAACAATCAATACAAATACAGTTAACAACTTTCTCCACAAAAATAGAAGCAATTATTATTACATTTCATAAAAACAAAACACAATACCGCTTAATACTAAATCCACAATTTTATTACAGAGAAGAACCACAAAAAGGACAGAACCTAAACTCAGGCTCAACAACCCGGTCACAAAAATGACACCGTAGGCTCTCTGTCACCACCGAACGCGGGGGGCGTAATATGTCTTTGGAGGTGGAAGAGAAAAGGATCGAGGGAAAATAAGATCACAGTCGTTACAATACATAGCAGGTTCTTTACCAGGCCATTTCCAGACAGGAACAAAGAACAACTTCAGAACTTTCTCGTACTCCACTAGATCAGCTATGGACCCGCACCTTATGCACCTGCCCGCACCTGATTTCAGAACCTGACGCACCTGTTGCTCTACTCCTCCTACAAAGAAGAAGAACATCTTTCAATTTCTGTTTCTGTCTTTACTGTTATCCCTATCGTTATCTCTATTGTTAGGAATTTGGGCAATTGGGTGGGTTTCTTTTAATATTGAGAAGTAAGCGGTGAAGGGCTTTACTTGCTGGAGGGTTCTGGGGTTTCGTCCTTTTTCTTGATTCTTCTACTAACTAACAGCTAAATTGCCTACTGGGCCTTCAATGATTTTGTGCTTAAAGGCAGCAAATGGACAGGGATGACAAATTTCATCTGATCCAACCCAGTGAGGTCGGGTTTTTATCTGTTTCTATGGTCAAACCAGTTTTACTGGGACAAGATGTGGGAGTGGGCGAGGGTCTAATCAGGCTCATATCTAACTCGGTATCTCAATTATTTTTTAAAAAAATTTATATGTTAGCACGTGTAAATTATGTTTATGCATGTATTTGCATTTTGGACTTTGTTTTATTGATTCTGTGGTGCAATGATTTATGGATAAAGATTATTAATTTCATGCTTTGATTTCTTAGGATATGATTTCCAATAATATATATATATATATATATATATATATATATTTTTTTTTTTAAATAAAGAAACGGTTGGTTAGGGTATCTAGTGATTCTTAACGAATGGGTAAATTGTGTATGCTATGAAATTATAAGGAAAATTTCCAAATGAGTACGCGGGTTAAAACTTTATTTTTTGGATAAATTTTAATTTGCTTCCCCTACAGTTTGAGGGATTTCTCAATTTTTTTTTTCTAAAATTTCGTTTATAACAATTATCCTTCAAATATTTCATTTAAGTTTCAAATTTTTTTTTTTGTATATTAAACTAATACAATTAATGATGTAATATTTTTTATATTTGAATTGATTTTCTAAAGTTTTAAAAAATCTTAATTAAGCACGTTATTATATTTGAATTGATTTTCTAAAGTTTTAAAAAATCTTAATTAAGCACGTTATTTCTCAATCTTATTAACTATTTTTGTTTTTCAATTAGGATTATATATATTGATCTCATATTTATACATTTTTTAAACCTAAAAGTATTAATAAAAATACACAAATTCAAACTATAAATTTTGCATATTTAAAAAAAAATTATAACAATATAATACCAAGTTAACATAGTTTTTTTATAAAAGAAAAAAGTTAACATAATTTGATATCATCTTTTTACATTCTCATTTTCAAAAAAAAGAAAGAAAGAAAGAAACCTATGTTAATTGTGTAAAATATAAAATTTAATATAATAAAATTAATTACACTAATACACTATCTATATTTTCATCCAAATCATAATTGAAATTTTCATATTAATCATCCAAATCTCAAAATTCATATACTCTAAGTAATAACTAATAATGTGGCATTTCATAATTAAAATAATATTAATTTCTATATATTTTTTTCAGATTTTAATGTAACGAATTTTATAAATTTTAATATGATTGAAGGAATATATTTGATTGAGACTTTTAATATTTAAAAAAGTGATTGAAATATAAAAATGTCATATCATGAGTTATATTAGTTTAATAGATACAAAGGAAGAAATGAAATTTTGATGAAAATTCAAAAGAGTAATCAATGCAAACGAAATTCCAAAAAAAGAAACTGAGAAACCCCTCAAACTTCAATAAGATAAATTAAAATTATATTTCTTTTTTTGCCGACGTTTAGAGTTTACATTTTTAAATGATTCCTATGCGTAACACTTAAACAGTTCCATCAAAGCTATTTTAACTTACTGTATTTTTTGATCAATTCATTGATGACTTATTTGAATTTTATGCTGATTTTTTTATAACTTATTCCCGTTAAATTAGATGGGCATTAGTGGGTTAATGAGTATGGAAATTTTTGCCATCCTATATTTGTTAATATATTACGTGGTTTTCAAATTAAAGATATTAAAACCGAAATGTATTGTTTTCTTATATTATTATTTTATCATTTTTATTGTTCACGTTATAACTCGATCCTATCAAATTGAGTTAAATTAGCCTAGCACTATGTTTTTATTTTTCCACGAAAAAAAAGGGTTATAACTCATGTTGTCTTTTTGTCTTTCTAAGCATGTTGATGTTCGAATAACCTTTTAGGTATATTGTCTGATTTCGATTAGAGGTTTTGTCATGTAAAACACGTTTTTTTCTCGGAGAAAGAAGAAGAGGATAGAATTACTATGCTTGAGGTCTTTTGACATTTTAACAGATGTGAAATTGTGCACTATCTTTTTTGTGTGCTGTATTCTGTTGGTTTGACATAAAATGCACTTCACATGGAATTATAACAAGGTTTTGGAACAACTTCAAAAACTAAAATCTAATTCCAACAAAACTTTGAAAATTTATGTATAATTTGTGCCTGCAAATAAAATCAAGATATTAAGTTCCTATTATTTTTAATGCAAATTTTTACCATATGCTAATGAGGAAGGAAAATCAATGGGCTTGTTTTTAATAAATTGCTTAAATAAAAAAAGGGTTTGGAGGGGGCATATGCAGAGATAAAAAGCATGAGGCAGGTAATACTCATTGATTACAGTAGAAAGCCCACTGCCACGACACTAGATTTTCGAAAATGGACATTTATGATCAAAGTTGTTGATGAAAAAGAGAACTTAAGATTTGCTTCTTTTAATTGTTTGTTGATAAATCACAGAATTTTATTAATGTCAAAGAATTTACAATGTAGCAGAACCAACAAAAAAGAATTGCAGCCTACATCTAACAGCTATCAGAGTACACTGGCTGTAACTTTAAAATAGTTGATCAGAGAAAGGGAAAAAGCCCAATGATCTGACCAAAGAAAGACAACATAACCAGCAGCAGCATCAGTTGCAGTGATAGTAGCAGAAAAGCAGTAGAAAGAGCAGTAGGGACATGAGCGCCTACAACTGAAACTAGCTAGGATCCATCTCCAGCATTGCAGGCAGAATGTTACACGAAACTACAGTGACGGGAGCAACCATTGACTACTTTGGCCGGGCATTGCACCAGAAAATGGGACACAAAACTGATCTTCCCCAAGCTGAAGCCATCACCATCTCAAACATGTCCACTGGTGACACAAAACCGATCTTCCCATACGGTGGCACTTTTATATTTGACTTCAATACCATCCATCTTCCGCCTAACATCTTGGCTCTTCATCGCTGGAGATTTTCTGCATGCATTATCAAATTTTGTTTAGTTGAAAGAATGTCTTCGGCTATAATTGGCTGCATATGATCTCTCATTTCCAATAATACTAAAACCCATAACATAGATCCCAAAATCTTATGCTAATGTTGAGAGATGAATTTGCTCACGTTATTTCTGTTCTACACGCACCCATATGCACCACAAGCAATTCCAACTACAATACTTATCAATCATTTAGTCCCATCACTAGAAGAAATTTGATAATAGTTTCACATCTGGTGGCACTGTGGCGATCCATTGAAATTATCAATCTTCAAGGAAATTTACTAGGCTGGTGTCAGTACACTCTCTTCAAGAAGTCTAGACCCTAAGAAATTTGTTTAATACTCGAATTTCTGCAGCGGAAATGTCTGAATTCCATTCCATAAGACCTTTATCAACAACATAAACCCCAGTTGCGTCAGCAGATGATGTTTTGGAAGAAGAAACAGAAACAAAAATCCCTAAAGGTTATAAACTTCCTAACTGTTCCTTGCTTGCAATCTCATTAATCTATCCAATTTAGCAACAGCTTAACAAAACACTTCTCAAATCCCACAGAGTATTAAGCCCAAGACAGGCCCCCTTGCACAGGATATTGGCCTTAATACTTCCTAGGGCATCTAGATTCCTAAAATGTTCCATCCTTCATCAAAGAGAAGAACTATCATCCTCTGAACAACTGATGATGGACATCGCTTGTCTCCTTTATATGCTCTGCTCCCCAATCATAGAAGACAAACATTCTGCAGCAATTAGAAAAAGACAAGGGGAGATGACTGGGTCTCCTTCACTGAACAAGCTGAATGTGAAGCTGAAGTAACCCATTTCAGCAAATACAAATCCCTAATACCAACATTCAAGTTGACAAAGATTTCATGAAAACTGAAAGCACAAAGACACGATATAAGAATTAAACAACAGGACCAAACCCTAAACAACCATTGTTAAGAATTAAAGAACACTGTACTAATATTTTCACAAGCTTGAAACTTTGAATATAAAGATGCAAGAACTCCACGAGATTCTTTTCCTTGCCTGAATGGTGATTGGTCCTTTCAATACGCGTTTCTGAATCTCTCTGGGAACAGATTTCCCATTTCAACTTCGTTTTCTCCAGCAAAGACATTATTTGCATCTGGGGAAAAGACATGTCTTACGAAATTGTTACAAGAACAATCCACAACAGGCACTCTGCATTCAACAAATCTTCAGTTGGCTTCGTAATAAATGGAGTGATTATACCAGAAACTAAATCCCCACCATCTAGATTAGTTAGTAAATATAAGCAGAAAGTACTGCCCAGTATATGGCATGTAAAAAACAACCCCACAGTTTGGGCTCTGCTTCTCTATATATACCTTATTTCCTTGTATTCAATGAGGCAAATGGTGAAGTAATGCAATGGACAAAGCGAGTTCCTAAAGCCACATCAGTTTTAGCAATCTCCATTATAGACAAGCAAATCAAAAGCAAGTAACTTCCAAACAACAGCCCCCAAAAATCTTTAATCAAGTGTATCACACGCTTCACAAAAAGCCTGACCCACAATGATTTAGTAGTTACTGGGACAATCTTGATTGTCCTGATTATCATTGATTCCTTGGTAGCCTCCTGATCACCTCAGTAGTTTTGCATATATTATATAATGTCTCCTCTGACTTCCCCTGGAATCAAAACAAAAGAATTGAATCCATGTATCAGATAATTAAAACACAGTACAGAGAAAAATTATAAACGAATTTTGGGGTTTTCTTTGTTTTCAGCGAAGAAAATACCAATTCTTGGCTCTTCTTTGTTCAATTAAAAAAACCCAAAATCTAAAATCTCTTTTACCTTTTGCAACTCCAAGAAATATCCAATTAAATCCATGCACAATCTTTAATCATCAAGGCATGGCAAACCGGCATAAAGGGCACAAGTGGCTCGTCTCTAGCCACCTAACAATACAATCTCCATGAAAAATATGCCCACAAGGCAAACACACAACCTCACTACCAATCAAGAATTCCTCCAGACATACCATGCAGTCTTTCATTGAACACGAATCCTCAAAACTCATTCTTTTTAACCCATCAATACAAGATTTACTTGCAGGCTTAAATCTTGAAGTTTCTTGGATTAAAGATTCATTTAAAGCGCGATCAATCTCTTCACGTTCATCATAAGGGGTAGTAACAAGAATGACCAAAACCATAGTTAGTACCTTACTAGTACTAGCATTGCATGGATTAGTAACCATGTCTGAAGCAAAAGAGGAGATATCAGGTGTAACACGTTCAATGAAGTCTGGTGAGCAACCCATGCTAGAAAGTATTCTTTTAATAATACTTTCACGATTTACATGTGATAAAAAGAGTTGGCGTGGAAACATGTGGGATTCGATGGTTGTGTTTAAGGGTATTTGTATGGTTTCGGGGTAACGTAGTTCAATAAAATGGCCGAATTGTAAGTGAATGTTGAAGACATCATTGGCTGGGGTTGTGGAATTGTTATCGTCATTGAAATCTTGGCTCATATGGTATGCATAAATGGTCGATGATGCCATTAGAGAGAGAGATCCAAGAGCTTTTAATTTTCTCTCTGGTTTGGCTTTGGCTTGGGATTTGAGAGAGTGATTACTTATAGGGTGGAGTAGTTTGGTTTAACAAGGAGATTATTCAGTCGGTCATGTTTACGTATCTGATTATGATTAAGAAATTTAGTTTCTTCCGTAAAGCGCTTGGGCTTGGGCTAATTATAATACAATGCTCTGTTCCATTTTGCATAATAATAATAATAATGATGATCAAATATCACACTACAATCGCTGGACCATACAGAAGTTTCTTACAAATCCACACCATCCATCTCAAATGCAGAATTCGATTCACTATGAATTAGTAAGATCAATTCCAACTTGTTACCATATGTTATAGTAAACGTGGGTGTTATCTTAGGGCTTTGGTTTTAATATTAGGAACAATCAATTCCTACAAATTAACGAGGAGAATAACGAGAAGCATATACGTTGTACAAAGACGAGGAGGAGAATTAACTTAATTTGTGTGGTTTAGTCTCTAATATGTTTCTATAAATTTAATTTACTCTCGACTTGTCTTTATATTTTAAGTTATTTTTTAATTTACCCTTCTTACATATATTTTCATCCACATTTTCTCTTGCTTTTCAGGCAAAATAAATGCTTTCAAAACTCTCTCCTGACTCTGCAAAGCTGAGAAAACAATTCTCTTGTTTTTCTCGAAAACAAACAAGAGAACTCTAACGGTTCCTTTCAAACACAGCAACAAGTTGAATTCTGTGAAATTTCAAAGCGTTATTTCAGCATTCAACGTTTCATTATTGTCGTTCATTCGATTTTTTCCATAACAAAATCGTCTGGAAACTAATGTCGAGGAGTTCCCACGAATAAATAATTACTATGAAACCTGTTTATACAAATGGCTTCGATACACAACAAATTGGGGGAAATAGAAAAGTAACAGAAATAGAACAAAGAAAATGGTAACACATTTGACGTCGAAGAAATGAATAAATTTAAGCTGTGTTTGGCATCGCAACTGCCCGCTGTACTTATAAATTTTAATAGACTATAAAAGAGTAAATTATAAATTAATCTCTCGCTTCGAGAATAGATTTATTAATCCATCTGATTTCAAAAACTAATTATGTAATCTTTTTTTTTCTATTTTTAACTTATTTTAATTTTAAAAAATAAAAAATTTGAAAAATTTGAAAAGATCATAAGAAACTAAGACATTTTATAAAATAAAAAATATTAAATTAATCATAATCAATAATAGTTAAAAAGACTAAATAATTAGTTTTTAAAAATAGAGGAACTAATTAATTTGTTTCTCGAAATGAGAGGAACTGATTTATAATTTACTCTACTATAAAAACCGATCACAGATTTTTATTTTTAATTTTAAACATCAGCTTCTTACAAAAATTATTCAATGGAGCAAATTCCAGAGGCATATACATGAAGCTGATATTTCTCTGCTTTTTCAGCTCCTGCGCGCCAACGAGAAGATAAATGCAACTGAAGCATGTTAGCAATAGTGATACCTTCAAATTTGCCGCCATGTACATAAACTGAATCGACTTGTCTTCCGATTCTCCTGTCTTTGCATTGACCTTCAGGTATGCCCAGATGGCAAAGGATTGCTTGTAAACTAATTGAAGAAAGAAGAAATGAGGAACAGTCATGTCATTTTATTTTGGATTTGCCGATGGATCTGTACGAGAAAATCCGTATAGGATGGTCCATTTGCATTCTTGTCTTCCACCATTTGTGAGAAGAACATCCCTGAGCCAAAAAAAAAAAAAAAAAAAAACGTTTCAATCATAAACATGTTATCTGTATATCTCTTTGTTTCCTTTCTAACAATAAATGACCTGCCCTGTAAGGAATTATTTACGGAAACCATTTGTTCCGAGTCTAAAAACAACCCAAACAAACCAAAATGTGCATAAATGGCTTGCTCTAGTACACTGACCAGATGGATCTCCTTTCTTGCATAATTTCAAGCTGCAATGAGGATAAAAAGATATCAGAAAAAAAAAACACATACATTAAAATTACAAAAAACTTCACTAAGAAAATAAAGCCATACTGCAGGTAGGAACTTCTTTGGCATCGTATCTCATTTATTACATCGTTTAACTTCTTTGATAATGGATTGTTCAACTGCTGCAGCACAAACTGAACCAGCAAAAACATATAACAGTGAGAAAAAAATGCTGAGTTGAAAGAGGATCACTACAGACAAAGTCTGCCAGCACGCATTCACTACTGAAGTAAGAGTCTTTCACAACTCCACAGCCAGAATAATGCAAAAATTAGCTAATTGAATTCATAAACTTGACTGTGCAGGAGAGAAAAAAATGGAGCACTTGGACCTTGATAATTACCGATCTTATAGCATACATGAAATGTAAAAATCATCAAATTCAAAATAGACAACTAGGTGAGATAGTTTGAGCATCTGATTTAATCAATCAAACAATAATATATTGTAATCATCTATCTTCAGTTCTACCAAAAAAGATTTCTTGACCGTGCCTATGACATAGCAGATACTAACACTAACCAAGTACCAAGTGCTAAACACCAGTCTCGAAGGTGTACAAAACTTGCTCTCACCCAGTCACTAATAAGATTAGGCAGAATCTTCTCTATACTTCATAAAGGGGACAAAAGGAAAAATAAAAATTAAATAAACTACCTGAGTAGGGAATTCATCAATAGAGGAAACGCCGAAAAGTTGCTGCAAGATATTCGAATCCACAGAGTTCCCAACACATATTATACCTTCATCGCCATTCTCGAGAAAGTAGATTCTCTCATCCCTCGCATGTTCGCTGGAAGGTGCAATAACAGGAGGAATAAGAGATTCTTCCCCTTCCTGTCAATCAAGTAGAGAATCACCCACAGATATAAGCAAATCATTCAACAAAAAAATCGACGGTAAAAATGTATTCAATGTAAATCGAACCTTCGAATTAAGGTCATAAATAGCCACCATCCTGGGATACACCAATGGAACTACCAAAGAAGTAGAAAGGAAGGAAACATAGCTGATCCAAAAAGAACGATCATCTATTCTCCCATCAGTACGCAATCCTGTACTTTTAATTAATGCTGAAGAGGAAAAAATGAAGAAGATTACCAACTCCAAAATCACCCTTTTGCATCTCCAAGAAGCTGACCAGCCGGCTTTCTATGAAATAATACTAGCCAGATGATTTTCCAAACAGTAAATGATGTCACTGATCATAAAATGATTTTACAAACAGCAGTTATATCACTGTACATTAAACGATTTATGAACAGCAAATGATGCCACTAATAATTGACTGATTTTCTTACAAACAGGAAATAGCACTGCCAACTTAAACAAAAATCACAGTGAAGTAGTTGAGAGAAAGAACTTCTCCAGGTGGTTGCATGAACTCCAATACATTACATTTGAGGAAAACAAATATTCTTTTTGAGAATAAGAAATTACTCAACCAACTTCTAAAAATTGTAGCACTGAAATTTATTCCAAGAAAGTCAAAAATACCCATCTAACTCAACTGAGATATTATTAAGCTGGCACCACATATAAGGATAGCGAGGTTCTAGTTTAATAATAAAAGGCTGAGAGGAAAGATGGGGAAATGAACAAGGATTTTCATCAACACAGCTAAAAGACTAATCCCCCTCCCCAATCTCTCATGTGCATGTGCAGCCATGGCAGTTTGAAACACAAATTTTTTTCTTAACAAAAAAATGGAAATAGTTTTAAACAGAAAGCAGTTCTAGCTAAACAGACTAGAAATGATACTACCTCCTAGTTTAAAGACCATGTGTCCCACAATAAATGTCACCATCATCAACCACTGTACTTTAGTTTCCAAAAAATAACTCCGATTGCTCTCTTCATAAAAAGTTCACAACAACCTCAATTCTCTCTTTCCAGAAACATCCCTAATTACTCATTAATAAAAAGTTCACCTTCACCTCTCCCTGAAGGCACGGCACCAACCCTATCCAGCTACATATCATGAGGATCCCAACTACTTCACAAGTATGCAAGCATCTGCTGACATGTAGATTTTTCAAACATATATTGCAGTTCCAAAGAAAAGGAGAACATTTTCAACAAAGGCATGAAACATAATTACATAAGATAGTCGGCAGCTCTGACAACATAATTTTAAAGTGCAGGCAGAGAGTTAAAGACAGCAAGAACTATACCTAGAGAGTATAAAGGGAGAAACTTAAGTGCCTCTGGAAGAATAAGTTGGCCTGATGACGATACAGTAGCACAAAATTTACGATATGAAAGCAGAATATTAACACAAAGGCTTATCACTTGCTCCCTGACATTTGATAGTGGTCTGGAGGGAATTTCACTTGCAGCTACATGAAGAGTAAATCAATATATAATATCATCAGTATCCTCATAAATTTAACAATAAAGATAAAAAATGAATAAAAAAAGAGGTTCAAAATTTAAGAACAAAAGTGCACAGAATTGACATGCCACATTTACAATATGATTGTTGGATGTAACTGGTAGCTGTCGCAACCCAGTGCAATTGTGCAGAGGAGAGGCAATAAAAATAAGAAAGCATTGGCCAACTGTACGAAAAGGATGAAGTACCTTGTTTCAAGGAATAAGCAAATTGGGTTTCAAGGTCAGCAAAGCGAAACAAATCACTGATCTTATTTGTGCAAGGTAAGGATAAAGTTATAACTCGAATTCTTCTTTGTCCATACAGAGTGGTGTAAAGAAGGGCACACTGCAAATAAAGTACAGATTTCAATTAACAAGCTAGGAACTAAAACAGAAACTAAGAACTAAAACAAAAGATGCAAGAAGCCAAACAAATTAGAAGGCAATATAAGGCTTGAGAATTCTGGCACAGTGGAAATACTATAATAAGGTACCTGAAAGGCACATTCTGAGCCTTCCTGCAACTTGCCATCGTGCTTTAGTGTTGCTATTATGGTTTTGTCACAGTCAATCTGCAAAGCAAAAGGAATTGGTCAATCCTCGAAATAACTTCATATAAATAGAGTGCCAGGATTTCTTTATTTATTCTTCAAAATTACACATAACAGAAGGCATTTCAAATATGTTGTCAGGTGATGCAGAAGCTAGTTAAAACAGTGAAAAAAATGGACAAGAAGAATGAATTCAATGCTCAAATTATCTATCATTTGATCAATGGGACTAAAAATTATTACAGTACAATCTAAGAGAGCAAAATGCTTGGTATGGAAGACGAAGATCGTGTCAACCAGCAACAACTTAAGAAAAAAATTTTCAAGAGAAATACAAACCCCAGGTAAGTCAATGTCAGTTGGAATGCGTTTGCAGAAGTTTCCTGAGTACTCTTGTACTTGAATACCCTAAAACATGAAATTAGAAGTTGACTAACTTTAATACAGCAATAAAGTATCTAACATACAATTTTATAACAATGGTAAAAACATTACCTGACTGCATCTCACTCGCATGACGGCTTCAAAACCTTGGGGCCTGGTGACATTCCATCTCAGATCATTGCAAAGCTTGGCAGGATCAGACAAAGCTGAGAAGGGGTAATAGTAATAAACCTGGAAGGAAAAGAAATAGGGCATGTTATATACATTTAAAAAATGGGAGCCTTAGGAAATAGTCAAGGAGCACCAGGTGTCAATGAATTATTGCTTGAAAAGAGGGGAAAAACAACAGAACATCACCAATATGGTGAAAAACTACCCTAACTTCAGCTTTAATTTATTTCTCGCTTCTAATAATTTTAATTTTTCCAATATGATTATTAAAATTTCGAAAAAAATTCAATGTCAGGCCATGAATACAGTTGCAAGTTCAAAATTATCTGCTTGGCTGATCAATTATGATCCCATTGAAGCAGGCCCCTGGGAAGGAACTTTGGAGACGGTCCTATCAAAACATTTTCGCATAAATAGCTGTTCTAGGACATCAAACCTTCAAACTCTTGGCTACAAGCCCGAGAATTTACCAACACACTAACATTGGCTCTTGCTCTTCAGTACTCTAATAGTTTAAACCAGTTTTCTGGAAGTAGAGCATACTCAACTCAGCCCAACTGAATCTTGGCCCCAGAACAGTTTGGGTAAGCTACGTTGATCATTTCCCTGATTTAGTTCATTTTCAAGCCAGACCATTTATGAACTGTTGCTAAATTAAATACGATGAATCATGAGTATAACACTCATGTCTTAGTTCAGCTATGTCCAAACTTGTAATGACAACCAATTAACTCACACTGCAGATGGTGTGTTTGTGTTTCATATTCAGATTTTCTCCAACATATTATTCATTGCAAGCAACTGTTCAAGCATAAGACAAGGAAAATTAAACTGTATATTTGTTGTCTGTTCTTATACTATTTGCACTAGAGTACCTACACAACTTTTATGTAATCTAAAAGCTAAACTTATCCATTTTGCATAATCTATGAAATCGGAAAACCAGTTTCGTCCAACAGGATGAGTTGCTTCAAATGCACAAAAAGATGAAATTAGAATTTAGACTTCAACGACCAAATTTTTATCACCAAAGTTTAGTGAATGGAGCAATTACAATGTGCAATATATGCAATAGTTAATCCTCTATTTTTATGATAACACAGTATGGTGCTCTGAAGGTGAGTGATCTGTTATCATGTAATTAGACAACACAACAGAGAAAAAAGTGTTGAATATTCATTCACACCTGCCCTCCAGTAGTTCTTGGGATGACAGAAATGGAAGCAATGTCTACATAAGTTTGAGTAGTGATGAAGACATCAACACAGACCTGAAACATGTTCAGATATACCTTATCAATATTTGCCTAAACAAATAATATTCCATTTCAAGTCACAATCAAGGTAATGATAAATTACTTAAACTTTGAACTTCACCTGATACTCAGCAAACTCTATTGCCATTGTCTTCAGAGTTTTGTCTGCTGGTTGTAATAATTTATGGCCCTCCTAGACACACAAAAAGGGAAAGAAAACACAAAAAGAGCACTTCATAAAACAAGCAGAGCACTGACTCTTAGTGAACTGAAAGTTGAGAAAAGTCAAAGACTTTGATTTGAAAAAAAAATGTCGAGATAAAGCAAATGAACCTCAGAGACTTGTAAGAGCAGAAAATATGATAATCACGTGAGAGTTCTCAGTGATTTTGTATGGTATATAAGAATGCAGTTTATGAATGAATTAAGGATAAATAGTTTGTAATCAGGACAAACCAGTTCAAAAAGATCAAACTTCCGACCACATAGTTACCTGTCATCTACGGTGACAAGCATTCTACATTGTAGAACTGAAAGAAATACAGTACAGTAATCCAAGAAGAAAACAGATGCCATTAGGTAAAAACTGTATAATATGTCCCCACCTTGTCTCCTGCTGAGATGTTGGTTCTCCCTTCAGCATCCCTGGAAGAAAGGGATCCAATGCCAAGCGATGGCAACACTGTACATGTAAGATAACATTATCAGAATCATCTAAACACATCATATCGCAACACTTCAAGTATTAAAGCCATAACTAGTACATTGTCATTGGAGATGCATATTATAAAACATCAAACAGAATAGAGGCATTAAGCAAAGTGTTGAACTAAGTGTAAAAGGAAGATTTATACAAATTCTCGTCTGAGTATCCCCGTCCATACATATCATGTTTATTCATTTTCAATAATCCATGCATGAAGTGCAACAAAAAGAAAAATTGATTCAATTGAAGATCATAAGTTTAATCAACAGACAACCAATTGAATCTTCTGAACCACATTCTCCAACTATTGTGAAGAATTTTTGCCTCAAGTGCAAACTTATTTCCCAAAAACTCAGGGCCGTGGACAGTTCATTAAAATGCACCCTTCGAATTCATTGCAGATTTGCCTGATTACCCATTTTGTAATTCAACACAACTCCACGCCCACTCCAACTTCCCAAATGACGCGGTAGACCTCATAAATCAGAAAATCGGAACATCTAATTGACTTGAAACTTTCATTGGCGTATATATTTTTCTGTGTTGTCCTAACTTACATGTGAGAAAGGCCTAGTATTCTAACCATGCAATCTTTGTCTAGCTTTAAAAGAATCCCTATTCCTCAAGTTCTAAATTTCAGACTCGCAATTACAGGTTCAGGTGGTCAGATTCTTGAAGTTCTTTTCATGATTCTACTCAGGAAATTCAGCCGCTGCATTTACAACATCAGACAATCTATTCACATCTCGTTTCCCATTTAGTTTTCTCCCGAAAAACAAAAACAAAGCCATGCTACTCAGAAGCTCCTATATATGAATTTCAAGAGCAACAAAAAAACAAACAAGAAGAAAGAAGAATTTATTTGTCATTACATTGTATTGGCAACCGCCTGCAATATATCCATGCATAGAATATACAAATTATAGAGAGATGGAAAAAAAATGAAATTAATTTCAGTAGTCGGGAAAAAAATAAAGCACCAATTATACACATTTTCCAAAGCTAAAGATTCCAAAAACATATTTAAAAACGGTCAGGAGCTTGCCTGACTGAAACACCAGAAGCTTCCCTCCAGTACTCTTTATAGACAAAAAGGCAGCCTGAAATAGGGACAGGATAGCACAATAAGCATGTATACTATCTATTTACAGCAATGCTTTCAGTACCAGTGAAGCTTGGACATCTTTTTATGGGGCCTGAAAATCTACCATCAGTTTTTAAATAATTTTAATGTTTATGTGTATATGCTCAACTATAATTTTTGTAGATGTAAATGAAAAATTAAGAGTGCATGTCCATTAAATAAAATCTTAGAAATTTATTGTGTTGTTTCTCATATATTGATAACGAAATTGTTTATCTGAATTAGGAAGTCCAAATGTCAATTTAACTTGGATTCCCTTCTACGTGTGATCAAAATAAAACAAAGGGCAACAGAAATGAAAAAAATAAATAAATAACTAAACAACAAAGAAATACAGTGAAATGAAACAATGGAAAATTCAAACATAAAAATCCTTAAAAATGGGTGATATAGGTTTTTAATTACATGTATGAAATTCAGCAAGTTTTTTATGCTATATATGAAGTTTGGAGAATTTGGAAATTTATAGCAACTTTAAGTCGCGAATCCCATGGTGACGCCATCACTGAATTTTAAGTAGAATTACCAGAAATAAAGTAAAAATGAAAAGTATTACTCGCTTTTTTGTAACATATAGAATTATGAAATTGTCATGACATTACTTAAAATTAATTTATTTTACTCCATTTTTCTTGACAAAAAAAAAAAAAAGGCACTGGTTACTTAAAGGCACATAATCAAGCACAAGCACAGCTGATGTGCGGCTGGTAAAAATTTTCTCAAGGCCACCGGGCAGGGGCCATCACCGGTCCCCAGCCCCCAACAGGGTCCAGTTTAAACCACAAACTAGGCCATTGACCACTTTTCGCACAAGTGAACCTGCCATAGCCCCTAGTCCAGCACAGATTCTTAGTGCTATGTCATAATGTTGTATGGGTCAAACAGCATATGCTTTAAAAGCAGATAAGATAACGTATACTGCATAATGGAAAAGAGCACAAAAAATCCTACTTTGGAGTTATTATGCTTAACTTTCACAAACATCTACCGTGCATGATGAACAAATACAAAACGCCAAAACCTAGGATATTCAGCATACCTTGATTGCTGCACCGAAGGCAGATTCAGCAGTTCTGTTATCCTGAAACATTAATGGGATGTCTTCCAGCAACAGCTCTAAATTCTCCTGACACTACATGCTCAAAATAAACAACGAGTTACCAGAAAGCACTCAGTAATTTCTCTTTAATTTGCGAGAAATAGATCAAGCCATAAGCTACGGCAAAGATAATATTCCATATGGTTAAACTGATCATTGAGGAGAAAAGACTTAACAGTCTAGAGCTTACCTCAGAAAGCTGAACAACAACATCAGTTTGGAGAGGAGTGTAAACATCTTCCACATCTGGCACAATGAGCATCAATGGCTGCAAAAATGTGGAAAATAAAAAAACAGCAAAAATCCCTTTTAAATGACAGCATGTCAGAGCTTCCAGAAGCAAGCAGAAAGACAAAACAAGTCCAGAAGGAATGTTGCAACTAAATGCTGACCTGCTGTAATGCACGCTTTAAATTGTAGAAATGGATAGTAGAGTCAAATGTTGCAATCCCCACCGTTGTGCGAGGACCTTCCTGAAAAGAAAGAGAAAAGGTTTGTTAATCATTTATAATAATGGATGACCATGCATTTGAGAGTTGAATGCAAAAGCACCCCGAGGAAAGGATAATCATATAATGGCCACCAACTTAACCGGAGCAGGACTCCAAGCAAACAAAACAAGAAATAGTTTGCAGCTAAATAGAATAGATAATCCTTAATATATATGTGATACTTAAAAACAGACAGAACAGACAAAAAAGGTTATCAAACTTCGAAGATGTTACAATAAATTTTGAATAAAGGCCTTGTAATCAACGTATTTCAGTGTGTACCAGGGATGTCACTGTAATGAAAAAGATAAAAAGCATTTTACCAATACTTGGTGAACTACTTCAAACATCAAATCCAATTGCAGATGCCTTCTTATTCAATATACTTGGGCTCCTAGCCAAATTAAGCCAATGATGCACAATGCACACTAGGTTCCGCTTGAGAAGTGAAAGAACTGAGTTTATAGTACACAACCATTTTGTTTTACAGGTCATGTAAACAACATCAGCTCAAAATGCGTAGAGGAATTGCCCTAGAGTTTTAGCTTGTCAGAGACAGTATCACTAGCGCTTCTCCGTGGAACTAACCTTGAAGAGATAGAGTAGATGATTTAGATGTTACATGGACAATTGAATTTAAAAACTCAGCACAACCAAATAGAAGAGGATTCCATAAATAGCATGGAACTCACAGGAAGATCAGAAATAACTTGATTGATTGCATTGCAAGCTGCAGCTGTTGCACCAGTCTTTATTGCATTCATGGATACATCAATGAGAAAAAAATACACGGTGGGCATTGGTTCACGCACCTGAAATGAAAATTTTACCAGGAAAAAAATCACGAATCTTGTGAGCTTTGTTATGCAACGATAATAGAGTCTTAACTTTCCTTGAACAGGACATGATTATATATAAGTAGAAAGAACCAACAGCGTACTGCCATTAAAAAGATAAGGAAACAAAGTAATGGGTCATGTTAATTAATAAACTATTCTGCCAAGGAAGAAAGACAGAGACATAAGAAAAAATAAGCCTGTGATCAGGAAATCCCAGGATTACTTGTCAACAGATATTGATCTTAGAAGCGTCAAAAGTTCAATCCAAAGCAAACATACCAGTGCCAATGGCCAACCTATCACAAATACGAAGTATTTACTTCTTTATTAATTCTCATTTTGCCTACTAATGCCAAAAATAAACCTGTGACCAGGAAATCCCAAGATTACTTGTGACCATAATGCATACTTTTTCCACCAAAACAGATCAAATGAATGCTTGTCGACAGAAATTGATCTTATAAGCGTCAAAAGTTCAATCCAAAGCGTGCCAATGGCCAACCTATCACAAATATGAATTATTTACTTCTTTATTATTTCTCATTTACCCTACTAATGCCAAACACTCCAAGGAGTTGCATGATAATTATTATCAATAGCTAAGGTATTGGATAGAACATAAAAGGAAAAAAGATTCATGAAGCCAGCCCCAACTAGTTTGGGACTACGACTCGGTCAATCTGAATTGGGCTAACAGCAAAATTCTGCAGTCAAAACCATTAATCAAAACGATTAATATACATTTGAATAGCAGAGGAAAAAGAAAAAGCGGTTAAGAATTTGCAACATCTAACCAATATCATAACTTGTATAATCCAGTACAAGTGAAGAGCTTAGAAATGCTTTGATGCTATACATGAGGATGAACTATTTCTGAGTTATTTGGAATATAAATAATTAGGTAATACTATCATTATTCAAAATATCTAGTATTATTTAGGAAAACAGTTTATTTCTTGTTAATTAGTTATTATTAGTTAGTGGTATGAGTTCATTTCCCATTTTAGCTAGGATTCTTTAAGGATTTGATGTGCATAAATAAGCACACATATAATATAATTTCATGAATAAGAAAGTTCAGTTTTTAAACTTCGTTGTTCTTGTGGATTCAAGAGCTTAATTTCTTGGAGATTCAGGGGTCCTTTACATGAATGGAGAATCGTCGTCGTCGTCGTCGTCGTCGTCTTTCTATCCCAAGGTAGCTCACCCCTGTTTTACACTTAGGAATGGGATCGTGTATCTTTTAACCTAGAAGATTTTAGCTTTTCAATCCCATTTTTTATCTTTCTCAATATTTTCGTCCATTCTACATCATGCTTTCCAATCGAAAAAGAAAAGGAACTTTTGGCATTACATTCTTGATTATGTAAGTAGCATCTTGGGAATGAGCTAAAGTTTCTATGTTGCGTTAAAACTGAGGATTTAATCTTACAAATTAAAGCTAGTAGTATTTTGGTCTACCTCCTACCTAATGTTGAAGGAAAACATTGATACTAGAGAACCCTCTAAGTTTCTTAAAGGTATATGAGTGAAAAACAGAAAGTAAAAGTCTAAATGGTGCTATGGCCTATGTTGCATTAAAAGAAAACCTTCCTATAATACAAACATAGATTTCTACATCTCCAAGTCTATAATTCAAACCATTCCAATGGTCCAATCAAATTGTCAGCTTGATTCAACATAACTCCGATCCAGAGGTTTCCTGTTTCATGCTAAAAACATGATATTTTTTCCAAGAGCAGCAAATTCTTTTAAGCATTCCACTATTTAATTCCCTATCACGTACTCATCTTACAAAATTTACACAGCACTCCCATGCCATTTTTGGCAATACACAATAAATTATCTAAAAGAAATGTCGAGTCAATTAGTCCATGATCATTATTTAATAAAGCAAATCCAGAAAGTTGACATTTGGTCATGAAAGGGCACTGCTCTCTTCTGGGGCCATCTTTCCTGGTGTGTTCATAATGTGCAATGACTTTAAAACTCCATCCCTGTTAGAAGGAAGATTAAAGTGCCTAGAAACTATTTGATTTATATTTTTAAGAAATGATTTTTGTTCATAGTGTCTGTTTTTAGAAAATTATTTTCTGAACATTCCTATTCAAACACCCTCTTTGCAGAGAAAATTTGTTTTTTGAGTTATCCTTCATGTCGTAGGGCAAAACTGATTTGGTATGGAGAAAGCAGATAGCAAAGACTAACTCTAATAAAAGCTAAAACTCTCATTTACTTAACTAACCATGTACTCCTTTGAAGCAACAAATTCCACCGTTCCTCTACACAGTTCAGGCCTTTCATCAGCATCTCTACGTCTACCATCAGGACCTAGGTTGCACTGATAGTCACGGGGAGTCTCGTCAGCAAACCCTGCAACCGAAAAGGCTCATGTAGTATTACAACTCTTGTAGCTGTTACTTACATGTCAAAGCATGACATAGACCAGATGCTGTACACCCTAATGAGTTCTAAAAATAAATTGATGTTACAAGTAGCCTTCTAGATCTAATTAGGATAAGAAATACTAAATGGCATAAGTTCAGGAAGCTAGAACTGCAGACATAGGACAGTATGACCTATGAAATTTCACGACAAATGACTAGGAACGTTAGACCGTTCCTTTATTGGATTAATCGTATATTCAGTCCCTATACTCTTGACATTTTCTTAATGTGACCTACCCTATCAATTTTTTTGTTGGTCCTTCTACTCTAGAAAACTTCATAATGTGGTCCTCTATTCAACTTCCTTCCAATTAACCATTCATTCTTGATAACATATCAGAAAAAAGTGGACATGTGTCTAGCACATACGATGCCATGTGTCAATAATTAACAATAAATTGGATGGAAATTGGATAGAGGGACCATGTTAAGAAAATTTCTTGACTAGAGGACCCATTTTAAGAAAATGTCAAGAATATAAGGAAAAAATATATGGTTAACCCTTCTATTATTTCTGAAGGTTACCTATGACATTTGACATTAAGATTGTTCCTAATCTTTGCAGGGAGTAATATGTCTTGCGACATTCCTTTCTTCAAGGATCAATCTCTATCAAGGCAATTGCCATGGAATAGAATAGTTCTTTGGCCACTTTGCTGACTCCAGCATCAGAAGCTTTTTTAGATAATTTGTTAGTGGATGTTCAAGTGAAAAAACACATGCATACCATAAACATTTATTATTTAGAGAGCAGTCTAGGAAGTTCAATCTTTAGCAGTGAGTCAGGAATAGGCAAAGGTGATCACCTACCTCAAAAGAAAAAGTTTTTTTTAACAAAAAAAAAGCAACAGCGTATCTCCTTAACACAGAAATGTAAGAGTAGGTTCTGGCAACAGCAAAACCTAGATGCAACACTTAGTTATATAGTAAATATAAAATACCATAAAAACTCGCAACAAAAGGCTAGTGATATGGCAACTATTCATGCTTGAAAATAGCTCATCGATGCACTCGCTTTAATAGACATTCTTTGCTGAAAGTTAAAGGCCAATAGATCAGATAACAAAAAAAATACGTTAAGGATCTATACTGACCGCAAAAGTTACAAATGAATCGTCTTCCGTGATCAATAAATTTCATGAAAGGATTTATGTAACCTTTGCAACAGGAACACCTCAAAGGACCACTTTCTCCAAAGTCCGCAACCTATAAAAGGAGAACCCAATAACATTAACATGGCATTGCAGTTTAAATTTGTCTATTTGATTATCAAATAAACCAATAAAAAAATGGGATATCCACCCAAAAACAGTGGGATTGGCAATTATTCCTTAGGATATGAGGAAACATTTACCAAATTTTGGCATAACATGTAAGTGTTTAATTTCATGCGAAAGCATACAAGGGACCAAAAGAAGAAGGAAAAAGACTTGAAAGCATACAGTGGGAAGAAAAGACGAAAGGAAAAAAAAATTAATATGAAACTACCTAACCACCATAAATGTAGCAAAAGAAAATGTGGGAAGAAAGAAAACAAATATTACTTGTATAGGCTCCTCAGCTGGATGAGGAAGGACCAAGGGTTGGACAGATAAAGCCAACTGCATTGCTGATGTATTCAAAAGGTCAGCAGTGCATGGGATCTGTTATAACAGATAAAACAAGCAATGAAAAGTACAAAGTTATTGCCAATCTCATGGGTCAGATATCCAACACTTTGTAACATAATACAATCCTCCATATTAAAAATACTAGATACTCAAACATGACCTGATTGATGGTACACCTCATGTATCGTGGATTGCAATTACCAGTGTCTCTGGCTATGAACTCACTTGAAACAGGCTACAAAACATCAAATGTAATGAGAAAAAAAACAAACAATATACAGGACCTGGTTCTACACATGCAAAGACAGTATGCATGAGATTATTTTGGTTGATAAATAAATATGCAGAATTGAAGAGCTTTGGTGTTTAGTCTTTATTCTTCTTGTGCTTTAGTTTTCTCAGTTTGCAAGGATTCTAATCTTCCTATTCTTTACTTTCCTGCATTTTAGTGCAGTACAATTTCATTTTTCTATCAAAAAAAAAAAGAAAGAAAGAAAGAAAGAAAGAAAGAAAGCAAAGAAGCCAATACAAGAAATAAAGAGATATAAAGCAAAGATGATTAAAACATAGAATCTACTCTAGCCAATTTGAATACAAATAGAGCAATTTGCCCCTTCCATAAGAAGTTCAAATGACATACGGGAGGAGGGTTAGCCTGATTTTTCAGACGCGTTTCGTGCTGGATTGATGTATAAGTTGGAGTGGGCCTTGGAGGACTCTTGCTATCCATCTTTGGGTGTCCTGCCAGAGGGACTCCAGCTTGACCCATCGCAGGTGAAATAGCCCTCATAGGGTGGCTTGCTAAAGGTGGAGGCATTCCAAACATTCTAGGTGGCTGCATGAAACCAGGGATTGTGGGAGCCACCAAAAAGGTTAGATGTTCAGAATTAAGGTTAATAATTTAGTAAGAAGATGAAATGCATCTACATTAAATCCATGATGAGCAACCGAAAATAGAATTCCACGTGCTAGGGCATTAAATTAAAACTTTTTCACAAAATTGAGTGCTTTGAAACAATAATAATTCTGAAATCTCTCCCACTTAAACTCCGGATAAATTCTCAATTCTTGCAACTACATAGTAATGTCGAAAGTAGAATGCAAAATCGCCCATGATATACTGACATAGATAAAATATAGTTCACTTCTAAAATAAGGAAAGAACAGATGTCAGAGAAATAGCTCACCTGCTGGGGTTGCTCTGGCCATGTCTGTGCTCCAAAGGGAGGACCTGGGGATGGCGGTACACCTTGAGTTCCCGCTAAAAATGGGGGCGGCACACCTGGAGCTCCGAGAGAAAATGGTGGCCGTGATTGCACTGAAGATACTGGTGGAGATTGAGGAGCAGCAGCAGCTGAAACAACAGGCGGAGATCCCATAGACGGTTGCGGGACACTGGTAACTGAAGGAAATCTGGGCCCACCAGGCATAGCCCCCGAAGCAAACGGCATCCCATTGGTCACTGCTCCATTAGGTGGCACGCTCAATGTGTTAACAACTGGACCAGAACTCAACGAAGAAGACGAAGCAAAATGAATGGGGTGAACCCCTGGCGGTGGAGGAACAGTATGACCATTACGTGAACCAGAAGAAGGAAAACCACCCGAAGTAGGCACCACAGGACCACGCGTAGAAGAGGGCACTGGCCCCGGAGGAGGGGGTCTGGACGCGAAAGGCGGTGGGGGCTGACTAACAGGCGGACCACTGGGCCTTCCTGCGGCTACATTAGGAGGTAATGTGGATGGCGGGGATGGCACTCCAGTTGACCAAAAGGTGGGCCCCGGCAGGGTAGACCTTGGCGGGGACGCCATAGGTAAACCAGGCGAAGGCCTAGAACCAGAATTGGGCATGGCAGGAGGTTGATTTAAATTCAAATTTTGCATATTGTCGGCTAAAACATTAGGGTTATATTTAGTTGATGGTTGCTGACCGTAGCCAGGTCTTGGTGCCCCTGGAGGCATAGGGGACGCCATTATTTAAATCACCAATTAAAAGTTGGAGAGTACATGGGATCAGAAACAAGTAATGGTCGGAATTGAGAAGATTGGGTTTTCGAATGCAGAGAGATTGTGATTGAGGTTCTTTGAGAGAAAATGTAGGTGAATTTTAGGGTTTTGGGTGATGGAAGGAGAAAATAAAATCCAGAAAAGGAAGATTGAAGCGGAGTAGAAGATGGCGGGTGTTTTGGCGTTGATAAAAAATTTACTGACAGCGTATCAAAACGTATAAGGTGAGAGTGACGTTGAGTTACTCTATTGGCCAGGTTGCGTTGCGTTGCGTTACAGTTGACGAGGGTTATTTTGGAATTAGGAATTGACCTGACTGTTGGGGTTGGCTGGTCCGATTTCTGTGAAGTGTGGGCCTTGTATTGTTGATCAGGACTGGGGTCTGGGAGGGTCAGAGCGAGGTTTAGTTTTGAGCTCATCGTGTGCCTTCTTCCATTACGGTTCATGACAATCTCATAAACCAAACTTGCAATCTATTTCCAAAATCACCTTCCCATAAGAATCTCAACCATTAAATTTATAAAATTCTTGGGTGATTTCCATAGAATCTAATTTGTTAAGTTTGCGACTTTTGATAAAGTAATTTTGGGAAAGAATAAAATTTGGAAAACCCAAAATCAAGTTCTAAACCTATATACTTATTCTTAATTTAGTCTCTAACCTATAAATTTATTAATCTCGTCTTAGACTTTTCAAAAATAAAAATTCAATCAAGTCTTTTTTATTTATATCCATTAACTTTTATGTCAAATCTTCTTTAAATCGAAACCATTTTAGTGTGCTTTTTCAAAAAAGAAAAAAGCCATTTTAATGCATAAAATATGCATAATAGACAAACTATTAAAGGAAATTGTCAAAATGATGTGACTGATAAATCTAGAAAACACTTGGGACCTAATTGATAACATTTATAAATTTGAGATGTAATTGACAGCAAATATTTAGATTTGAGACTAAATTAAAATTTCTTCCTAAAATTAGCATTATTCTTCTCGCTCAAAACATTTTGAGTAGATTTAGTAAGGATGTCTTGGTAAAGATAAGGACAGTGTTTATTACCTAAGAAAGGTTATTGTAAAGTTATTTGTAAGTATTGTTTGGTTACCAAGAAAAATGAAAATTTTAAAATGATAACGCATAAATCAAAATAGCATTTTTATTTAAATATTATGTTGAAAATAATAATGAAAAATCAAAATGAAATTTTAAAATATTTAATATCTATTTTTAAAGATAAATAAAAATAATGATTAAAAAAATAATTTCATCAATTATGATAGTAATAAAAATAATAAAAGTAATCATTGTAGTGATAAAGGAGGAGAAGGAGAATGAGGTGGAGATATTAATAATAGTATATACATTAAAAAAAAATAACAATACTACCATAGGAAGTGATAGTAGAAGAAGAGCGATGGTGATTATGGTATAAAAAAAAAAAGAAGTAAAGATAATGATGGTAGAAAAAGAATAGTGAAATGATAATAATAATTTTAAAAAAAATTATTACCACCACAATGGTAATAGAGGTGGTGGTGGCGGCGTTAGCGAGGAAAGTGGTAATTACAATAAAAATAATTGATAGATAATAAATAAATATAATATATCATTATTTTTAAAATATATATTTTATTTTCATTTTTTATTTTTATCTCCATCTCTTCTCTCAAAATAAAATTTATTCTCATTTCCACTTTCATTTTTTTAACCAAACACTTACAAAATAAAAATAAATTTTATTTTTATTTTCAACATTCCATTCTTTGTTATCATACAATACAATAGGTTTATAGTTCCTATGTTCCAGTAATTTGATGGTTCCATGGAGTAAAAAGGATTAGGTAAAAAATTATCTCTCACGGCCCACCGTTATCCATAATAACAATAATAAATAAATAAATAATAACTCGAGAGAGATTGTTCTGATTCAGTGATTTGGTCCAGCTGTTGTGGTAATTCAAAAAATTCGGACATCATTGCAGAGAAATTTTCTCTAGTTTCAATTCATCTGTCAAACAAGGCACGATAGAAGTTAAAAATGGCGAGAATCCATGGAAGTTAAAAGCAGGTGTACCTACCTCAATCCGGCTGAAAAGGAGAGTTTGGAGAATAGTTTGTGAAATAATTATCCAACCGTGTTAGAAAGGCCATTCACATTGATAGTCACTGTATCACTTTGCAGATAAACTGAAAAGAAACATGTCAAAGCAGGTATGAACTCCATTTTCCAGGCCTAAATGGCTCAAGGTCACTGGAGCACAAATAACAGCCATTTGCCTGTGGTAACAACCAATAGTACTATACACATATAGAGCAATCATATTTTTGGAGCGAGGAAAAAAATTTAGGTACCCAATCCCCTACAGACAAGCCCGCAACAGGGTTTTACTTTTACATGTTCTCGGAGCTGAACGCATGACATTTTAGCAAGGCTTCATAGTTATTCACAATCATCTAACGGTGAGGACTTTCAAAGGTGAGTAGTACCTCACAAGGAAAAATTATACAGGTTTCCAAACTGTAAGCACCTCTTGAAACATTTCTACCATCAATTCCCTGTCAGCCTGCCTGAAAAAGTTGCTGATTTCATCTCTAACATCATATATTTTTCCAAAGTCAAACAAGTAAGTCAAGCATCCTTTCTTCAGCTTGTTCAACTGGTAAAGCCAGGCCTCTTGCAGCCTCTCAAGGACATTCATGGTATTGATGTCTTCCAAAAGGCTATCCTCACAAGCATCCTTGAGGGCTGCAATGTCATATTTGTTCGCCGCCCCCAGCAGTGATACACGGTGCTTCCAAAAATCCTCTTGCTTGATGGTTCCATACAAGTAACTTAAAAGAGTCATGCAAGATTCCATGGTCATATCTTCTATGTAGATTGTGGAGGACTCCTTTTCCTTGAGGTTGTGATGGAACATGCTCTGGAAAACAGGCGAACTTGCAGAAAGAATTGCCTTGTGAGCACTGAGTGTGCCATCAGCAGTATGGATGGTAACGTCAGAATGGATGGCCTCATCCAGCATGCGAGAGAGACAGCGAAGTGTGCCTCGAGTTGATACAGACTGCATCATTCCGTCACTTGGCCATATGGAGCTGGGTTCCCCACCCTGAGCAATTGACGGGAAAAAGTTAGACGTTTAAACCTCAAGTAGAAGAACCATGACAACAGTTCAACAATAACCAGACTATTAAGAAATATTCACATGCAAGATCTCATCAACATGTAATTGTGATAAATTATGTATGGTGAAATGTGTTTTTGTCTAAAGGTTCTTCTTCCGTTGTGCTTGCTTGAAGAGGAAATGAAATGACTATAATTGTCCACCGCGTTCTAAATGAAAAATCAAAAGAGAACCATCCACTATTACTTATTTTAAACTAGAAACGTTATTCTGCAATCAACATCATGGCTTCACCAAAAAAGATAGTTAAGAGGAGCTCACATTTAGAGGGCAGATTTTAAGGTCTAGAAACTCAACATCAATGATGAAGCGACCATGAAAAGCAGAATCAACAGGCCATACAAAGTCCTCACTTGTCCGGAGCAATCTCTCATGAACTGCAGCATGAAACAATTCAGTGTCACGGAAATCTTTTTACAATTACTACTTCACTCATATCAACAACTAGGTGCTTTCCAAAACAATAAACCTTTACTAATCTCTATCAGGATGCACTTTCACATCATTGTGCAAAGCAGGCACAACAAACTCATCTGTTACAGGGTGGTTGTCTTCAGGTTGAGAAAGCATATAAAATCTGCCTGACACCACATTCCAGACTGGTAAAGAAATGGGAACCCAAACCATATAAATTGCATCCAGTTATGCAGAGTAATTGATCTACTAAATTTATCAAGTAGTTCCAAAGGTTCAAAATGCCAAACAAGCACTTTCTGGCTATGGGCTCATGGTTATCACATTCTAATTCTAATTTCAATTTTGATCATGTTCAGTTAGATCTCCCTTAATGAGATGGTTGGGACTTGAACAGGTAAGTTTATCATTACTCGCGTCAATGGATCAATGAGGGGGTTCCTTCTTCCTCAATGTATAATGACAAGAACATACAAGCAAGACTTCTGGTAATAAACCTATGGTGCTAAAAGAATAATAATAATTAAAGAAAAATAAAACAGCCAAAGACTTGTGTGATTTCATCGTGGTAAAGACGGAAAGAAATTACCAAAAAAAAAAACCTATTCAACACAAAGAACAATTTAGACCCTCTGCTTGGAAAAAGCAATACTTTATTAGACCCGATTGCAATAACAGACCCATTTTCAGAGGATTATTGAGTAAAACAGAATATCATGAATATGCAAGAAGTATACTCCATGAAATAATATTCACCAATTGAAGCAACATGTCCTACTTTCAATACACTTTGCAAGATAGAAAGTCCCGGAAAAGGCCTCCTTTGCTAAGGAATCAAAGCCAATTTTTTTCCTAAAAAAAGAAAAACCTTGGCAAACAGTTCCATATTCTGTATGCCACATCTCTGGTGCCTTCTTGATGAAAACCCAACAAAAGCTTTTGGTTTTTTTTTAAAAAAATATATATATATATATATATATATATATATATATCTAATGCTTACACAGACTTTATTGCAGAAGATAAAATCCTGTATACAAACATGTATTAAATAAAGAAAAGAAAAGAAAAGAGAGAGATGAAAGCATGCCTGGAGAGATATAAGGCCTGCGATTATTAGCACCAGCATTTGAGACACGGAGAACAAATCTAGCGATAGGACTAGGAGGCTGCTCTTTGCAAGCTCGAGACGACTCTGGAAATAAACGAATGTACAAGTACCGATTTTTCTCTATTGACAAGTGCCTAAAAAAACAAATAAATCAACTCAAACAATAAAACCTGCGCTTGTTTGTTAGATACTGTAAATTATAGACTTACCAGTTCCAGATTCCGACCTTGAAAGGATCGGATTTTTTGTAAGAGCAAGGGCCAAAGTTCTCGATTTTCCACTGAGCTAGTCGGGAGATGGTCTCTACCTTCGAATCGGCCATTTCGCTCTTTATCCCGCTGTCTGTGTAGACGTGGCTGTAAGTGGAATTTCTGCTTTGAAAGAGAGACGACATTGGATAGAAAGAGTAGGCTAGCTGTTTAACCCTTTTTTGGACACATTTTAGAAAGACTTCTACGGTTCTACCATTCGGGGACGCGCATGCAAACATATTAAGGGTTTTATTTAAAAATAAATAAAAATAAAATAAAATAACATCTTTCCGTTTTTCAAATAAAAAAAACCCGCAAGCCAATGTATTAATACGAAGAACAAACTCAGTTTGCATATGAGCTACATCTCAACGAGAATCTTATAAATTAATCTCTTTAGCTTTTCAAAACAAATTAAATAATTTTTATAGTTTTAAAAATTAATTAATTCCTATATTTTTTACTTTATTTTGTAACTGAATATTTTTAATTCTTTTTCAATATATTTTGATTTTTTGTTTAAAAAAATAAATAAAAATATGGAAGTATTTACAAGAAAATAATAACATTTTTTGTAATAAGATAATATTAAATTAATCATAATCAATATCGTTAAAATACTAATTCATTAGTTTAAAAACAAAAGAAAATATTTAATTCTTTTTTTTAAATTAAAAGGATTAATTTATAATTTACTCCTCCTCTCAATAATGTTATTACATTTTTTTTTTTACATGTTTGGGATTTTTTTTTCTGTATGATTTTGAAGTAAATGATGCCAATTGATTGATTCCTTTTTATTTTTTTAAAATTCAATCATGAGCGTTAATTTTCGCTTTTTTTGGTATTTTTTTAAAGACATTGAGAGTATTTTTAAACTAGTTTATATGTTAACTAAGGCTAAATTTTTATAAGCAATATTAAAAATACATTTCTTCATAAAAATTGTGCATTAAAAGAAATTTAATAAAAAAAATGGATAACGGTCCCGATATTTTAATTTAAAGTGTTAAACAATGGTCCTAGTATCCCAAGACCAACGATCTAAGTTTGTATTAATTTTTCTAAGTTAAGAAAATGAAATTTATCATGAAAAGGGTGTTGAATAATATGTGTTCTTTGAATAGTAAAAATTAGAGTTATTAAACTTAAAATTTAATAAAGAGCGTTGAAGAAATGTATTTTTAAACCAGTTTATATGTCAATTAAAACTAAATTTTTTTAAGCAATATTAAAAATACACTTTTTCATAGAAATTGTGCATTTAAAGAAATTTAATAAAAAAATTTCGATACCGGTCTCAATATTTGAATTTAAAGTTTTAAACAATGGTCCTGGTATCCCAAGACCATTAGGTTTGTATTAATTTTTCTAAGTTAAGAAAATGAAATATATCATGAAAACAGTGTTGAATAATATGTGTTTTTTGAATAGTAAAAATTAGAGTTATTAAACTTAAAATTTTATTATATTCTTTCTGCTGTCAAATAATTTTAAAAGCTCGTCTTTCACTTTAAAAGGCAACAAAAAGATCAGGGGGTAAAAAAAAAAACTAACTAAGACTTTTTAAGTTTTAACTTTCGCAACAAAATTCTACCATAAAAAAAACACTGGCCAACGAGATATCGTGCGGAAATCGTAATAGTAAAACTACATGACCTTTGAGACAGTACTAAATGCTTACCTGCACTACACTGGAATCAGATAAAATTGTTAAAATTAATTTAAAAAATTATTATAATTTGATAGCATACGGTACGGTATGTAGCTAATGTACTAAAATATATTAAATTAAAAAAAATAAAATCAACTAATTTTATATTTTTAATCAATTTTTTGTATTTTATTTATTCTTTTTAATATCTTTTATATTATTTGTTATTAATAAACATGATTTGTTCTTCGTCATTCATCAATTCTTAAATAAAAATCTATGATAATGTAAATTAAAAATTAAAAAAAAAATATTTGTTTTTATAAAATTGCTCGGAATAAAAAAACAACAATCAAAATAAAAACTTGTAAAAAAATTAACAAATGAATTTTTTTTATGTTTTCGAAAATATATACATTTGATGTGTGTGTGTGTAATCTAATATAATATTAGAATAAAAAAGATGCACCTGAATTATTAGATTATTCTTCTAAAAAAACATATTTATTTATTTATTTAAATTAATTAATTTTGGAACATTCGAAAAAAATAAATGCAAATTATTGATGCCATGTGTGCGGATGCATAAATAATTTTTAATAAAATCAATGATATTTTTTTTTATATACATCATGACCTTACTTGATGTATCAAAGCATACATCATAAATCACAAATAATAATAATAATAATAATAATTTTTAAGAAATATATAGAAGTTATTAAAATGCAATAAAAATAACTATAAAATTTATTCCGATAAAATTTTGTTGTACAAAAAATAAAAAAATAAAACACGTGAATTCGAATATTTAATTGATGATTTAATTGATTTATCTTAAAGAAATTAATATTTGAATATTTGAAAACAAACAAACACAAATTATTTGTGTTATGTGTGCGAATGCATAGATAATTTTTAATAAAATAAATTATTTTAATTTTTTAATCATCATAATCATACTTAGTGGGTTAAAGCGTGCAACATAAATTACAAAATATTTAAAAAAATCAATTTGTAAGAAATATATTGAAGTTGATGAAATACATTAAAAATAACTAAAAACTTTATTCCAATAAAATTTTATTATACGAGAGAATAAGGAAATAAAACATGTGAATTTTATAATTTAATTAATGATTCATTTAGAGGAAAATTAATTTAGATTTCCATACATAGAAAAAAAATCATATTTATTTAAAAAATTCATAAAAAGAAAAAAAAATTGATGAGAATTTTCATAATGCAAATTGAAGAGATAGTATGTGTATGTGTATGCATATATTATAAAATTCGAAAAAAAAAAACATTGTATATGCTTCGTAATTGCTAGAATGTGTAGAAAAAAAAAGGTAACAATTTGTTTTCATAATTTTTGCAGCCAATTCAACAACGATAATAATAAACTAAATTGCTAAAAAAAAAAACCTACCGCATGCTCGAAAAAGCAAGCCCAAGGACTTTCTAATCAAAAATTTCGACCAATTTTCAAAACTCAATCTTCATAGTAGTAGATATGAATCATTTGAGTTAAATTAAATAACAATAACAATTTTATCAAATCACCTATGACATGCAAATTACATGCTTGATTTGGATGGAAATTTTGTCAAATCATAACTACAATGATAAATTAGAAATGAGTTTCAATTATAAGGACATATCGGAGAAGTTTTTTCCTTAATAAGGACATATTGAAAATCTGATCTATCGGATAATGATATGTCAATATATTACCAAAAACAAAAATCACAAAGCCAAAAAGGAGGTATGGTCACCTTAAAACTACATTTAATTTTAGTCTATAGTATTACTATTAATATTATTTAAAATGCAATAATATATGCTTAAGCAATATATGATTTCTTTATTCATCATTGGCAAGTATATGCTATGGGGATAACGCCCTATTGTTATTATGTTGGATGTTTACGCTATGTCGGGGATCGGGTAAAATATGTGAAATTATTTGAAAGTATAATTTTAATTTGATAGTCCGTGCCATATTATATGTATGATAAAATATATTGACTCAAGGTAAAAAAATATATATAATTTTATAGTTTATTTTTTCTTGTGTTTTTCATAAAATTTGTAGTTAAAAACCATGATTTGTTATTTTTTATATATTGATGTTTAAATAAAAACTTCTAATAATCTAAATAGAATATTAAATCAAATTTTTTGAAAAACAAATCCCTTAATATTTTTTTTCATAATATTTTATCAAAAATAAAGCAACAATTAATATAAAAATTTGTAAAAAAAAAATAACAAATGAATATTTTGTTCATTCTTATTTAATTATGATGAGAATAATATATTTTTAAAAAATATATTTATATTGGATTTTTATATATTTATTCACAAAATAATAAATAATATTAGTATGAAAAGTTGTATTTGATCATTGAATGGTTCTCCTAAAATACTATTTCAATTATTTTATTTCAAAAAAATTGATTTTAGAATATTAAAAAAACAATAACAAATTGTTGGTATTATGAGTGTAGATGCATGGTTAATTTCTAATAAAACCAATTACCTTTATATATATATATATATATCATGATCATACTTAATCTGGTTTAGAGTATGAACATATAAATTGCAAGGAATATGTTAATATTAATATAATTAAATAAAAAACAAAAAAATTAATTTTGATAAATTTTAATTATATAAAGAAGAAGCAAATAACATACGTGATTTTTTAAATTGATTTTTTAAGAAGGTTCCAGTGCAAATTATATAAAATATACTTTTAGCTTTTTAACACTCTCATTTAAAAATCATGAGAATTCACCATATGAATTATATTAATACATAAAAAAGATAAAATAATGATATTTTAAAATTTTATTAAAAAACCCATACATTGAGAAAAAATAAAACATATTTATTAACAAATCAAATTATATAAGAAATATAAAATTAATTTAATGACAATTTTCACAAGAAACGATAAATCAAAAAATGAATTTTAAACAACAAGGGTAATATGACATGATACATATATTCATTCTAAATTCTAAAAATATATATCTTAAAACATATTTTTTAAGATATTTATATCTATCAAATCGAAAAAAATAATTTTTTAAGGTTTCGATCTATCCCTTTCAACTATTTTATAACTTAAAACAACCATGAACACACTTTTTTCATCAAGATAGACAATATGGATGCAAAATCGACTATAAAAGAGACCAAAATTAGAGTCGATCATTGCTTTCTCCCTTCTCTGCTTCCATAGACCAAATTGTAACATAAACAAACTTAAAAACCATAATGAAATTTTTGAAAACACCTAGGACTATAGTGTAATATTAAAAAACCAGGATAAAAGTACCTCAGAACAACCTAAAAATCACGAAAATACCACTATATAGTGCATATGATTCTAAGTGAACAATAAATGAACAATACTTTGTAAGTGGGTAAACAATATAATGTCTAAATAGTCCAAATCTTTTAATTTTTTTTTTAAAAAAATTTTAGTATGTGATTGTTTAAAATTTATTTTTTGTGATTGACTCGAAACTTGAAAATAAAAAATTTATAGTAACATGTATTTATTGAGTTTGGGTTGTATTTGAGAATTCACAAAAAAAATAATAAAATTACTATTTTACGAATTTACCTCTAAAAGTTACTATATCTAATTTGGGGATATGACCTTTTTTTTTTTAGGATAAGTGGCTATACCTATAATAACACGTGTTAATTAAAAAAAAACATATATTAATTATAAATACCATGCAAAACAATTTATTACTAACAAATCACATGATATATGCATTGTATTAATGATATGGATAAAATATACTACCACTCTCTATACTATTGTCAAAGCATGAAAAAATCACGAATGAATCAGTTTGTATAAATGGTAATTGGGAAAAACTGTAGGTGAAAATTAGCTTTTCGTTAAGTGATCTTAGATTTTCATGTCAATGTGCAAATAGTCTTTAAATAAATCATTCAATATAAAAGCAAATGAGCTAGGAAGTCATATGCTAAGCAAGTGATTTTTAATTAATCCAAATTGGAAAGGAATCTAATCCTATTCAACAAAAAGATTTAATTTTACTTCAAAATTTATTTTAAAACTATTTATACTAAATAATTTGTTTTAAAAATCACTTTTACTTTAATCAATAAATATGCGTAAACCTTTGTTATATTTTACTCCAAATACATCAATATCAAGTCTAAAGCACTTTTATTATTATTAAAAAAAAAGCAAGGATACGATTACTTTATTTAATATTAAAAATAAAAACAGTTTAGTTAAAGAATTAAAAATAACATGCATCAATCATTTGCAAGCAACAGACAATCCTTGTAGCACCACCAAGCTGGAGAATTAAACGCTGTGGGATAAAAAGAGAAAGTTAGGAAAAAGGTCAAAAAAAAAAAAAAAAATGAAAGGAAAGAAACAAAGGGCTAAAGAGTTAAAATAACACAACATCAAATAGCATGAAAGAAAATAAGACAAAAACATAAAGGTGGAAAAAAAGGCAACTCTAGTAGGGCAAATTAGTGGCCTGCATAAAAGAAAACCAAAAACACAAAACAGAAGAAAGAAATAAATGGTTCGATATAAAAAAAGAGGAAGAACAACATGCAGAGCAAGGCACATCACACGGAAGGAAAAAAAATCAGCTGAGATAACTACAATCACTTTGTTTCCATCTAGACCACAAATATATTTTTAAAATACGAAAAATCAGAAATATTATTTGAAAACATAAGGAACTAAAATAAAAAAAAATGTTAAATTTACATATCATGGCTCAAAAATAACGAAAAAATCATGACAAAAATAATGAAAAATGCCATCAATAAATAGTCAATGAATAATAAATCCAGACATCTCAATAGTGTAAAAACAGTAATTTACTTTTCAAAGAACACATCTTCTTCGGTTTTTTTTTTTTTTTTTTTAATGATCAGCCATAGCAAGCAAGGGTAGACACAGCAGTCGTGGTTGCAACAAGCTCAATATCTTTAATTTTGATGACACCATGTGGATCAATAGCACCTACATTTCTAAATCAGATTTGGTAACTATCAATTTCCACTCGAGTATTTCTTTTCCGCAAAACTATGGCCGACATTCAATAAAGAAATCTCAAATTGACGTGGGCATTCCGTACTGATTTTTTTTTTTCCTGATCGATCCTATCACCAGATATTGGACGCTGATTTTTTTAAGAATGCGTTGAACATGAGTTAATTATAAATTGGTCTTTGTGGTTTTCTAAAATAACTGATCAATCCTCCTGATTTTATAAATTATATGTACAATCTTTATATTTTTAAACCTATTTATAACTTAATCATTTCCATCCATGTCATGATCCAATTTATTGTCTTCTTTCTATTAAGAAATAGAAAAGGAAAAAAAAATAGATAAGATGAGAAGAATCATTGAGAAAAAATGAAGCATTTTCTGCGAAAAAAATAACTAATAAATTAAGCATGGTTGACAGTCAACACTAATCAATTAATTATTTTTTATACTATAGGGATTAAATTATTTTCCTCAATAAACTACAGTGACTAAGTTATAAACTCCATTGGACCATTTGCATTTGCATTTTCCTATGGTCCCTCGAAACCAAGATGACTAGCTGTACGGCACCCTTAATTCTTGCCAGTTCATGGAAGGACGTATTCATCGGAGAGCACAATGATTTTATGTGTATTGCATTCTAATTTGATCTACTTTTTTGTTGTTCGTGTTCCCCCTTCCATCGTCATCTTGTTCAACTTTAATTTACACACATGGGGAATCGGTTGTTTCTTTATGTTCACTTTTCAGGATTGCTTCCCCCCCCCCCGAATCCCAATTACTTTTTTGGTCCTTCTAATGCTCAAAATCTTAATTGTTAAGAAACATTTGCTTGAAATAGCATCATATGCAACCTTAGCGTGTTTGTTGGGTGGGAGATTTGCTTATTTACTTTATTTTTCAAGTTTGAATCCACGTTAGATTTTAGAGTAATTTATTTTGTAAAAAACGCATCAAATTATCAAGGAGGGTGAAAAACATTAAATCGCGGGAAAAGAAAAACTTGCACTATTGTAGTAGGAAGCGGCAGTTCAAACATCGTAATAATTTTTTTAATTGATTTTCACTAATTTTCCTATATCCAGATTAAAAGCACTCAAATCTGTGGATTCGTTTCATTTTTTTTTTCTCACAGCTTCTGCTTAATTTTGAATTTGAGACAATAACGGGGAAGATCATTTGGGATGACGAAATTTTCTCTCTTAGTCTTAGGTCCTCTCATAGCACACTTCCCACAGAGCGTCCTAAACTCTCAACTAAGCCCAAATCTAAAAACATAGAAACTTCCAGGCCAAACAATATTGCATTATCACTATATTGCCCCCAAATTATCCCGGTTGATTGACTGTCAATTACGGTATTATCGTCAAGCCAAGTCTTCCGGTCTTCTCCTTCGACACTAGTAAATTATAAATTAGTCCCTCACACTTCGAGAAATGAATTAATTAGTTCCTCTTGTTTCAAAAACTAATTTTTTAGTCCTTTTTACTATTTTTAATTTATTTTTATTTTTTCAAGAAATATAAAAGGAACAAAATATAATTAAAAATATTTAAATATTTATTATAAAATAATACATTTTATAAAATAAAAATATTAAATTATTCATGATTAATACTCATTAAAAAAATTAAATAATTAGTTTTTGAAAATAAAAGAATTAATCAATTCGTTTTTCAAAACTAGAGGGACTAATGTATAATTTACTCCTGTCAGCACCCGTGAACCCATAATCAATCACCCTCACCTTCCCGATCTGATCGTCCTTCTTAGTCCCTATTTCGATCTTCTCTCAACACCAGAGACTAGAGAGAAATAAAAACAAAGGAATAACACAATTCAAACACAGAGCTTCATCCAATCCAAGGATCAGCATACTCCATCCCCTTTGCCAAACTATCAAACAAAAGAACGATGTCTTCAACTTTCAGCGGTGACGAGACTGCTCCTTTTTTTGGCTTCCTCGGAGCCGCTGCTGCCCTCGTCTTCTCTTGTAAGCAAAATAATTATCTTTTTTCCCTTCTATTTGGATTATTTGCTTCATTGCTAATTAATTTGTAGAAGTAATTATTATTATTCGTGGACATAACATTATTGATCCTTCTCTGTTTTATCTTCTATTAATCAACGTTGTTTCATGTTTTTTTTCCTTGTTAATAATTGTTTGTATGAAATATTTTCGTGGAAATTTTATTAGTTAAGAATTCGTTGTTTTACAGGCATGGGTGCTGCATATGGGACAGCAAAAAGTGGTGTGGGTGTGGCTTCAATGGGAGTAATGAGACCTGAACTCGTAATGAAGTCGATTGTTCCAGTTGTCATGGCTGGAGTGTTGGGAATTTACGGGTTGATTATAGCCGTTATTATCAGTACTGGAATCAATCCAAAGGCTAAATCTTATTATCTTTTCGATGGCTATGCACATTTGTCTTCTGGTCTTGCTTGTGGGCTTGCTGGTTTATCTGCTGGAATGGCTATTGGCATTGTCGGTGATGCTGGTGTCCGGTAAATATTTTGAATCTGCTTTTTTTTTTTTTTTTTTTTTTTTTTTTTTTTGTGTTTGTTTACCAATATTTACGATTCATTAGTTTGATGTCTGACTTACTTGAATTCAGTTAGTGGTTTTAGTTTGTATTTGGTAGGGATTTTATGGACTTGCGTTTGAATTTCGCCTATGGATGGCCTCCCTGTGAATCATCAAGGAACTAGTTTGTTATGAAAGATAGGTTTATTGTAGATTTTGTTCACCAGATCATTGCCTCGGCTTTTAAAGTCAATTTCAGAAGAAGTTTAATTCCATATGTAGTTGAAGCTAGAATGTTTTCCCTCCCTAGAATGGAGCTATTGTAAGTAAATATGTTATAGGCACACCTTTTTTTTTTTTTGGGTAGATGATTCATTTTATTATATGCTTTGGTTAATCTATTACGATCTTTCATTAAAATCTATTATACAAAAAATTGAATCTAGTTATGTGCTAGGCACAACCATGTTAACTTTAGGCTTTCCTGTCTGGCTGGGCTTAAGTTAAAACTGCTAACATAATTTTTGTTTGAATTTTGTCAGAGAAATAAGGTTTATATGTTGCGTTGCAGCCCTGGGCTTTACTCTTATGTTCATTTTTTATATCTATATAACTAGTATATGATTAGATGGATTGATGTTACAGTAGCAATGAATTGGCTGTTTCTGTTTTGTCTTTTGGGTTCATGAGTTGTGGCTTTGTTGGACATAATATTTTAGTTTGTAGATGTTTAAATAATAATCTTGTGACTTGTTGGGTCCTTCTGCATTCGAAAATATATTAGAAGTTTCAGGTTATTGAATGCCGTACGTGAGAATTTCTTTCTGTGTATATTTCAATTGAGAATTTGTTGCTCAGCTTGTAATTGTCTCTTCTTCTACTACTGCTACATACCTTTTCCTTTTTGGGGGTTAAAAATGTTGGGTTTTTTTTTTTTTTTTTCAGCTTGGGTGCATGTTTTTCTAGGTTATATTGCAGTTGCTCATCTTTTTCCTCTATAAGTTTTATTGTATGCAATAGAGATTTAACCTGTATCAACCTGTTAAGTAAAATGATAATTTTGCTCATGTCCTTTTTTTTTTTTGATTTAATTTTCAGGGCTAATGCACAGCAACCAAAGCTGTTCGTGGGCATGATTCTCATTCTCATCTTTGCTGAAGCACTTGCTCTCTATGGTCTTATTGTGGGGATTATTCTATCTTCCCGAGCAGGCCAGTCCCGTGCAGAGTGAAGAGTGCCGAAGCTTATGATTTCTTGATATCCTCTTATCATGATTTAGAATGGGAACTGTATTCTATAACTGAGGTTTCTGAGATTGTGTTTACCGTGTCCAATCCAACGTGCTTTAATTGCCAAACCCTTGTATATGTGGGATTTCCAGCATCCCTAGAATTGTAATACTCTATGACAAGCCTCCCTTCTTGCACTCAATTTACCAGTTCAAGATCGAGGATGCCTTTTAGAATATGATCCTGATAATGAAGCAAGGTTGATTTTATAACAGACAATGCTTATTCAAATTTTCTTTTACACGCGAGTCGGCGTGGAGAGAATTATTTTGGTCGCAGAACTCATCACGACTGATGATTTAATCAAGGTGTCAACCATAGAGCTCTGGCTGAGCTCATCTCTCAAATACAAATCATTAGGTACCATGTTGTTGCTTGGCAATGATGTTGATTATAATTCAATGGCTACTAGCACTGACCATATAAAAAGGGGAAAGGGAAAAGTGAAAAGAAAAGAACGTTAGGAAATGTCTGGCCAATGACATTTGTTCATCTGATGTGTCAACTTCTATTTGCATTTGTTCGTTACTCGAATGGATGGATAGTTCCAGTCTTCCAGCATTTTAGCATGCCATTTATATTTTTAGCAATTTCGCTGCTTGTGACTTGCGAGGTTTGATCAGTTTCATTAAAGCCTTATGAGTTACCCAGATGATGATGGACGGCTCCAATTGATTGGCTAATAAAGTATTGTTCAAAACTGAGTCTTGCCATTCAGAATCAGTGAACCCCACAGACTACTTGACCAGAGCTGCTCATAAATATAGGGACATAAACATGACATAACACACGAAAGCGGACACAGATAAAGAAAGAAGAGATGGCAGCAGCATCGGCAACAACAGCAGCAGCAACCGAAGGACCCAAGATTGTGTGGAACGAGAACCAACGCAGGTTTGAAACCGAAGACAGGGAAGCATACATAGAGTATGTCCTTGTAAATGATGGTAAAGTGATGGAAATATTGCATACCTATGTGCCACGTTCCAAAAGGGGTTTGGGCATGGCTTCTCACCTCTGTGTTGCAGCGTTCAGTCATGCCAAGTCCCACTCCATGTCGATCATCCCCACTTGCTCTTATGTCTCTGTAAGCTCAATTATTCTCCTATGTTATTTGTATCCCTTTCTGGGGTTTTCATTTTTTGGCAGTTGTCGATACTTTTCTTGGTGTTTTGCGTCTTGGGTCTTGTTATTGAGGTATGATGTTTATGTTTGATGGGTTTATGGATCTGTGGGATATAGATTTATCATTTATGTTCTATTTTCTGTATGCCTTTGGCTGCCTTGGTGTTTTCCATTAATAAATTTCAGAAAATATGGATAATTAAATTGAGATGAACTGCTCAGTGTCCTCTGAATTGAAGGCATGGAATTTCTGCAACTCAATCCATCTACACTAGGATTGAATTTAAGCGTTTTTATTGTCATATTGGTCTGATTTGCCTCGATAATATTAGAAGGGGGAAAAAAAGAAGCTCTTTTGTTTGTTTTGTGGATGCATCCCACTGATACTGCTTCGTTTTTTGCCCCATACCTTGGCAGGACACTTTTCTTCCACGGAACCCATCATGGAATCCTCTTGTGTACTCTGAAGCTCTCAAATCTACCATGTGAACTCGGACCCGTTTGCCTGCTATTAATGAATGGTTTTTACGTAAACTGCTTTCATAAAGTGTTTCGTGTAATATCCAGACGTCTATTATCAGCGTAATAAGCGTCACTTCCTCATTTCTGCTTCTGGGCATTTAATGTTTGCACAGCATTTTCTTATGTTCTCTTTTAGAAGTTCCATGATCAAAGTTAAACAATTTGTCACTGTTTTGCAACTTGTGGTGTTGTATCAACTTGTGATCATCGTTGATGCTCGTTCAAGGTAAATGCCAACAAAATATCAGACAATTTTAGGGTTAAGAAACAGGAATCTCAAATTCGCGAGCCACCTAGGATTGCCAAAAAGCACATCTGTTCAAAGTACTCCACGTTACAGCATCAATTTGCCTCTTGGTCCAATCCCATGCAGGCTGCAGAATCGAGAATGTACACGCTTTGGCAGCAGAGTAACCTCCTGTAAAACGCAAATTCAACTCAAATAACGAGTTGCTCATTTCGTATTCAATTTAGAAGCTCAAAATGCTGCAAAATTTCGAACGAGCAACATTCTTGAGAACGTTCGCAACCAAATCACATAAATGATAAATGGCAAAAGCATCGGAACACTCAATTTGTTTCACATGTAATTTGAGGACGAAGAGCACGCAGTGATCGATTCAATGGCGTGGGAAATGCACACCAAGAATGTCATGCACGGTTACCGCAGAGCAGGACGCGTCAGCTTTGAAATTTTAAAAAGTTCATTGACGAGCAAAGTTAAAATATCCTTTAAGCCATTTGGACTCCTAGACAAGGCAACTTGGGACCAGTGATAAATTGCTACTAGTTCATGAATCTTGGCAAATCTTCCAGAGGAAGAATAACTGCAACCTTCTAGTTTTCGTTGACACGTTCACATCCCATTTTCTTACACTTCTCGCCATTCCCCCTCTCCAAAGAAGCTGAAATAAAATTAATAGTCGAATGATTGTGTGCTGCATCTAATCAGGAATCCATGATCAAAACAGATTACAACAGCTGGTACACAACACATCCTTTCAGCTAAAATACGAATTTAGTACACATCCTTTCAGCTAAATACAAATTTAGTACATTAAATGAACACAAAAGGCAAAAAAAAAAGGTAATAATCCATCTTTTCACCATATGGCACAACATATCTATTCGGTATCTTTACATATTTACAAATGAAAAAGATCCAGGTTCTACCCAGGTACATAATAATCCATCTTTTCCACAGGCAGGTTCAAAACTGATGTTTCCACCTATACAGCATACAAGGTCAAATGTTTTAGAAAAGCAGTCCAACATAAAAACTAGGAAAGTCATCAGTTGCTAGAGATCATAATGCTCCATACATCAGGCTAACGGCAAAACATTGAACACAGTACATACCTCTTGAAAAGGAACAAATGCGAAAGGAGCTAGACCCCTATTGTGAGATATCCGTGAAATCTCATCCTCCTGCCACTCAGCTGATCCAAGAACATCCTCCTCGGGCTCAATTAGCCCATCACTGTTCACTTTACTTGTAGAAAGTGAGAGTACATCCATCCTATTGTTAGCCCCTAAGGTTGTTCCTCTCAACCTGCAACGAAGTAATTAACAATATGGCTCACAATAGAAACCCCCAAATAATAATAATAATAATAATAATAATAATAATAAAATAAAAATTATTAAATAAGTGACTTGACTTGCACATCACCACTCCATTTGTAAGCATCCTTAAAGTCTAAGGGAAAAGAATCAAATAAATAGATAAAACACTAATTTGTCACCTATAAGCCAGATACAACCCACACAAATATGTCTACTTCTCTTTTCCATTCATTAAACCAGCACAAATTTTTTTGAATGTACAGCATATTAAGGCTAGATTGTCCAATACCTCGAGCAGGCTCTCCACATGGTGGGGCACAAGCCCGGGTACATGAAAGTGGCTTCAACCTGCAATGAACCATGTTTTTTATGAGAAGAGATAGCATTGCAAATTGTATATCTATCTAAAATCAGAGATTAGAGAAAACTAAATACACTAACAGAATATGACAAAGAAACAAAATTGTTTGCAATCTCGTAAAGGATCATACCTTGTCATCTGTCAATGTGTAATGGCCGCTAAAAACACCATCTGTTTTAGATGCACGAAAATTCATGCATTTCACAACATCTTTTACTGTTTGACCAGAAGTCTAGACAATGAAAAATAACAGACAAAATGTTTATAATCAGACATAGAAGAGCAATAATCCCTTGTGATATATGCACTTAAATTAATTGCAAGATTGTTACTTTGTAAAGGAATCTGCCAGAAGGAAAAAATCTCATGTAACGGTAATAGCAAACCTACAAAAGCAGAGGAAAAAAATTAAAACAACAAGGATTGAGAGAAGAAGAAAAAGTACATGCATAAGCATCTTTTATTTCCTTTTCTGACATATTCCTCTCAGCACCACCGCTTAAATCTTTTCATGCAATTATACATGCAACTGAGTTTCATGAGTTGGTACTGCATTCATACACTGATGCAAATAGACTATAAGTGCATTATCCAAACAATGCACAAGCATACCAAGTGAACTGGATTGGTGACGGTCCACTCTCGCACACCTGCCCGAATATAGGTGTTCCTACTGACATAGAGACCTGATAAAAAATACATTTGAAGGTTATTTTTGCAAGCCCCCAAAGTAAATACAAATAGACAGCAAAAGCTAAGATAAAAGCAGAAGTTTGGTTTTCAGCTTAAAACAACAACAAAATTTATTCTCAACTTCTCATCCTAGTCCAAATTCATATATAGATATTTTTTTTCCTTTTCCAAAAAAGTTCGGGTGACTAGCATACAGTAGATTATATCACTAATGAGCTCCCCAATTTTGCAGAAACGAAAATAAGAGGCATATTATTCTAAAACTTAGAACAAGAAAGCTAACAATCAACTCATACCATCAGTACGGATCCTTGGCCTCGAAAGCCACATTTTCCTCCATGAGCTCTCGTACTTCGATTGCAAAATTTTATAATTCTCAACCACTCCAGAAAACTACATCAGAATGAAGGAGAAGTACACATTTAAGCTTGGACACAACAACACAAGAGAATCACAAGAAATATTATGAATATCTAACCTACCTGCCATGCCTTTAAGCAAGCATGGCGCCAAAATATGGGGTTACGAAGAGTGTATCTCCATTTCCGACAAACACAAGCTGCCCTTCCCAAATCGTATGGAGCCATTCGTGAAAATACCTGCACAAGAATAAAAACTTGGCTCATATGCAGCATCCCCTCATTTACAATGCATGCAAACATAAGTGCTTCTTGATATTGGCATTAGCTAGGCAGTGCAAGAAAGGAAATTATACGAAGAAATATTTCCTCAACCATGTTTTATTTTCAAGAACTTAATCATTAACTCTAAATGTTGTGAACAACGATAGATTAATAAATTCTACTGAGTAACACGCTCAATATTATTCATGGAAATTACACTTAACTTACATGTCAATCAAGCAAATGAAACTGATGCAAACATGAATTCAAATGCGCACCAACCAAATCCAAATCATTAAGGATAGCAATGACTAGACAAAGCAATGCAGATTTTATCTCTTTGTATAACACTTGTAATGCAAGGAAAACTTGTCAAACATAATAATTTTCGGTTCTTGGTGTGCAATACCTCAAAGAGCAGCTCATCAGGCAAGCACCGGTGTATCAATGCCGGATCAACATTTACCCTTCTACTAGCACTTCCATATGGTGCAACAGGTCGAACATTAACTCCATAAAGATCTGCCACACATAACTTCAAAAGAATTCGCACAAAACAGAGAAAACACAAAATTATTAAAAAAATTGAAAACATTTGGGAACTGGGCATTACCAAGCCACGGTCTTCGTGTAACCAAGTACCGAACAGTCTTCAACTGCAGAGCTGTCTCCAGCTCAGCAGGAACTTGTAATGCAAAATCTGCCAAATACCAAAACACATTGTACTCTAATTACCTAAAAAAAAAATGCAATTCAATATTAATGACTTCTTTTCTCTCTCTCTAATTAGCCGATCAGGAAAAAACAAAAACTTAATATAACGCTTGAATTATAATTTCCCATCATCAGGGACCTGAAGCCAAATTCCACCCAAATATTTAAACTTTGATCCTTTATTTTTTTCTTTAACATAAAAATCGATATTCGAATTCCACAAACCGAGTTTTATAATTTCCATTACTGTAGAACCAACAATTGAAGGTCAAATCATGAAATTGGAATAGTAAAACTGAAATTAACAGCAGAATTAGATTACCTGAAGTCATGTGTATGGAGACATAGAGATGGCACTTCTTCTTTTCTGGCGAGGAATATAGATAGAAGCCTTGCTCTCTTTCGTTCTGGATTTCTCGAGAAAATGGAGAACGGCTTAAGAGGAAAGAAAGAAAAATGGCAGGAAATCTTGTGGTGTGTTGCTATAAAACAAGTTACCAAACGGCGACTGTTAACTGTCGTTGAAAGTGATGACCGATTATCTTTTGGACCAACGTTTTTGCCTCTATCTTTATGATTTGGCATCAAGAATCGAAACGGTGCTACGATTTGCCGTTTTGAACAATGACCACAATAGGAGGAGGGTGCAATAATGGCCACAAAACGGGGTCAATTCAAAGGAATGCCAAGGTTTGGTAAAATGGAAAGTCAACAGTAACCAAAAAAAAAATTATGACAAAATAAAAAATAAAAAATCATTACAATTATTAAGGGTTCAAGTGCTATTGGTCAAGGGATATTCTTTTCCATAGAATTAAAAAAAAAAAAATCAATCTATCTATCTATCTATAATTCCTATTTTTGAATATAAAAAATTTAATAACAAATTTAATAACAAAAATTTCCATTGATTTGAAAAAAGATAGAGAAAAAAAGTAATAATAATAATCAAAATTATACATTGGTAGAGATACGAGTTCTTTAGAATATTGGTGGCACTAGAAAGTAATTTATTTATCATTTTTTAGAAAAACCTGGATGCTGAACAAAGTCAATAATTTGAAAAAAAAATTAAATATTTAAATAGAAAGGTAGAATATTGCTTAATTTGTAAAATTGTCTTTGACTTGGTTCATGTGGTCTAGTTCAAGTCCAATCTTCCAATAGGTTTGTTGAATGAGGTGATCAGCGTTCCTAATGCAACTTCAAAATAGCAAGAGATAAAAATAAAACTACGTCCTTTTTTAAACAAATGGATCTTGATTTCCACAATTAAAAAGCCGAAACCCAGCACGCCAGCATCGAGCCACTGTTAGCTATTAGGTTCACACTCTGCAGAGAATGCAGTTCTCATATTGAAATGAGGTGTTTATACTGTTTTGTTTCAGACCTGGACCCTTTTTTTTTTTTTTTTTTTTTGGTGAACAACAGGCTAAAAAGTGAAAGGAGAACACTCAAAACACACTTAAGAAAACCTCATAGAATTATTCAGTTTTTTTTTGCATGGCCATATTAAAACTTGGATTTTTTGTTTTCGTTTTTTGAGTCGTGTTTTGCTCATCAAAATGAACTTTGCCTCGCATAGCAAATTAGTGGATTAGTTCATTTCAAATTAGTGCGTGCGTGAAAGTTGTTGTAAAAAATAAGTTATGCATCTACATAGCTCTGTTTGCAAATCAGACCCGTGTGGTTTCTGTGTTCTCATCGCTCATGCACCAAGCTACCAACCAATTGAGAAAAACAAATCATGTGCCATTGAGGCCTAAGATAGTATGGGCTTATTTAAGTTTCAAGTTAAAAGTCATAGAGCAAAGGGTGAAAGATAACGTTCCCATCGAAGCCCAATATCCTGTGGGCCTATTAAAGCTAGTCAGTTTTTGGAGTATAAAGTTTTAAAAAGTCATTAGTCGAACTAAAATGAACAAATTGACCCAGTGCGTCTTACTTAAGTCTTCGTGCCTAAATCATTTGCTCCTTCCCAGTAATTTGATTTTTTGTTTTAACCTTGAGAAGGGTTAAGGTTATCGAATCATAGATGCCGCAATTTAATCAATTTTCGGACCCAAAAAAAAATCAAATCTTATTCTAAAAAAATCGAAATTTCGAGATAATTGTATCAGTTAAAAAAAAAAAGCCCTAATCATAAATTAACAATATAAATTTGAGCTTTTTTTTTTATGAGGCTAAAGTTTGGTTGGATTGTAATTATTGTCGCAAGTTAAAATCATATCAGGCATCAACTTGAAAGAAGAGATTCTAAACTTAAAAACCTTTTGTTGCATCAACAGTGCTTTTTACTTATTTCTTCGTTTGAAAAGTACAAATACCAAAGCCATCAAACACAACTTCTTGAACGGCCAATCGAGGGAAAGAAAAGGCTAAAAAGGAAAAACAGAAAAAGGTAAGGAGAAAATAGATTGGTGCATTTTTCACGTTTGGATAACGCTCTCTTCCTTGCCAAGTCTTTCTGTGCACGTACCTTCCGCCAGTTGGATGCCAGATAATACGCCAGAGAGTACGAAGCTCATTGATGTGGCAATGAAGAAGAAATTGTTAACTTTTTTGAACTGGACATCGCATCACTATAGCATAGGGTTTCTCATCTTGATTATGGTAGAGTGGCAGGCGATCATCGAGATCTTTCGTGGGAAGTTCATCTAGTTAATAGACTTTTTTATTCACCGCAACGGACTGGAAGAATAACAAATGTAATATTGTTGGGCAACCTTTACTCATGATTCTTTAACGAATGCCAATGGTCTCAATCATTAATTCGAATGAGCATAGATATCTCATGGGCATAATAATAGTAATGCATATGGAAAGAGATTATATCAAAAGACCAAAAACGACAAAAAAGAAAAAGAAAAAGAATTTGAAGACTTTCTCGGAGCACCTCATGTCGAAACTAATTAAGAGAAAATAATGGACTAATAATTGTAAAGGTTTTTTTACTCTTCCTTTTGTTTTTATAGTGTCTATATATATATATATATATATATTGTCTTAAATTTATCTTTTTATTTTTGGTTTATGTTTTGATATTATTTTTTTTATTAACTTTTAAACTAACAATGTTAACTTTCTTCTTCTTCTTCTTTTTCACGTCCTAATCTTCTCTCTTTATTCTATTTTTCTGTCATAATTTTGTCTTTTTTTTAATACGCTAAAGTTAAATAAATGAATTTTGAAAAAAAAAACTAAAAAAATGTGAAGATTCTCTTTTAAAAATTAAAATAAAAATAACTAGAAGAAAGTTGAAGATAAAAATATTTTTTATCCAAAATATTTTTTGAAAATATTTTTGATCGACTTAAATTTATCTATATGATGGTAAGTAGAATTTAAGTATAAAATAAAATATTTATGGTATTATTTTTTAAATGTTAAGAGTTTTTTAGTTAAATTTTTAAAATCAATAAATTTATAAAATAAAAATAAGTAAATTATACTAGACTCTTTTAAGGTATTATAAAATTTTAAATACCATTCAAAAGTTTAAAATTTTAACTAAAACTTTCTTTTTATTTAAAACAAATACAATAAATATTTTATTTTATATTTAAAATTTGCTTACTATGATAAAGATAAGTTTAAACCCATAAATAATATATTTTTTAGTTTTTTTATTTATTTTTAATTTTTAGAGAAGATGATTTGATATATATCTTCTCTTTTTCCAAATTTTTTTATTTCTCAAAATTTATTTATTTAAATTTAGTTAAAACAAAATTAAAATGGAATATGGAATAAAAAGATGAGATTAAGATTAAAAAAATAAGTTAATAATATTAGTCCAAAATATATATATAAAAAAGATAGAAATCAAACATAAAAGAATGAAGTTAAAAAAAAATGTCTGTAATTTACAAAAAAAAAAACTAAAAGATCTGAATAATTTACTATTCATTTACTCCAGAGCAACCCAAAGTCACTGTGAAATGTGACTTAGACACACTGTTTGCTCTTCTCAATTCTTTTTAGTCGTTTGTTTTTTCTTTTATTTGATTTGCTTTGTCCATTTCTTAACTTTTTTTTTTTTTTTCAGTTATCAATTTAAAACCTTCATATTGTTTGCTTAATTGTTGTTATGCCACTTAGTAGTGTTATTCAGTTACATTCTTCAGCTTGCTTCCTTTTTTTATCTTCTCCTTTTGTTCTTCCTTTTTGGTAATTTGCTCCTTACGTGGACAAAGCAATTGATGCTCCACATTTTTTATGCTGCACCATTATTTCTTCTCCTTGAAATACGATGTAAGTTTTGTTAAAGCTATTTTTATTTTTTTTCATTTTGGTCGTTACATCACAAATATATTTTTGTTTGGCTTCTTAAATTTTAAAATGTTTAAAATGGTCCTAAACTATATATGAATAATCTGACACATATTTAACAAAAATAAAATATTTTTTAATAGAGAGTGAATCTTGCATGGCTAACATAATTTGAAGTTGTATCAATTAATAAAATAATTTTATATGATTATTTAAAGTAGAATCTTATCTTTTTTTATTAATTTTAGAACATACTTGAGGGATATTCATTATTGCATTATAAAAATTTATTTTGAAATATTCATGTTTTGTTTGATATTTTTAAATTTAATTTTTTTTATTGAATTGTTTAAAATTATTACAAAATTATTTGCAAAAATACTAAAACACATGGGTTATTTATTTATTTTTATTGCTCACACACATTGATTTGCATTATTCACCACACTCATTTGTAAGGTTTATTTTCACTGTTTGTGATCAAGTTTGCCAAAGTTTTTCATTTCGAACCCTCATATTTTCAAAAAAAATTATTTCGAACTCAAATTTCATTTGTGTTGCATTTTCATCCCTAATTGCTTGAAGAAGAGAGAAACAAAGAGAGACAATGAGGCCCATTATGTTTATATCGACGGTCGCAATCACAATTATTTTATTCATGTCAAAAAGTAGAATTCGTTTATGATAGTCACGAACTATGAAATGATTGAAGATGGTGTATCGGGATTCAAAAATGTTTTGAGTTTTTTTTTTATTTTGATTTGAATTTTTTGTATTTTGTATGTATTAAAATGAATATGGAGATTTTAAACAACTTTTTTATGTTGTATTTTTTTTTATGATTTTAAGGTTTTTTTTAACAAAAAAAAAAAGGTTGGATTTGATTTTTGGGTGTCAAAAATTAAGATATTCAACTTTTCATTTACTTTTCAGCAAAATCAAATTCGTCGAAAATGAAAAAAATCCTAATTCAATTTATTTTTTTATAAAACTTATTTACTGATAAGTATAATTTTTTTCCTACATTTAGATTTTATAATAAAATTTTAAAATATGATTG